GCGTTAAAGACCCTCGCGAATATACAGAAACTGCACACCATATCATCGGAAACTGCTAGCAGAGATGAGGTTCTTGGCTTGAAGATAGCCGTGGGTTTCGCGGTGTCCCGGAGGCCGCCGGATGAGGAGTTTCGGGCAGTTTCTCATGGGACATGTTTGGACTCTGGGTATCGTGTTGGTCGGTTGTGTGTACCGTGTTCGTGGGATTATCAAGGCTTTGGGGACTCGGTTTGAAGGTCCGCAGCAAGAGCGGAGTTGTGCTGAGTCCATGAGTCTGAAAGCTAGATCTCAGTAGAATGTTGAAGTCAGTTCCCAGAGATGATGCGCCTGATGTGCTTGGTCTTCTCAAAACATAAGATGTCCTATATTGTACACCGTTCGCATTTCCAAGATCGTAAGGGGGCTTTGGAAGTATAAAACTTCTCTGCTCCTTTTCTCGTTGATTTGTGTTGATGAGGTATGCCCTGGGTGAGTTATATGCCTTGGATGACGAGTTTGCTACCAAGTCTCCTAAGTCGAGTTTATACAATATGTAGTCATGGGCTCCTGAGTCTAAGATACACGTATTCCGGTCACATAGACGTTCCTCGTGTCCTTGAAATCTCTTCTCATGAATCAGGGGTTGGTTATGTATTATCGTTTCTGTGTTTCCCTCGCAAATAAGTGCAAAGTTCGAAAAGAGGGGAGCTGGCCTCGTCTAACCCTGTTCCGCCAACTTCGTCGAGCAGTTCGCCAACGAAAGCTTTCAGTCGATGGTCGACATGTCTTCTGTGCCGGTTCCCGATGAGCCCCATCCGTGACTCGAAGTCGAGTTGAGTAATACTGCTATCTTTGCGCTGTTTACTCTTTTGATACTCGCCCCGGGCTGACGATGTCGCGCCATGCAGAGTATAGTAAGCAGTAGGCCGGAACAGCTTGGTTGGTTTCATCTACTTCTCCGATGAGCTCCCCCACCTACGTTTATTCAATCTCCACGACGACTTGATACTTCCTGCGATGCTCCTGAGAACATTGACGCGTTTGGAATCCAGACTCGACGGGCTGTTATGCGGCCTCGGGATCGACGACAGTGTACGCCTGAGTTGCCTTTTCCGTGCAGACCATCCTCTGTGTCTACAATATCCAGTCGTCACATATTCCGTCGGACAGTCATCGACCTAGACAGTGATACACTGATGATGCGGGGTGTTACTTGGGAGTCGCTAGCAGAGGACGCGGGTTGAGGGGAAGTTCCTTACAGAAGCCGAAGGGCGATATCGTATGAAGTGAAGTGTGGTTCAACGCAATGATCAACGTTCTTCGGGCTCTCCACCGCAGCTACAAAAAACATCGTACAAGATTTGCACTGTTGCATGTCTTGTACAGACGGGTCCTGCTTCCGTCATCTCTATATCCGCAGGGCCTCATAAAAGGTGAGAAGCATACGAGACCCGTGGAGATCCCCTAGACTTACAACTATTTGGCCACACGGTACGAGCTTAGAGGTGGAAACTGTCGTTAGGCGTGTCAAGTCATAACACGCCGTGAGTGATAGTGACTTTGAGCAGGTCATCTCAGCCTACGAGACAGCCACATACAATGAGCAATGATAATCTTGAAGGTGCGGAAACCAACAGGGGGTATAGCTTCATTGCGATGTGATCCAGGACGATCATATAGCCAGTAGACCGCAGCAAACACAAGCATCGAGAGGAGATATGGCGTTGAGATGAAGAGAATCAGGATCCGGGCGCAGGGGTGGAGTAAATCGACTGATTCTGCATCTCAGCAGCGAAGCGGAGAGCTCGACGCTCTGCCTTGGTACATGGTAAATGTACGATTCTTCGTTTCTGAGAGAACGCCGACGACCACGACCACTTGTTATCTTTCAGAGGATCGTGAAACGAAAATCTATTTCAGAGACCAGGACTGCCCAGGCAAGCACGGCGAGGCAAGACGGCTTGTTGGGTCCAGGACTGCTGTCGACCATGATCACGTTCCGATACGTTTCGGTTCCGTTGAACTGGTTTATCGATTAGGAGGTCTTGATTCTACAGGTGTCTTTCGATTGGTATTTGCGCCGCGAGGTTGTCTTGACTCAGATTGCTGCCGAGTATCACGCACGTCTACCTCAGAACACCCTCCACGACCCCAGTTGACTAACACCCATCAGATGTGGTGACACGCCAACGACTCGCCCTACAGCAGAATCATCTTTAACAACACCCGCCAGCCAGGTGAATCTGGACAACGTACCACGAGGGAGAAACGACGGCCTGTGTCTTCAAGACTTCCCGCATATGAACATCCTCCTCTGATAAGCTGTGACCTGAACTGCAATAAGAATTGAGCTTGGGGAGGAAGAGACACATACGAGAAGGCGATGAGCAAGTAGTAGACTTCGTTGAGAAGAACTAGCATCGCTTCACCCCAAATCCATATAACCACCGATATCTGTTGGAATAAGTGCAACTGGTGTTTTATCATAGCTACAGGGAATACATAGTTACTATAACGACAATAGGTTCGTACCAACCTAGATGGACTATTAATAACTGACACTCATATTACTAGCTATATGAATGCCTGATGTTGGTGTTATTTTGCCCATGGACGACCCAAGGAAGACAATGCTGGGTGCGCCATGCCACATGTCATCCCGTTAAGTCGGATCCATACTGTGGCATGTAAACACTCTGGTGAGGAAACCTCTCCCCGGATGTGGATGAAATATGTCCATCGCCAGAACGAGACTGATGTGCGGTGAGAGTATAGAAACGTCTCGTCTTTCGTAAACCTTATCCTGACCCAAAACTGCCACAAGCGCTGGGCGTTTCTCTTTTTCACATGTCAAACACGACATCCAACATTCACAAACACGTCATGCCATGGAAAGAACCAAACGAAGCAACGAGCACATGGAGACGTAGCGAAAGAATCGATCAATAGTTCTATCGGTCCATAACATAGGCCAATTCCTGCTCCTCTTTCAGCAGCAGTCAAGCTCCGTCATTACAGGGCCTCGCGCGTGGTTAGGTATCAAAAAAAGAGAGTTATCGTGAACATCAACCACCGCCTCATTTCTTCTCGAGCTCCTCGAGGATGGGCTTCTCGAGGGCCTCGGGCTTGGTGGTGCTGGCCCAGCGGCCCTTGACCTGGCCGTCCCGGCCGATGAGGAACTTTTCAAAGTTCCACTTGATGCGCTTGAGGCCCATGATGCCGGGCTTCTCGTCCTTGAGCCACTGGAAGAGGGGGTTCGCGTTGTCGCCGTTGACGTCCGTCTTCTGCATGATGGGGAAGCTGACGCCGTAGTTGACCTGGCAGAAGTTCTGGATGTCGTCGTCGGAGCCGGGCTCCTGGCCGCCGAACTGGTTGCAGGGGAAGCCGAGGACGACGAAGTCGTCGCCGTGCTTCTCCTTGACGTCCTTGTACAGCTTCTCGAGGCCGGCGTACTGCGGGGTGAAGCCGCACTTGGAGGCCGTGTTGACGACCAGGACGACCTTGCCCTTGTAGTCGGCGAGGGGGACCTCTTGGCCGCGCTCTGTTTGGTTGAAGTCAGCGGATGTCAGCGCTTGGAGACGCAGGTACGGGGCGGGGTGAGGTGCTGCGCGCGTGAGGTGTGTGGTTGGTAGGTCACGTACTGTCCAAGGGCTTGAAGTCGTAGAAACCGGTTGCCGACGCCATTGCTGCGATTTGTCGATGCTGTTGCTGGTGGTGTTGTCGGTGTTGTTGTAGAGATCGTTTTTCTCTGCGATTAGAAATTACCCCGCTATCGGATGTCGTGAGATAAGCGTTGAGCCCGCCGATGCCGCAATTGTTTCGGTGAGGGATGGTGGGATTGGTTTGTGAGAAGGTCAAAGAAGTTCCTCGAGTTGTCCCGCGGGAGGAAAACGTGTTTAAGGGAGGGAATTTGTACGTGGTGATTCGACGAAACATGCCGCGCCACGACGATGAATCAGAGAGCTACATTGGATGTTTATCCTGCCGGGACAGAGTTTCAATCCGGTTTCTAATGGGGCCCCGGGCACGGGGTCGTGCACCTGGGCTGGAAGCTCAGTGTGCCTACGAATACATCTTTTCTCATAACGGTAAAGTAATGGCAGGGAGGGGTCCGAATTGGTCAGAGCTCGGCTGTTTGTGACGGGGTCTCGGTCGAGAGTGGGGCTCCGTCGCGATTGCTGCGGGAGGGTCCTGCAGCTCTTCATCGACCTCGGTACGGGATCTGATCCGAGCTTTCCATCTTCTCAACGCCAGACAACGGCCCGGACGGAGAGAGTGTTACGGCTGTATGGATGTTTGTAAGCCATTTTCAAACGAATTACGAACTCGAACCACGGCTCGTCAACGTCGTCCGTTGATACCCGGGCATCTCTTTCCGCTGCAACGCAGTTGGTACGATGGAATACCTCACAACGTCCAGCTTTGCCCAGAGAGCGAGTCTTGACGTAGGACATGTGAGAGTGGATCCAATCGGCCCAATGCGTTGTCCCGGTCTCCGAGTCCGTCCAGTCCAGACCGGTCCTGAACTGCTGCTCGATTGCTCTCTACGGCGTAGTCAGGACCACCTCGTGAACTCCGGGCCTTCCGTGCCCCCGGCCGACGAGTCCAAGTAGAGGCAACGTCGCCGAGCTGGACGGCATCCAACTCCATCGGATCGCCGCCATCTGCTAAGCTTCATTACGAGCCTCCCAATTGGATCGACCCAGCGGATCAATACCTGGCCCGACTTGATCCCGCTGCTTCGCCGAAGTGATTGCCGTATCCGGACTGCTTAACACGGCCAGCCAATGGTCTCGAGCCAATTACTGCCCCGAGAATCATCCAGCCCCAGCTCCGTTCCATCTCCGCGAAGCTCAACCACTGTCAACCAGCTGACCTCAGTCAACGAGACCCAGCTGCAGCTGCGGCAGTGACTCCCTGCCGGTCGCGTCTCCTTATCGATAACGAAATCCGACCCCGCCCGGACCCCCATTCCGCAGCGCCGGTTGGTGGCGTCTGCGGCGCCGCCCCGCGGTGACGAAATGCCGGCCATCAAGAAATCAAAGTCCAGATCCAAACCTCCCGCGTCCGACCCCAAACAACGCGCCAGACTCCTCCAAGGCGCACTGCACGCCCCCCAACCGCTCACGATGGATTCACAAGCGAAGCGAAACATCGTCATCGTCGGTACGTCCGCCTGCCTACTCATTCCACTCAACCCAAGCTGATCCCAGAGCTCTCTCTCCCTCCAGGCGGCGGCATCATCGGCTCCACAACAGCCTACTTCCTCACCCGCCACCCGAAATACAACCCCTCCCTCCACCGCATCACCATCCTCGAGGCCTCCTCCGTCGCCGCCGGCGCCTCGGGCAAGGCCGGCGGCCTGCTCGCCCTCTGGGCCTACCCTTCCTCCCTCGTCCCGCTGTCCTACCGCCTGCACAAGGAGCTCGCCGCCGAGCACGGCGGCGACAAGAGGTGGGGCTACCGGCGCGTGGGGTGCGGCAGCTTCGAGGCGCGCGTGACGAAACAGAGGCTCGAAGAGCTGCGCCGGCGCCAGGCCGCCGTCTCCACGAAGACCGAGGTCAACGGCGGCGGTGGCGAGCAGGATGAAGGGGGAAAGGGCTGGGAGAAGCTCCCCAAAAAGGACGAGAACGCCGAGTCGCTCCTCGAGGAGTCCGTCCTGCCGCGCGACCTCGACTGGATCGACCGCGAATCCGTGCACTCGTACGCCGAGATGGGCTCCCCCGGCGCCACCGAGACGGCGCAGGTGCACCCCTTCCACTTCACGACCTCGATGGCGGCGCTGGCGCAGGACAAGGGCGTCGAGGTGCGGACCATGGCGCAGATGACCAAGATAATCCACCACCACCACCCTGCCACATCCGAAGGGGCTGGTTCGCCACTGCGGAGCGTGGAGTACCTGGACCGCGAGTCGGGCGAGACGAGGACCATCGACGGCGTCACGGACGTGCTGATCGCCGCGGGGCCGTGGACGGGACGGCTGGTCCCGGGTTGCAAGGTCACGGGTCTGCGTGCGCACAGCGTCGTCTACGACGCCGACGTGAGCCCTTACGCCGTCTTCACGAGCATCGAGCTGCCCTCCGACTTCGTGCCGGAGCACCGGGCCAGCAAGGGGCAGAAGAGGAGGCACAAGAGGGTCGTGGACCCCGAGATCTACGCGCGGCCGTTCGGGGAGGTCTACGCTTGCGGTTCGTCTCCTCTTTCTTTCCTCGTTTCATTCTCGCAAACATGCATGGCTGATCGATGAGGTCTCACATAACAGGCGAACCGGACAAGAACGTCCCGCTGCCGGACACGGCCGACAAGGTGCAGGTCGACGAGGCCAACTGCGACGACATCATATCCTACATCGCGACCTTCAGCCCGGCGCTGGCGGCCGCGCCCGTCAAGGCCAAGCAGGCGTGCTACCTGCCGCAGGTCGATTACGGCCCGCTGGTCGGCCCCACGTCGGTCCCGGGCCTGTGGCTCGCGTCCGGGCACACCTGCTGGGGAATCCAGAACGGCCCGGCGACGGGGAAGCTGATGTCCGAGTACATCTTCGACGGCGAGGCCACGAGCTCCGACATTTCGGATCTGGATCCTAGGAAATACAAGGTGTAAAGATTTTCGAGATTGCGTGCTTGGCCTGGGGGCGGCATTGTTTTTTTTGCATGAGTTGGAGGCGCGGATTTTGAAAACGGGGCGCTTGTAGACGGTAGACTTACGCATGGAATGAATAATGCGCACGACGATGAATGCATAAAATCTATTATTGAGTGTTTCTGAATGCTACCGCAGCTCGAGAAGTGCTTCGAGTAGGTAGACTCTTCAAAGGCAAAAATGCAAAACCATCATCCCGGTCATTAGCGACATAACTCCCTGCCCAATCGCTGACGAAAGCCAACCCTAGCCATCTTTATTTTGTTTTTGTGTCGAGACAGGAACCCGAAGGTGAGAGAGGGACTCTGGTAAGGGCCCACCATGACCTCGGTGTATAATCGTCCCGGACATTGTCCCGAGATCGCAATCCGGACGGACCCCCACGGCCGTGATCGGTGGTCGCTGTACCCCACCAAGCATCCCATGCCGGACTGGCGCCTGCACGCGGTTTATTTTGTGTGTGAGATCGTGAGAATTCAGAGCGAGGCAGATGCCGTTCCTCTAAAGCGACTTCTCAATCTCCATGACCTCACGGATACCCTCCTCGATGGAGGTAGTCCTGGCCTTCTCAAGACGCCTCAGAGGACGTCTGGGGTATCCACCGTAGCCGTAGTAGCTCTGGATGGCGCCCTTGGTGCCGGCAATGGCAGCCTTGGTCAGGAACCAGTCGCCGCGGGAGAGCTTCTTCTGAAGCTCAATGGCCTCGTCGCGCTTGCCCTCGGCGTACAGGTTCCAGACCTTGACGCAAACCTTGGGCATAACGTTGGCACCACCGGCGATGATACCGCTGCCACCACTGGCGAGGGTCTGCGCGGTGAAGTCGCACATGCCGCCGAAGGCCATGTAACCGGAGCCCTCCGACCAGGGAGTCTTGGCGTCGGTGGCCAGGGCCACGCGCGTCAGCTTACCCGTGTTTCCGCAGGTGAACTTGGTTCCGATGATGTTGGGGTGCTCGGCGAGCTTGATGAGCAGGTCGCTGTCCATGTCGATGCCGGAGACGGCGCCGGGGTAGTTGTAGAGGACGAGGGGGATGGGGCTCTGGTCGGCGACGGCAACGAAGTAGTCGTAGATGGTGGTCTCGTCTACCTGAGCGCGGTAGTAAGAGGGGGGCAGGATGAGGGAGGCCTCAGCACCGGCCTCGGCAGCGGCCTTGGAGAGCTCGATAGTGCCGCGGACACTGCTCTCGGTGGCGCCGATCAAGACGGGGACGTTCTGGAAGCCGGCGGCGTCAAGAGCCTCACGGGTGGCTTTTGTCACGGCGACCTTCTCCTCCCGTGTGCAGTGGACAGCCTCGCCGTTGGAGCCCATAACGACCAGACCGGCAAGGCCGGCCTTGGCCAGGCGCTCGGCGTGCTTTTTGATGGTTGGGATATCGATATCTTCCGTCTCGGCGTCGAAGAAGGTCATGGTAGGGGCGTAGATGCCAACGGGGAGGGCTCGGCGAGCGGCGCCGTTTCCATTGGAGGCAGTCATGATGGGCTGTGTTTGTGTTTGAAAAGACGAGAAGTACGAAGTTTGCGGAAAACTCGGCCAGAAGAGGGAGGTAGACAAGAGAGGAGTGGAGAGGCAATGAGGGGTGATGGTATGGGAGAAGCAATGGGTCGAGGCGGCAGGTATACTTATACGGCAGGATGACCAGAGGCGGCGAGGAAGGTTTCTCATGAGCTAATGGGCTTGCAGCAAGACGCCTGCGTGGGGTGGGATGAGTCTGGAAATAAATATTTGACATGTCGCGAGTGACTGCTCGTGTGGACATTGGCCCGAACTATCGAACATCGTGTTGACTCGAGGCCAAGACCGGAGGAGCTAACGGGCTGCACTACGGGGCCAACTTAGAACACTCCCTTGCACCCCGGTTGGGGGAGGGGTCAACGTGGATCGGAAACTTGAGGAGCAGGACGCTAAAAGACATGGAGATGGATGGGGGTGGAGGGGCAGACTGGAAATCCAAAGCTGAGAAGTCGACGGTTCCGAGAAGAAAAAGTGAGAATTGTAGTCAGATTCTAAGCGATCCAAAGGGCATCGGCCAACGCAGATGCACCCCGACTTCGAGTGTAACCTGGTAGATTGTCTGAGACACCTTCCGGCAGACCTGGAGCTGGTTTCCCGAGTGTCATCGTTCAAACGCAGTGGCACTGGCCAGCGCAGTGAAGCTTGGAGTATTGGCATCCGGGGAATTTGAGAATTCTCGTGGATGGCGGGGTCTTGTTCGACCTGGAGGTAAGCCGTCACAAGACGAGCGGCATCCGAGACAACAAGGGACTTCCCTTGATACTTGAATTCTTCCGGGTTGGTCCCAACTGAGACGACATACCCACGTCCATGGTCCATGAACCCCGGTAATAGACGGTAGGTCGCAACCTCGATGCATCTAGCTGTGTGTAGCCCTGTGTCGGCCGGAGGATCTGCTGGGAGTGGTAGATTCAGATACTGCACATGGTATCGACGGAGATTGCGCCAATAGAGATGGCTTTCTCCCGGCTGATGCCAGGAGATCTGCGCAGAGGCAGCCGGTCGCCTGTCTGGGCTGGCAACCAATTCCAAGCGCGGCGTTAAAAGCGAGCAAGAACGGTAAATGAAAACGAGGTTGTAATTGGGGAGAGCGGCTGTCCCGTCATGCATCGCAAGGCTTGTCGGGCCCGGCGTGGATAGTAGCGTGGAGTGGGACATGCAGATTGCAAGACGGAGGTGCCTGGCCATCACCCGGCCATTGGCTGCCGGACCTCGGGGTTGCTCGCCTGAGGTGCATGACATGAGATTTTTCGTCGTCATTGGTTTTGAGTTGTTTTTGAGTGGTTGCCCAGGGCGAACGGCAAGAAGGCAGGCGTCAACCATCTGTTGAAGGGCGGATCGGTCACGGCAGCATCGATGATCACCTCAAATACCGAGAGGCTGCCGTCAGCTCTGTCAGAACCATGGAAGGAGAAAATTGGCAGGAAGCATGGTATGCTCATGTATACCATCATGCGCCGTTCCTCAGAATTGAATTCTGGGTCTCAACCAACCGGGCCGGCCTGGGCGATATGGTGGCCGATAGCCGGCGAGCGAGGTCGGCTTGCGTTAGTCAACTGTCAAGCAACCAGAAGATTGCGCTGTAGCTTATTCTCAAGGGCCAGGTAGCGGATGAGAGCGAGACCAACGATGCCGTGAAGGTCAGAAGGTGTTGTACTGGTGAGCTTTCGGTGTTGAGGTCAAAAATGATGGAAAATGGAAAGTCGTGTGATTGGACGGAAGAACTACCGGTAAGATTTTCCGCCAATAAAAGACCTCTATAATTTTCTAGTTAGGCAAGTGGGGTCCTGGCAGGTTGGTCTGGGGGTCGGATAGTGAGACTGGACTCACTGGAGGGGCTGGAACTGCCTCTTTGCCGGAGGATATCCGCTCACGACATTCGCATCAGGTACTAGTTCGTGCGCGGCCGGAAATCCAACGCGCCTTCATTGGAGTAATGGGCTGATAAATCTGTCGTGATACTTGGGTAGCCTGTACTGGAAACCGGCGCTCGTATTGGGACCCTGAGGATTGCGGTAGGTACCTTAGCTATTCTAGGTGCGTTGAACACAACCTCACGCATGCCAATTACTGCGAAGAGCTTCAACCGGTCGAAGCGCTATTTGATTTTGAATTATATAAGATTATTGTCGTGATAGGAGAAAGAGAACCTAGCACCTTGATATGGAGCAGCAAAGTCCCCGGGCCCGGATAGTTCGAGACGTTCTGTGCAACAATTGTGCAACGCTCTGCCGTCTTCAACCGTCGTGATTCCAGGGAGTTGAGGGGACGTTCAGCGTTCTAGCGCACTTCGGAGGGCGTTGTGGCACATCCATGTCACCACCTCAGGGCAGGTGATGCGGGGCAGCGGGGTGTGGGCTGTACGTGGGGGCGGGGAATTGGCTGGAGCAGAACTGACCGCCGCAATTCGGGAGCGCTTCTGTTTTGAATAATTTCAGCTTATTCAATCTCTGAGTCGAATCAATTGGAAATGCGTGTAACCCGACTTGTTATTCCTAACAAGATATTGATCACAGAGACCAGCCTGTGAGATGTGAATTGGGGGACATCATAACCTCCTTCGAAACGCTGTATACATAACGTGGCTTTATTCAGAAGATGTGGTCAGAGCCGGAAGTTTTCCAGGGAATAACCGGCGTTAATTGCTCTAACAGGCAAAGGGCTCTTCTCCTGCAGAAAAATTGGCATAATTCTCCATGCCTCCAGCAGCCAGTGGCTGGACAACAGGAAAATCGAGCCTGGAATGGACGCTGAACAAGCGGTTGAGCCCCGCTATTTACGTGTTGGAGATCTGCCCCTCCCCCTCCCCCTCCCCCTCCTTACCCCTCATCCTCCAGGTCTTGTCGATTACAGCGTCTCGCCGCGAGAATAATCAGCATGATCTCGGAGGTGCGATTCGAAATATGAAGACGAAGAATATGGTGAGAAGGGAACCAAACATGGTACTTCAAAAACCACCCAAGGTGCAGTCCAGCGTTGGCGCATCGCAGACTTGGCGTTGGCCTTGTTGAAGGCTCCTGGCACTCCGCATACCGGCTTCTACGATGCGGACGCGCTCGGTAAGTGCTCGGGAATGGCATACGAAGTCTCCATCGTGAGAACCAGTTGCGGCGCTGGGAGAAAAAGATCATCCACTCCTGGACTCTGCGTCCCGCAGTCGCGGATTCTCGGCTGGCGTGTCATTCGCGATGAAGAATGAACCATGCCTCTGGTGATCCCGGGCCCCTTCAAGCAATCATCCAACAGTACAGCGCCGAGAACGCAACTTTACAACGAGAACCTGGACAAATATTAGGCAAAATGTATCAAGACGCGCCTATTGTCCGGAAACACCTCACCTCGTTAGAAAAGACCTTGGTGCTTTCCGCGCTGAAGAGCTGACGCATGGCGGGATGCGGGGCACATTAATCCCTCCAATGGTCATGCTCCCCTCTGCCCCTCAATTTTTCCGGGTCCTGCTTGACGCGGGTGGAGAGGACACTGACGGGAGCTGCGAGACGGGAGCTACCCTTGAAGTCTGAGGGCGAGCTTCATCCAAAACATTCTTGGCCCGCCTGCCATTGACCATTGTTACGTCTAGTCGTTCATGGATCGCCCGAGTTCCATCCAGCTCCAGCTTGGCCCAGAGATAGTTCCCTTAAATAGACCACTGCCTTCGCGCCCCTTTCCCGACTCGCGCATCTCTCTTCTCCATCACTCTAAACTTTCCACCCCTCTCACGTCAAGTTTCTAGCCATTGACCCCCCCAGACGCGTTCACAATGGAGCCTCTCAATGTCTTGATGGTATGTTCCACGCCGATTCTCGGTTCCAAGTCCTAGCACTCACCTTTCTCTAGGTCGGTACCGGCGAGTACACCACCGGTTTTGTCGGTGGTGGTGCCTCTGGGTCGGACAAGAAGGTCGGTGTCGTTGGTCTCACACTCTTCGACCTGAGAAGGCGAGGCAAGGTCAACCAGCTGGGCATGGTTGGCGTCAACGGAACCAAGTTCCCCGCCATCAGTGAGTCGCTTCATGAGCCCCACGAAACACAGAAAACTGACATCTTCAGGGGAACATCTCAACAAGAACATCACCCAGGCCTACAACGGTCTGGACACCTCCTTCGACTCATACCCCGCCAACGACCAGAAGGACCCCGAATCGTACAAGGCCGCCATCGACGCCCTCAAGCCCGGCGATGCCATCACCATCTTCACCCCCGACACCACTCACTACCCCATCGCTCTCTACGCCATTGAGCGCGGCATCCACGTCCTCCTCACCAAGCCCGCCGTGAAGGAGCTCGAGCACCACCAGGCCCTCATCGAGGCCGCCGAGAAGAAGGGCGTCTACGTCTTCATCGAGCACCACAAGCGCTTCGACCCCGCCTACTCCGACGCCCGCTTCAAGGCCCAGAAGCTCGGCGACTTCAACTACTTCTACTCCTACATGTCCCAGCCCAAGTCCCAGCTCGAGACCTTCAAGGCCTGGGCCGGCGTCGATTCCGACATTTCCTACTACCTCAACAGCCACCACGTCGACATCTGCGAGTCCATGGTCACCCAGCTCGGCTTCGTCCCCGTCAAGGTCTCGGCCTCCGGCTCCAAGGGTATCGCGACCAGCCTCGGCTGCGACCCCGCCACCGAGGACACCATCACCGTTCTCGTCCACTGGGAGAAGAAGGGCGACCCGAGCAAGAAGGCCACAGGTGTCTACACCGCAAGCTGGACCGCTCCCCAGCGCGCCGGCGTCCACTCGAACCAGTACTTCCACTACCTGGCCGCCAACGGCGAGATCCGCGTCGACCAGGCCAAGAGAGGATACGACGTCGCCGAGGATGCCGCCGGCCAGCTGATGTGGTACAACCCCTTCTACATGCGTTACGCTCCCGACGAGGACGGAAACTTCAACGGCCAGACCGGTTACGGATACATCTCCCTCGAGAAGTTCGTCGACGGCTGCAGGCAGGTCAACTCTGGCAAGCTCAAGCCCGCGGACCTCGACGCCAAGGGCCTGCCGACTCTGAGGAACACGATTGCCACGACTGCCATTCTGCACGCCGGCAGGAAGAGCATAGACGAGAACCGCGACGTCAAAATTGAGATTAACGACGGCGTGTGGAAGCTGGTTTAAGTGGGTTCGGGGTGATGATTTGTAGATATGTGCATAGGGGTCCATATACCATCTGATTTACGTTTAATGAGATTTGATGATGATTAAAACGTTATAATTCCATGCAACTGAGGTGGTTCATACTTATCGACATGTGATCAGTCTACGTTGTGCGTCTGGTTACACATCAGACTATACAGACGTCCGACTTTAAGTTTCCATACTGAGGCTTCGTTGAAAGTGTTTGAAAAACGAAGCTTCTCAACAAATTTCCATACAGACGGCAAAGCTTGAGCATTGAACTCCGAGAAACAAATCTACTCTACCTTAGGCTAGGGCACCTTGATGTTAGCAATTCTGGCGACTGACCAGTAATATCCAGCAGTTTTGAGCATGTAATTGTCTTCACGTGATACGTTAGAACTGTCTGTACAGGGCTGATTTCAGCGGGGATCCGCGGACCGTCCTGCATATCGTTCTAGCTCAAATTCCACTCAAAGGCTTGGCCCCCAACTTACATCCCATCTTCTTGGTCACAACGACCCCTTTCAGCCTAAGTTCCCAAAAATAACGGCGTTTAGATATGCGGTTAGATAGACGAATCCGCACACCCATCCTCGAGACATCCTCGGAAACTCAGACGGCATCCAGCTTTTTGGGCGAGAATCCGGCGAATACAACAAACTTTTGGAACCATCCGTACCTACATTCTGACTAGCTCTTACACCGTCCCGTCTCAACATTCAATTGACTTCCTTTCTCCCCATTGGGCACTAGCACCGGCCGCACTCTGAACATCAACGACAGCCCGCAACGGGATGAGGATCGGCAGATAAGCCCTGCGATCCACGACGGGTACCGCACGCGCCGCACGCGGGAGGACGTGAGCCTGTGACGACGGTGGCTTGGCGTCATATTGCCCAGCAGCAACATGTCAAAATTCTCGTGTTCTCACAACACCAGATGCAGAAAATCAAGCATATGTCGGCCAGGGGCTCAGTCAGATCCTTCCTGCGCCGCTGAAGTCGGTGGCAGCGAGACGGCCCTTCTCGACAAGCGTCGTAAGGCTGTCTTCCCCGTCCTTGGAAGCTACCAGGAAACGCTAAAGTTGAGAGCAGAAAGCTAACAGTTCCGCGTAGCCGGTAGATGAGAAGTTCCGTGATATCCTGGCTCGAACGGCCAAAGAAAGCTACGTCCGCCTTTGACCCCGCGCGCCACGAGCCAATACGCAACTACCACCACCACCACCGCTCCCATTTCGTCCCGTCCTCTCCGACAGGGCGACAACGTTTGGCGGGCAAAACAGCTTCTCGTTCGTCTTTCGTCTCGACGTCCAATCACCGCCTCGGTAAGCACTCTCTGTTGATGGTTGACCCAAGCGGGTAGACAGAGCAAAAGCACGGGTTCCTTCGACTACCGCCCTACCTCACATCCCGGCGACGATCTCACAGGGAGGGGTGTTCCGTTTTTGTGTGTCTTTCGAGCTTGTGAACTCTGCGTACGCAACATGCGTGTTGTTGTGTCTGGGATCTCTGCTGAGTGGCGCATGTGCCGCCGCGCTACCTTCTTCCTTGAATTCTGCGAACATGGATTCACGCCCGGCTTACATGCTGAGAGGGAGAAGGTCATTGCACACTTGAGAATGGGTGACTTACTTCGTATGGCTCTGCTTTGGCAGGGGAGCTAGCGATAGATGGCGGACGGTACCCCAACCCAATCATTCCGCCGGGATTTTGAGTGTACCTGAGTGTTATCTAGATCAAGGTGATGCTTGTGGACTGCTCGAGGAACCGCCGACGTGTCTTGGTGAGATTGAGGGGGCATGCTTTGAGCTTGTTTGTGACCCCCTCATACTTATATAGCTTGCGCCCAGCTGCCCCTCAGGTTACACAGAAGATGTGAATCAATCTCAACTTTGACTTCAAGCTTGGGTCTACAATAGACACATTGATAAAAACACCATCAGACTATTCAATATGGGAAGCCTTCAGACACCTCAAAGCGACAACGCGTACTGCACGGTAAGGACATACTCTTCCCGCCATCTCCAGACCTTCCGTCGACTAACACGGCATCAAAGCTCGTCACAAACGACGACTACGTCCTCGGTGAGTCCATCCCCGAACACATCCATCCCTACACTCGACTAACACCACAAAAGCCGCCGCAGTCCTCGCCGAGTCCCTCAGGAAAACAAAAACCACCCTACCCATCTGCGTCCTCATCACCCCCTCGACGGTCTCCAAATCCGCAACCTCGACCCTCCAATCCCTCTTCGACCTCGTCATCCCCGTCCCCGCCCTCGCCTCCCTAACAACCTCCAACCTCGACCTCATCGGCCGCCCGGACCTGCACGCCACCATGACCAAGATCCAGCTCTGGTCCCTCACCCAGTTCACGCGCCTCCTCTACCTCGACGCCGACACCCTCGTCATGTCCCCCCTCGACCACCTCTTCGCCCTGCCCCCGGACATCCCCTTCGCCGCCGCCCCCGAGATCGGGTTCCCCGACTGCTTCAACAGCGGCGTCATGCTCCTCCGCCCGGACGCCGCGACGCACGCCGAGCTGACGGCCTTCGCGGCGCGCGTCGACTCCTTCGACGGCGGGGACCAGGGGCTGCTGAACGTCTTCTTCGGGGACGGCACGCGGAATCACCCCGCGACGCTGCTCCTCAGGAACTCAGAGAAGAAGAAGGCATCATCAAAGAAGACTGATACTGCTGCCGCTGCCGCTGCCGAAGAACGCAACTGGTACAGACTCAGCTTCACCTACAACATGGAGATGCACAAGGTCTACCGCTTCTACATCCCCGCGGCGCTGCGGTACCGCGACGAGCACAAGGTGCTGCACTTCATCGGCAAGGACAAGCCGTGGCACTTTGACGACGGGAGGGTCGAGGTCGAGGACGACGCGGGGCCGTACCAGCGCTTCTACGCAGATATGGTGGGCAAGTGGTGGGATACGAGGAGGTCGATCCAGGCCGCGCTTTGAGGGTTTCGGGCGAGACCGGTTCAATCGAATCTTGCTCTTAAATAGGGGTATTCAATATGTCTTTTTGACATTTTTCATAATTAGCTAGAACAATACCACAGGATCCCAATACACCCCTTCACCGAAGCATGTAATTCGGTCAGCGCTCGGTGTGAAGCCCAGACCACCCCCACCGTGATAAACGGGGCCCGAGCGCCACCCGTCCGATAAGATAAGGAATCTCAAAAAACTTCAAGCCAAACCAAACCTCTCTCGCAGCTACTCGTCGCAGTCGTCGCCATCTAAATCCCAACGATCCCCGTACCACAAACCACAAACCACACCCAACCACCAACGAAAATGGGTCGCGACCTCCAAAAGAAGAAGCGCCGCTCCGGCCGCCAAAAGATCAGACAGCCCAACAAGCCCAAACGCCTCCTGAACCCCCTCGGCAACGACATCATCGCGAAGAACTGGTACGTCTGCGTCCCCGTCCCCGTCCCGTCCCAGCCACGAAGCAACACGCAAAAGCCTCAGCGCAAGCGCCGCAACGACAAACAAAACCACGACACTTATTGACCTCGAACAGGAACAAGAAGGAGACACTCACCCAGAACTACCGCCGCCTGGGCCTGACGGCGCGCCTCCGCAACCCGACGGGCGGCGTCGAGAAGACGCTCTCCCAGGTCGACAAGCACGCCAACTACGACCCGGCCCGCGACCCCTTCGCCATCGCGCCCACCGAGCACGCCGTCGTCGACGAGGCCCGCGTCGAGCGCGACGAGGACGGCAAGATCGTCAGGATACACTACACCAAGTCGACCCGCGCGAACCCCCTCAACGACCCGCTGAACGACCTCGAGGAGGACTCCGAGGAGGAGGAGGAGAAGGAGGACGAAGAAGAGGAGTGGGGCGGCATCGACGACGAGAGCCGGCCCGAGGTGATCCGGCTGCTGGAGAAGGAGGCGTCGCGGGGCGAGCTGAAGAAGCCGAGGCACATGAGCCAGCAGGAGAGGGAGTGGCTGGAGAGGCTGATCGCGAAGCACGGCGACGACGCGCAGGCCATGGCGAGGGATCGGAAGCTGAACCCCATGCAGCAGACGGCGGCTGATATCGCGCGCAGGATTAGGAAATTCAAGGGACAGGCTTGAAGAGAGAAAAATCGAGGTTTCTTGCAGCATGACGAGGATGTCTGGCCTGATATCCCGTCGGAGTTACGGCGTTTTCATCATAAAGAAAAATCTTGCATATAATTATCACTGGCTGGAAAATAGAAAAATGGATGCTTCGTCATGCCATCAGAATTGATGTCTACCTAGTTCATGCCTGGTATCTATGCGATTACCTTTACAATGGGACGCCAAGAACACCCCGTGAGCCGAAAAAAACAACCCGAGCTATCTATGTGAACACTGGACTCAGTCCAATCAAATGACCTGGAGCAGGCCATGGCCCTGCCACTGTTTCCAAACCCCTTTTCTCGTTGTCTGATCGAGGCATGTTTACCTCAACGTGCGGTCGTAGTTACCAGCGGGGAACTGAGCCGGCCTGTCATCGTCGTAGGCAGGCGCGGCGTATGGCTGGACTGCAGGCGCAGAGTAGGGGTCGGCTACGGGCGCGGAGTAAGGATCGGCCACGGGCGCGGTGGATGTGGGCCGCTGGGAGTGGTACTCGGTCTCGCTGTCGAACATGGCGGCGTTCTGGCGCGAGGGGAGAGAGCCGTAACGGTTCGGGTCATCGTCCTCCTGGCCGTACGCGGTGGAAGCGCCTCCGTAGGCCGAGTTGTTTCCGTAGCGGTCACTGTAGCTGCCGACGTTGCTAGCGTTGCCATTGCCGAAAGTGTGCTCATCGTTATGGTCGTCCATGTTGACGGGGGCGTAGGCCTCCTCGTCATGGGGAGCCATGGAGAAGGCGGCCTTATCGGGGTCGATGTTGTCGCCGGCGATCTTCTGCTTGTCGTAGCCAGGAAGAGAGCCGTGGAACTGGTAGTGCTTCAGGGTGTAGAGAGAAACGAATGTAGTGACACCGAAAAGGACACTAAATTGCGGTTAGAAGCTATCGAGGAAGAAGCAGCGAAAGTACCTACGTCACGAAAACGCCAAGACCAACAATGACCTTGCTGAGCGTGCAGCCATCACCGCACTGGTTGGCGGTGTTGTACGCAGCCTGACTGGCGAACGCGGACAGCCAAAAGATGGTGAAGACTCCGTCGACGGCGACCATGGCGTACGGGTTTGCGAGTTTGCGGGTCCTCGGCCACCGGGGCGCCATAATCAGGTATATCCAAGCAGGAATGGACAGGAAACACTGTGATGCGTCTAGTCAGCGCAAGAGCTCTCTCAGAAGCATAGATTCATTATCCAAGTCACTTACCACTCCAAATGTCCAGCCATTGTTGCCCACGATCTTTGCATTGTCTGCTCTGAATACTGCGATTTCCAATGCCCAGATGACGAAGGACAGGATAAACTGAAAGATGTGCAGACCCAGCTTGACGCCCGGGACGTGCTCGGGGTCGAAGTCCATATTTCCAAACATGTCGTGCGGTCGCTCTCGGGTGGTCGGCAGAAATCGAAGTCGCTATTCGGGGATGGTGTATCGGTAGGTTCTTGTGTCGATGACCTTGATTTGGTGATCGAAAGGGGACGGTGGGTTGGGGAGGTTTGAGCAGCTATCGGGCTTCAGCTCCCCTGTGTGTTTTTTTTAATCTAAATAAAGATCAAACCCAATCCGGCTCGGCAACGGGTTTGGCGAGACGACGCAAGTTTGCAGGACCAGGACAGGTGGGGTGTCCAATCAGGTGCGAGATGAGTACCGGAAATGATGCAGTGGTGTAATCGGTCAGAACGAGCGGAGTGAGTGAGTGCAGTTCGCAAAGAGATGCTGTTAATTATGATGATGTTGGCAGATGGGAGGGGGAAAACTGTTCTTGACGGAGGGTGTCGAGACGAGGACAGCTGGAAGGAAAGTCAAAAAAGTCGATCAGGCGCAACAAGTAGTAAGTCTAAGACTCAGGTCGTCGGGGACGGGGACGCGTCTGCCTTTTTCTTTCTCTTTAAAAACGAAACAGCCCCGGCTGGGCGTTGAATTGCGGCAGTGACGAGACGTGGATTTCAGTGGGCAACGACTCGTTCCCTCTCGCAGCGTTAGTGGACACTGCCGTGGACGAGGAGTGGGTCTAACCCGCAGTGTGAGCCAGGACTCTCCCGTCATCATCAGCAGGTTCATTGCCAATGTTCCCTTCAATGTGTTCCCGGCTTTGCTGCCCGTGGTTTCGACGGCCGAAGAGCGGAATGATGGGACGGCCAGGACGGGATGCTGGGATGGAGGCGTCGTCCACGCAGACAGGCTGCGACTTCGGTTGAACCAAGCCACTGAACCGCTGAGTTTCACTGCGCCACGACAGCCCAGGCAGCGAATTACAGAGCACAGGTCGCGGGCAGCTGAGCATTCGACATCATGGACCCCTGCAAGCCACGCCTCCCGAGGGAATAGTTCAGTTCGAGCGGGCAGTAACAGCTGCAGCCTTCGTCTTATTTTGTTCCTGACGTTTGATTTTGGCTTCCGCCCTACGAACAAATCGGTACCGTCTCGTTCGTCCTCTCTCGTCCCGTCGTCTGAGGTGAGGTGAGGTGAGGATGGAAAACCGTTACTTGGGTACAAGCTAGCGACTGATGCGGTGCCTTTACTAAAAACCCGCATGGCAACCGTCTCCAAGCCCTGCTTTTTTTTCTTTCTCTCACCCAACTAACTATCTCTTCCTTTTTGCTGTGCCTTGCCGCTATGCTAAGGCTCCCCTCACTGGTTTCTGGGGTGATGCGCGGAGGCGAGGCAAGGGGGGAGATCGTCAATGATGACAGCCTGCAGCGGTGGAGGAGGATAATGGAACCTCCGTTTTCTTGGACGGCAACGGCAGAGCCAGACCCAGAGAACCAACAGCCGGCGTCAGCAAGCAAACCTGCCAAACAGAGCCGCTCCATTTTGCGCGACGCTGGCGCCCGGGTGGTCGACAGCAACACGAGTGCACTTCTTCCCCGCCAAAATCAGTCTTCTGCAGGCTTCGCGTTGCCTGGACATTCCTTTCCCTCCCGTCTCGTACGAAAGAGGGGAAACACAAGATGGAAACATCCAGTCGAGGCCAAGCAAAAACGGATGCCACCACACGAACGAACTCCCGACCCCAGGGTGTATCCATCGCGGCGAATCTCTTCGCACATTGGCACCAACGACGACAGCCATTGGGTGCGCAGAGAGTGCCCTGCGCAGAAATAGAGTCGGATGGTGGGTACAATGGCGTAAGTCTTGCCGCCCGACCGCGTGCAGCAAAAGATATCTCCATCAGATCCAATGCCTCGACGTCCAAACACCGTCCCGCCGCTTGGCTGTAGCTGACATAGCCACCATGATTGCGTGTGTCAATATCTGCGGCCGGGTTGAGCCTTCTGATGTGCGCAAGATCCCATCTCTCAACATCGGTATTTCCGATCAAGTCCGTTCGCATGTCAGCTTTGCGCAGAGGGACTCTCAACCTTCAGACGACATCTGTCGATGCGTGCCAGTCGGATGCCCTAGCATGCGGCTGAATACGCCGGTATTTGGCACAGACCTGGAGGCTTCTTCACCTTTGAGTCGAAGTCGCGAATGTCTCTGACCTTAACTGTACCCCCTAAAGATCCAAGTGAGTTAATGGTAATCATGCCGAGTTTAATCGCCTTGAGTGGTTCCATGAGTTGTAGCTATTCAGAGACTGGAGGGCATGATGCTTGCACCGTGCGGTGAACTGCAGAACTCACCAAACTTTCGCAATTAACATACCGTGCCCCGTACCCACCACACTGTCCACCGTCCACACTCGAATTTTCCACTCAAAGATGCCCATGAACGCTCGCCACGCACAACCTCAAATTTCATAGCCAAATCTCAACCCCTTGCCAGATCCCAAGCCATGGCTCAAACGACGTCACCCGCCCTCTCAGATATTATCTTCCCGACGACCGCCAACCACAACTTCTCACACATCCTCACTGACCTCAAGCGCTCCAACCTCTCCATCGCCAACAGACTGAGATCCTGCCAGCGAGATGCCGAATTCGTGAAGGACGTCGCGACATGCTTCAACAACAGGCCCCTCGTGGCCAACGAGCGCTGCGGGAGCTGGTACGTCCGCCCCGAGGAAAAGGCCGCGAGCGCCTACTTCAAGAGCACCGACGGCCACACGAACGCTTGGAAGTTCAGCACGCGCAGGTTGAACCTCCACTTGCTCGAGGTCATCGGGAAACACGACGGGTGAGATCTCGGTCTTTTGCAGTCTGGGATTATTCTCACTGCGGCATTGTCTGTGAGAATGCGGGCTGACGCGTGGCATCAGATGCATCATCGTGGACTCAACCCGCCGAGGCAAAAGTAAGACTCAGACACACTACACTCATACTCATCAAAACCCACTAACACCCACAGGAATGCCTGACGCCCTGAGCAAAACCATCCCCGTGTGGTGCACCGTCCTCAACATGGCCCTCTTCCCATCCCACCCCAAATCAGACACCCTGCACACCCCTCCCAACGTCGTCTCGGCCTCTGAGCACTCCCAGATCGCAGCCCTGCTCCCCTCCTTCCTCGCCTCCCTCAAAGCCCTCAGCCTCGACCTGGACTCCGCCAGAAAGCACATCACCAAGCCCCTCCGTCCCTTCTGGGTGACCCAGGAAACCCGGCTCTCCCCCACGGACGTCGTCTTCGAGGACTTCCACCCGGTCATCTGCTGCACCTCCTCCCGCCGCGTCGCCGGCACCGAGCTCAGCGAGGCCGGCTACATCCAGGGCGCCGGCGACGACACGGAGAACTGGGCCATGGGTCTCACGGCCGAGGTCTTCTGGTCCAACTCGCAGGCCCTGCTCTCGACCCCGGAGGCGGACCTGCCCGACCTCGTCGCGGAGCTCGTCGCAAAAAGCAAGCACGCGACGAAAGGGGTCCCGCCCAAACAGGTCGCGCCGAGGATCTCCGTCTGCCCCTTGCCCCTGGACGATGACGCCGGCGAGACGGACGTGTGCAGAGTCGCACTCACACAAGACGTGACGCAGCGCGAGACGTGGGTAAAATCCCCGAGGTACATGGAGGTCGGGCTCGGGAAGCACAAGGTGGCAAGCCGGAACCTGCGCCAGGCGCTGCCGGACATTTGCGCGTTCGTCTCGCGGCATTTCGACGCTCATCCTGAGGGCAGCGTAGTGGTTGCATGCGAGACGGGCAAGGACCTGTCCATCGGGGCAGCTCTGGCCATCTACTGTTGGTGTTTTGGTCAAGACGGCAAGTATCGTGTGGCAGACTCCAAGACGTTCTTTAATAAGGACATGATTAGAGTCAAGCTGGGGACCATCATGACGGCATACCCAGAAGCAAACGCCAACAGGGCGACACTGCAGAGCGTGAACAGCTTCCTCATGGATCGAAGATGAAAGTGTCTTTAGGTCGAAACTTCTACCTCTATCAGGCGACTCGCCGAGCCCCCGCGAGCCAGAATGCCGCAAAATCCGCCACCGAAACATAGGAAACCGAGGCCGAGATCACAGAGAAGGCCTCTGACCACCGGCGGCTAGTCAGACGCTCCCGCTCTCGATCTTGGCCAGAACGTCGGGGAACTCCGTCCAGTCCTGCATGATGACAACGGCACCGGCATCCCGCAGCACCTTCTCCATCTCCGCCTTCTTGTCATCCGGGTACGGGCCGACGTACCCGATAACCTTGATACCGGCCCTGGTACCGCTGAGCGTACCGCTCTTGGAGTCCTCGATCGCGACGCACTCCTCGGGCTTCTTGCCCAGCTTCTCCATGGCCCACAGGTAGATGGCCGGGTCGGGCTTGCTGGTGGGCTTCGGCAGCGACGTGGCGGCGCTGAAGACCTCCTCCTCCTTGAAGTACTTGTCCTGGCCGACCTTCACGATCGAGGCCCACACGCGGCGCTTGGCCGACGACGACACGACGGAGAGCTTGTACTTGCCCTCCGCCTGCAGCCTCTCGAGCTGGTCGTCGACGCCGGGGCACGGCCTCAGCGCGGCCTTGAGCTTGGCGATGACGGCGTCCTCCTCGCGGCGGACGTACGTCTCGAGCTCGTCGGCCTCCATCTCGAAGCCGTACCGCTTCTGCAGGCCCATCATCATGCCGCGGAAGTTCTGGCCCACGAACTCGACGATGAGCTTCTCCCCCGTGAAGCGCTGCTCGATCTGGCGGCCCTCGCAGATCTCGTTGATGAGGTCCGCGCACGCCTCGAAGGCGAGCTCCTCGGAGAGCACGAGCGTGTTGTCGCAGTCGAAGAGGAGGGTTGTGATCTACAGTTGTTGCGAAGAGTCCTGCTCTTAGCTGTCTTGCTCTTCCCCGTATCAATTACTGTTGTTGCAGAATGTCTGCTTACCTGAGGCATGTTGGCGGTAATTTTACGGGTTCTGTTCTAAGATCTGATGTCGTCGATGAGAGCGGGGTCGAGGAGCTTGCTATCGACCGGGAGCTTACCTTGCAAGGTCTACTAGGATCAATGGACGGCAATGGGAACTCGGAAAGCAAAGGTATGTTTTCTGGAGCTAGCAGATGTGGAAGATCTGGACAGGGTACAATGAGGGAAAGAAAAGGGAAGAGGGATAAATAAAAGGAAAAATAAACGCCGTAGGCAAGCGGGACATTCCCCCGGGAAACCAAAAATAAGGATGGGAATCAGGTCCCCCCGTCCCGTCCCGTCCCAATCGAATTCCAGCCGAGCAGCAGTAGCAGCCAGCAACAGTAACACTCAATTCACCCGCTCGCGGAGCGTCTTCCCGGAGCGTAGGTACAGAGTCTGGACCTTGGGTAGGTAGAAACCCCGCCGAACACTGACACTCCAGCTTCCCATGGCCCCACCCGTTACCCCTCCCCACGGGCAAACCTCGCTGCCCCTCCATCGCTCCCGGCGCCATGTGAAGTGTCGTCATAGGTCCAAGTCTCTCTCTGCTCCAACCACCACATCGGCTCACTTTCACAGAATGATTCTCTGCAACGAACCCCGGCGTTTAGCCATTCCGCATGTGAGGAGGTACATTCCTCAGATACATGTTACCCAAAAGAAGACACATTCGGCAATAAAACGAGAACGGAATGCAAAGCCCGCAACAAACCATGCAGAACCGGAGTGAGGTATTATCAACATCCTCGGGCCATGGTGAAAACATACAGCCAATAGAGAGAGGTACCTTACCTACCTACAGTAAGTATCTACTAAGCCGCTCCCGCAACCCGCAACCCGCAACCCGCAAACCTTCATCCCGAGCCTCCAACCCAACCCACCAGTCAGCATTGAACTCGATTATGCCGGGACACCGGGCGGAGAGGAAACGTGCCCAGACGGCGCATTCACACTCGCTGCAGAGGCGCACCTCTTTTTCCCTTTTCGCGTGGATTTGTTTCTCGCGGATAACAGTCTGATTTTTCCCGCCGTCTATCTTTTCACACAAAGATAACCCGCCGTCGTTCGTCCCCAGATAGGATCGGACTGTAAGATGTCAAGGATGGGTTCGGCCCCCCACCCCACTCGGAGGAAAGCCTCGTTCCATTTCTTGAAGAGACGGGCCTGTCGGCCGAGATGGAGGGGATATCCCGGGTTGAACGACATGCGGGGGGAGGATCAGCTCCGGGAATGATTCGCACATCGTTACGATTCAGATGTTGTTAGTCAGTGGTGGTGATGGGTTCCGTCACCTAGCTTATACACAGCACATGCACTACAGCGAGAATCTCGAAGCTGTCACACACTGTCACGTTCTGTGGAGTGAAGTAAACATGGTTTCAAAACTTTGTTCAATCTCGAAATTACCTAGTATCTATTTACTCATCCGTAGGCATTCCAACGACAACCGCAATGCTCAAAAAGGACGGCCCACCGTACCGTAATCAGTACGCCAATAACTCCATTTCATGATAAACATCCCGTCGTCCCCTTTCATCGCGGCCACAGAGCGCTCTACGCCCTCGCATTTAATCCGCTGGCGTGTGTGCTCCAGACCGCATTTCCATGCATTCTCCAAGAGGGCGTTTACAAAATTTCTCTCAGCTTCTGCTTCTGCGCCGGCGTCAGGCTCGTGGGGAACTTGACGTTGTACTTGATGATGAAGTCGCCCCTCGTGCCGGGCTTCTTGGAGATGGGCATGCCAAGACCAGGGTACTTATCCGTGCTGCCGGGCTGCGTGGGGCCGTTCTTTTCAATGTTGAGCTGCTTTCCGTCGATGGTGGTGACGGTGCGCTTCCAGCCGGTGAGAGCTTCCTTGAGGTCCAGCTCAACCGTGTGCACGAGGTCGTCACCCTCGCGGGCGAATAGCGGGTGGGCTTTCTATAATTTTGTTAGCATTATGCCTTCGCTGTGTCGACCGGAACCATGAACAACTTACCTCCTCCAGAATGAAGTGCAGATCCTGCTGACCGCCCTCCTCCTGGTCACCGACACCCTTGAACTTGATCTTGCTGCCCTTCTTCAGACCGGCCTTGATAGGCACCTCGAGCACCTGGTCCGTCGTCGTCCTCTTGCCGTTGTCGTCAAAAGTCTTGCGCTTAATCTTCATCTTCTTCGTCACGCCGCGGAACAGCTCCTCAAGCGTGAGCGGCAGTGGCCTCTCCACGGTCGTAACCTCAGGTGTGACCTCCCTCGGCCTCGGCCCGTCGAAGCCGCCGCCCGTGCTTCGCATGCGTGACGACCGTCCGCCGCCACTGGACCTCGGCATACCGCCTCCAAAGGACGAGAAGATGTCCGCAAAATCATCGCCACCAGCGCCGCCACCCATGTTGCCAGAGGAGCCGGAGCGCATGAACTCTGCAAAGATGTCATCCGCGTTGCTGAAGCGGAACCCGCTGCTGCCACCGTCACCGGTGCTGAAGTGGAACGAGCGCGTGCCGCCGCCGCCGCCAGGCATACCTCCAAAGTTGAAGCCGCCCGGCATGCCACCAGCGCCGGCGCCCGCGAAGGGGTTCGCACCGCCTGCATCTGGGGGCGGGGCGCCGCCGCCGCGGAGGAGGAACTCCAGGCCGTAGTCGTCGTAGATCTTGCGCTTCTCGGGGTCGGAAAGAATCTCATAGGCTTGGGAACACTCCTTGAACTTTTCGGCAGCGTCCGGGTTGTCCTTGTTCTTGTCGGGGTGGTACTTCAAAGCCGCTTTGCTGTTGCACGTGAGGTGGTTAGCTTACAGTCCTGAGATTGGGTCGGGTTGGGTTGGGTTGGGTGGCAATGGAAAACACTGTGAAATAGAGGGTAGACTTACCGGTAGCCCTTTTTGATTTCGTCTTGTGATGCCGTGGGCTTGACGCCCAGTTGATCGTAAAGCTTTGTTTCTTTGACCATGGTCAATGGTTCGACCAGCCAATTGGTTTGTAGCTATGGGTTATGTGTAGCAGTAAGTCGTGAATCTGCTTGAAGCGATTGACTGATTGCTTCTTAGCACTAGCTTTATGTAGGAACCCTTCGTGTTGTGGTAGTTGTAGTTGTAGTTGTAGTTTGACGTATGCGAATGGGAAGAAAAAAAAAGCAAACGTAAACAATCGATAGTGAAGAGGTAGGAATCGGAAAGAATGGTTGGATGTGTGCTGATACCCGGTAAAAAAAAGGCCGTCTGGGAACTGCGTGATATGTATGTATGCAGGAGCAGGTCGAAGCAAGCTGCCTTACGTCGGTCCTTACTCTGTAAGGTCTAGCAAGACTGGGGCGGAGCGTCTAAGTGGTCGAGGAGGCCCCCGGCCGTTCTTAATGGAAGAAACAGGGCGTGGTTGTGGAAGGTTCGGTGTCCTTCAGAGGGGCCCAGGGGAGCCATGACAGTGGTGCCCGTGCAACCAGAAAACCTGGCGGGGCATCGAATCGGGTGATCTCACTGGGCTGGCTTGATGGAAGTGCACAGAAGGCTGGCGGGGCATTCTGTCCGAGTTGCAGTTTTGCAATGGGGTCTTTTTTTCAAGTTTCAATTTTACCAAGCCATGACCACGACCCCCTTTATGCAATTTCCCCTTGCGAGTTCCAAACATGTTTGCCTTTTCTTCTTTGCCGAAAGAATGCGACGATACTGTCGACTTCAAAGACAGCTCAGATCACGCAGGGAAGAGGTTGGCCGCAAACCAGACAATGACGAAAATGGCGGGGTCTTTGTCGGCGGGAAAGGCGGAGTCAGGCTCAAGCCGTGGCTCGAGCGCCGCACTAAACCGGCCCCCCGTCTTTGTGGTTACAGGGATACCTGTTAGTTGAATTCGAACCTTCGAGAACCTTCTACAACGTTATCCGGCAAAAGCTGCGTCGACATTGCTGTACGAGTAGGAACATCTCTGAACGTTGTGGCGATGCACTTATTGGCTTATTGGGGTATCAAATCAACTGGAATTGTATTGAAGTACTGCTGCTGTCATCATAGGTATGCAGTAGAATATTTCGCTGTGCCTCGTAAGGCATGACCATATGCCGCCTTTTGTCCCGGCCTCCTGCTATGATGCGAATGCTGTACTGCTGTGCTTTGTATCCCTGATCCTACCCTTCCTATCATAATCTATTCTCTATGAAGTATGTTACTGGTCATCTGGCATTTCCATGTCCATCATCCTCTTCGTTTTTTGTTCATCTCTAGGGTCATGATCGGATCCAAGGTACATGGAGCGCCTGGGCATAAAGGGCGAACCGCCTCCGTTGCTGTTGCGTTCCTGCATTTCGGGGCTCTTAGGTTGCTCTTCGGCACCTGGCGTAACAGTGCGACTAATATCGAAAGCGCTGTTGGCGGAGGTATCTGTCGAGGTCTCCATCTGCTGTGGTGCTGCCAGTTGTGTGTCGTAGCTTTCCGCCGTCTGCTGAATCTCTCCCGAGTGCTTAGTCTCAGTCAAATTATTACTGGTGTCGAATACGCTACTCTGCGGAATTTCCGCCATCTCGGTGTCCATAGCGTCACCAATGCCGAACGATCTTGCTTCGAAATCTGCGTCCCTGGAACCGCGCTCGCTGTCTCCATTAGAGGCTCGGTTACTGTCTAAGGAGTCGACGCTGCCTGAGCTGAACTTTCTCTTAAAGTTGGGTGACGCGGGTGAGCGAGGCGACGTGAATTCGTTCGTCTTATTAGTCGCATTGCCGTCCTCTTCTGTCACCTCTTCCAATGCCAAGTCTTTGGCGAAGGTCTTATTCTCCGCTAGAACAAATGTCTCAAGAGCAGATGACAGAGGCATTTTGGGCTGAGTCACTGCATCCTCTGTGGCATAGACAAGCATCGGGTTCTTGGTCTCCTGGAACATCTGGCGCATCACCAAGTCGAGTGAGACTTTCTACTGCAAGTCAGTACGTTTCTCTATGGTGACAATACGCGCAACCCACCTCTGTCTTCACAGGGTTTTTATCGCCTGCGGTATATGACAGCCGCCACCATTGGTCGTTCTGCGAAGTACCTTCGTAAATGTCTTCGAGGCTCGTCTCCCCGGTTCGCCTGCAAACGTAGGTTGTGTTCTTCCCGGTCGATACACCTCTCAAATGATACTTCTTGCAATTGAAAGGTCCAGCATTTCCAGACTTCTGTGGGTCGGTGAGAATTCTGCCCAGAAATCGTTGTCTTTCATTGAGCCTCTCTAGTTCCCATTTGATTTCTGGTATCGAGTCAATTTCTGCGCCCTTGTTTCCAAATGACATCGAACTTACTGGCCAACTTGCTGTCAATTTCAGAAAGCAACTGTTTGCATCTCGCAACCACTTGCTTTGCGGTCTGCGAAAGCCTTCCCTCTTCTTCTGTCAGGATGGAGGGTCCTTCCTCAAGACGAGTGTACGCATTCTCGCCATCGTCAGACTTCTGAAGCTCTCTAAAGCGACCGAGTCCGTCCAGGTACCGTACTTGGCCCTCATACTCCTTGATGGTTTTCTCCAGCATTTCACGCTTGTCGTAGGGCTTGTTACCGTCAAGCCAGTGAAGAGAGTTGTACTCGTCTTCGCGGGCTTTGAAGAGATTGTCAAGAACCCAGATGATGTGCTCCTGGATCACCCTTGCCTCGTTCTTGCGATGCTCGAGATAACGTTCTGGATACCAGACTTCGGGGATATCAATGGTCTCGGGTGTGTCCCCATCGAGGAGGAATGTTATGACTTCGCCCATTTCTGAGAGTACAACCATTTTTGATCCTGGCGTGAACTCCTGCCAGGTAAGCGGATCAGACCACACAAGCCAATCCCATACTTCGTACAAGGTCTTTGTGTGCTCATACTGATTTTTGGGGAGCTGGAAGTTCAGATACGCGAATCTGGTAGACTCATCACCGGCGGGCTCAAGCGTATCAATGTAGATCGGGTATGCCCGATGAATCAAAGGCTTCATGGTCTCGGGATCGGTCTTTGCATTCAAAGTGTCCCAGAACTGCCTTTCAGTAGTGGTGGTATCGTTGCCGGGTTCGGGTTCGGGTACCAGATCAGCCATCGCCTCGACTGAACCATAGCTTCGATGAGTGCCGTCCAGGAAGGCCATCAGTCGGTGGATCTCTTGATGGAAGTCTGGTTCTGAGTCGCCTGCGAACTGAGCCTCTGCAGATATGCGTTGACCGTTCCACCACTCCCTATTGAAACCGTAATTCCTCGCCTGCTCGCCAGCGGCCAGAAGCACGTTTCGGGCCTGCGGGATTCCATGGAGAATGGTCAATATTGACCCCAGACGGTGCTGTGAGTGGCGTGAGTTGGGTTGCTGAATAAGAAAGGCGGGTTCGCCCGGTTCTCGCTTTCTTCCAGACGGTAGCGGGATTTCATAGGCTACTGCTTGGGACGTATTTCCAGAGGTCGTGACCATTGCCCAGCTGCTCTGATCGTAGTCAGTCCTGTTGGCTGGGCCGAAGTAAGTCGCTTGGGTGCCCGTATTGGTAACGCCTGCCTCCTGGGGGGTAGCGCCAGATCCGGCGGCAGACTCCCGCAACGCCCGCTGAAGGTCTTCTTCTTCTTGCGCCGAGTTGCTCGGGGCCCCTGTAACCTGTATCAGCCCTCGTTCCCCACGACACGGAGGGTAATACCGGAAGCATCCCCGGTCCAGTCTATCATCCTACCAAGCGGTGATCGGTTGTTTGTTCTCGAGGGCGGTCGTGAAGGGGCTCCAGCGGATGTGCCATGGTAACCATCGGAAGGCGTGATGCCGTCTATGACAGGATTATCGGGAGCTTCGATGTTGAAGGCTGCAGTCGAAAGTCAGCCTCCCCCCCTCACACGAAGAACGCACACATACCTATACCAGTACTGTTCTTCTCACCGTCCCGACCGGCAGAGAAGGCAGACTCGTCCCACACCGACTGCGTTCTGTACTTATTTCGAAACTTTGCCGTCGTCAACGTCAATATGCCCTCGTCAACTGAGCATTACATACCGCGTCAGGGCCATCCCAGTATTCTCCCGCGAGCTGCGAAGCAGTACTAGAGCTCTGTCGGATGTCAGCCCTCGTTCAAGCAGTCAGAAAGAGTACGAGTGGTGCACCTTCAACGCTGCCATAATCAAGGAAAGGTCCTCTTCGGGGTCGAGCCACGTAAACTCGACAAACTCCTTGAACCTATCCGGTGACGGTTCTGACGCCATGTTGTCGGTCGGTTCGCCCCGCGGGACGTTTGCAACTTGCGATGTCGAGTTTGCCGACCGAGTCGTCAATTTGGGTGGTGGAGGAAAGGTCGAGATTCGCGCATGTCCGTCAAGAAGACGGGTGGGAGTTGCGAGAGGGCTGGTTGAATAAGGTAAGGTAGATATGTGGAGGTCAGCTCGAGCGGGACAAAAATTGATGATGTCGGGTTCGACGTTGTCGGTCTTCAGCAAGGTTGCGATAGCGATGCAGAAGAGGGATACGAGATGAGGCCTTGGTAGCAGACAGCAACAACGACCAAGAGTTTACTTTCGTTCCGCAAGCCTGAGTACGTTCGGAAGAACACCTCGGCTCAGATTGATGTTTGGCGGAAGCTGGAAGCTGCCCTGCGCTGGGAAGGCCTGGGGAAGCTGCCGTCACTGGGCGATTCACAGTGCGATTTCTCCACTACCGAGTCCCACACTTCGACTTCTTTGGGGCAACACCACGTTGTGAAGCAAGTTACGCTGATTCAATTAACACCCGGACGGCCACCTTGGCGGTCTACCTGGTGCATAAGATAAACGTACGTTTACACAAGTAGGGATTTTCCGAAATTTAATGATGATCAATCACGAACTGAGAGTCTGCCCCCCCAGGGTGACGAGGCGAAGCGAGACATGAAATACTGATGTTAGCGGGGCAGGTACTCCGTTGGTGCTACGATGGTCGAAGGACACCAGCGGCTTACCATTTCATCGGCCCCATGTCTACCGACAACCCTGGCACCGGTAGTCACAAGCGCAAAAGTTCAATATTGCGTCACTCGCTGTGACATGCTTATGAGAGAGAGAAAGAGAGTATCGGTAATCGCACGCAAACCTTGAAGATTTTTACGGCTTCCTTTCCGCAGGCAAACGAACAAAGATGTCTGATTCTGCGCAGCAAACATATTTTGAGTCATTGGCTATAAGGGTCCTTCTTGTGTAAAGTAATTTGCCAATCGCCGCCGCCAAATCTAGTTGCAATGCTTCCTTCATTGCAGGGTCAAATATGATTTCCCGTTCCTTGCGAAAAAAGCCCTCCCCATAAAATCCAATGATGCCAGAACCCAGGAAACGATACTCCGTTCTGATCACCTAAACAGGCCGGGCAAAGACAGCCGGCAAAACGCCAGGGGCCGTCGCTATGCATCATCCATCATGCGTGTAAGGTTATGAGAGGTTGTAAAGAAAAAAGAGAGAGGGAGAGAGCCGACCCCGCGTGAATTTGGCCACTTTCGGGGTGTCGTCGAGTCGGCACGTTAGGTGGATATAGTGTTGGTGGTAGATTTTGAGTGAGGCGCCACCCCGTGTCTTTTGTCAGGTTCATGCCTTAGGCGGCTTCTCGTCGTCTTCATCTTCGTCGTCCTCATCTTCGTTAAAGTCGTCCATGTCGAGCTCGCTGTCGCTGCCCCCGAAGTCCATTTCCTCATCCGTCTCATTCCAGAACGCGTCGTCGTCGATATGCTTTTGCGGAACAGGCTCCAAGTCCGCTGAGGTGGGGATCGTCACTCCAGGCGGGATGTCCTTCTTCGACTTTTCAACCGTCTCGCGCGCCCTCTTCTCGTACTCTAACCGTTTGTCGCGGTACATGACACCCGCATCCACGTTGGCAGGCGAGTTGATCTCGGGGTCGTCCAACAACAGCAGCACTGAACGCAGTACAGACTCAACACCCTGCAGAGGTGTCCATCTTTCACACGCCAACTCCCCAGATTGCTCGTCTTCACCGGGATCGTGGAGAATAGAGATACACAGCTTTCCATCGGGGTAGATGTTGGGGTGGTAGATGGACCGGTTCAGGAAGCGGAAGGTAGGAGGTTGGATCGGATAGTCGGGTCGAAAGGTCATCTCGGCCTGTCCTTGGGCGTTAGATCCGTTGATTTGATTCGAGGGGGGAGAGCCAAGTTCTTACCTTGAGGTAGGCACCGTTGAAGGCACTATCCGGGTTGACGACCATGAGACCGATCTTCCAGTTCATGACGTTTCTGTCGTCGACTTCGATGTGCACCCATTTCTCTTTTTGCAGCGTCTGCAGCTCGCTCATCAAACGCTTCTGCGCCATGGTGGGCTGTTGATGGGAAGGCAGGTGGGGGTTGTCGGGGAAAACTGGAGAGACGTGGTGAAGACGGTCGCGTGTGACAGCTGCAACTCGAGATGGACAAGATTGGTCGTCAGGAGTGAGGTCCTCTTTATAGGACGGCAGTGGTCAGCGCAATGCTGGTTGCGAGAGACGTGATCGGAGACTGGAGACTCGGGGCCGTGGGAGGGTGGAAGGATGAGTCGAGTTGAGGGGGACTGACTCGGAGGGGCGGCGAAGAAGATAAGATAAGAGACGCCGAAGGGACCGTGGAGGCGGTAAAGATTGGGACCGAGTCGCGAGAAGTACGAGGGAGGGAAGTGGGAACTGTGAGGTCGGAGGAAGTTGTCGTCGGGGAGAGGCAAAAAAGAGAAGAAGAAAAAATTGCGGATAGAGCCGTAAAAAATGCTAGAGCAAACCGGGACAGGAATGGAGGAAGAGGAAAGAGGTGACGAGATGTCGCGGTTTATCAAGGTTCCATCGGCCAGCCAGGTGAGGGAGGAACGAGGTCGACCTGGGCACGCAGGAACCTACCAAGGTAGGCGCCCGAGCACCCAACTCCTTCAATTCCGCTCTCATACCTAGGGGGGGTCACGCAGTGTCTCGGATCCGTGGCCAACGCGCCGCCTGTCCTTGCTGTCGCTGTCTCCGTACGAATACCTTACCTACCTCTACCGCAGTAGGTACCTACACCGGTTCCTTTTAGCAATGGAACCTGGACTGAACCAAGAGGGAGGAAAAAAACCAAGTCCGAACAATGGAAGTCAGGCGCCACCCAACTCCAGCTGCCGTGCTTACATGACCTTCTAGGTCTTCAACTCGAACATGATGGAACATGGAACCCTGAAAAGGACTAGGCTTTCGACTCGTCCGGAAATGGCCAGACACCAGACCGATACGTCGTCTTTCATTTTTCCTCACGCGCTATTAGAAGACTGGAGAAGTCTCGATAGATTCGCAGCCAACACCCTGATGCCCTCGAGTCTCGAACCACCGATCCTGATCCTGCTCGTCTGACTGCCCTCTGGACGAGGTGCAAGGATACCCAAGCCCGCAAGAGGCATCTGGGAAACTCTTCTTCAGCGCTTCTCCCAACCGGACTCTTCCCCTACGTCTTGCGGTACCTCCAGACATGCCTTCGAGGCAAACCGCTCTTACCGCTGTTGGCTTGACACTAATAAACTGCCTCCACGTTTCGGTACCTGCACGGGAAGTTTGCTTTATGCATGAACAACCCAGGGCTGGCAACCTGGCTCCTAACAAAGCGCCTGAGCCACCTGGAAAGAAAGCCTCGATCAAAAAACCAACCGAAGACTCGATCGAGGCTTTGTTCTTGTGCCCCGCCTCACCCATGTCAGGTAACTCACAGAGCTTGTCCCCCTTCTTGGCGTCAAAACCCCCCCTGCATTCGTTCTGCAGATTTGCATTCGTTCTGCAGGTTTGCATCACAAACTCGCGATGCCTTCAAGGGTTCGTCAGCCCAAACTCGTGTTCTGCAAATACTCTTGAGACGACATCCAATATTCATTTATTTGCTTTCCTACACCGCCTCCATCCCAAACAGCACTCGCGTGGCTTTCAAGCCCCCAGATCGTAGTATATGCAGTTCCCCGTCCTGAAGTTGTAGAGGAACGAATGCCGGCTAGCATTCTTCCTCTCCCACGCCAGCTGCCAGTTCTGCAACATCTCGTGAATCTCTCGCACGTACTTCTTCTCCGCCGTCGTCACGCTGTGCTCCACCCTCCTCCAGCTCTCCCCGTCCGACAGGCACGTTTCCCTGATGAGGTCCATAACCTGATCCGTCGTCTCCACGGCCAGGATCGGCCCGTCGAGGAACGAGTGCACCAGGCTGGCCGCGCTGATCTGCGCCTGTTCGACCACGGTGCGCCGATTGAATTTCTTGCTCCGTGTTTGCGCGACGAGCACGCGCACATCCTGCTCGTGGTGCGCCTCGGCCGCGGCAGTCGCCTCGGACGACTGCGTGCCCCTCATCCTGACGACGGCCTTGGAGTCGCGCTCGCGGATCTCGCCCCGCAGCCACGAGAGGAGCTGCGCGATGGGCAGGTCGACGTCCGGCGCGTCCTTCTTGTCCATCGTCTTGACCTTGACTATCGCATCCTGCTTGATGACTATGATCCAGCAATAGCCTTCGTCGCGGTTTCGGGCGAGCAGTTCTTCTGGCGATCTCGAGTCCTTAGCCAGCTCGGCGCTGATATTGTGCGCCCAGAGTGCCTGCAAGATTTCTATACCTGTAGATCGCAGGACGGCAGCATCGAAACTGGCGACAAGGGCATCGCACTAGCGTCATCGTGTCAGCGGCCGCATTGCGGTATCTATCCGTATCTTACTCACTCTTCGGGTGTTCTGGAAGATGCTGTTAGCATCTTCTTCGGATTTCTTGAGAAATGCCCTGCCAGTGGTTTTGGGGACCCGAGAGAGTCTCTCCCAAGACAGGTTAAAGCCCACGGCATGGCGTTCCTCATAATGACTGCCTATCCTTGGGCGATTTTCTCTGATCAGACTATCGTACCGGCCGCCGGCGGCGAATACGTCTTTGACTTTCTTGTCATATAGGCAAGAGAACAAGATTCCACCGGTGTAAAAGCTTTCCTTCAGACTGTTCAGAGGGGTGATGTAGATCTTGCTGGCAACTCCGAGACGCTTGGCGTATTCCGATACCTCCTTCAAGTGGGCCAGAGTTGACGATGCTCGTCGGTACATGTCAGTTCCTTCGAAGATGGACTTCAACTTCGAAAAGGCCTTAGAGGGTGTATCTATTATCGTCAGTATGGGAATTCCAATCTCAACAAGTGGTTACAAACCTCGGAAATCAAAGCGCTGGAGCTCATCGACACTTGTAGCTGATAAGCCGACAACCGGTTGTCGCAAGGCGGCTCTGATCTTTTGCCAAGATTCACCGTGGATGTTGAGGTTGCTGAGAATGTCTGCCGCTGCTCTTCGCGACACCGGCTCGATGCGGCAATGATCGAAAATAAGCTGTAAGAGATCCGAGTGTCCGAGATGGAAGCACATTTGGGTCGTCGACATTGACGGGAACGTGGCGATAATCTCGTCCAAAACCTTCAACACTTCTGCTTCCTTGAGGGCCAAGTCCAGGGTATCAGTCGTTACAATGTCAAAGTCGACTTCACCGAACATTCCAGGCTGCCCACTGTCGTTTCGATCACGGAAGATATTTCCAAACGTGAAAGTCCTCTGGACAGCGGCGTGTCCACTGGCCTTCGCTAACATCCTTGCGTGGCCCATCGTGAGGTCGAACGGTAGCTGCAGCACCGTTCCATTCGTATCCAAGAGTCTGACGGCATTGCTGTCGGCATAATGAGAAGAGCGAGGATATAGAAAGTTTCGTTGGCACTCCAGCGCTCCATGCCGGCGAAAGATGGATATCAAGGCTTCCTTCACGGTGCTCTGATTCACCAAATCTGCCTCATTTGGAGTTGTTACGTTCATATCCCAGGCATAGTCTTTGGCTTGTTCGACCGGCCGTGAGAACAAAGTCGACAGCATTTTACGGTAGTAGGGCGAGCTGGGGTCTGCGAGGCCAGCCAATGTTCGTCTAATCGTCTCGCTCTCCATCTGAACGGGCAGCTTCCCGCTTTGCAGCAACTCTGCACTCGACGGCCGCTCCTTCGGATTGTGGGTCAACAGAGACGTGATGATTTCTGTCTGCACTCGTTCGGCTGGTCTGAAATCAGACGGAAGCATGGGAGGCGATCGTCGGAGCTGTTCGAGAACGATAGCTCGTTGCATTCCCAACATAGGGGGATAGCACATCTCGAAGAAGATGATGCCAAGTGAGTACATCTGCGACTTATTTAGCATCGTCGTCATGTAATTAGCGCACGATTAATAAACACTTACATCGACTTTGGAGCTGTACATCCCATGCGACGCAGATCGTACTTCGGGCGCTGCATAAAATGTTGTCCCGATACTTCTGGTGATGTCGTCCGCTTCCATCGTGTTTGGAAGGCTCTTATCCACAGCGAATTGGCCACTGGTAGCCAGACCAAAATCACCGATTTTGACGTTATCAGTACCATCACTGCTGTGCGCAATGAAGATGTTTTCCGGTTTCAGGTCTCGATGCACAATACTGAGGCCATGAATATGAGCAAGCCCCTCGAGGACCTGTCGAAATAAGCGCCATATTTCAGGGGTGTTTTGGTACAGCTTTCGCGTGATCAAGTCACGAAGCGTCTATCAAGCATAAGCGATGTGAAGATGACGAAAGGAGTAATGAGACCTACCCGCTTCTCGCAGTATTCCATGGAAATGTACAGAACGGTTCTGAATGGGCGTTGCGAGCGAGCTCTTGCTTGCCTGTGAACGTGCCCGATAGCTCGACGGCTGTCTTCGTCGTCAGAGTCGCTGTCTTCCTCTGAATCGTCCTCGTCCTCATCGTCATCCTCTGAATCATCCTCTTCGGAATCGTCATAGCCGAACTCGATTTGCGGATGGCTCGACGACATAAAGTCCAAACCTCCCGTGCTCGTGGCAAAGTGAATGGCCGGGTTCTGAGAGATCGTATCTCTCGAGTCCTCGGTCATATCTTCAGTGGAAGTGTCGCCTTCAGTGTCCGATTGGTCCATGATTTCTTCGACCCATGTGTTGTAATAACGGACCACCGCTGGATGACTGAGCTGCGACAGAAGGCGGACCTCTTTCAAAATCTCCGTCAGACTTGCCTGCGACCGTTGGCTAATCTTCTTGATGGCATAGATTTGTCCATCGAGTTTCTTTCGCGCCTTGACAACTTCGCCGAATCCTCCCTTGCCGAGACGTCCCTCTTCATCAAAGTCTTCTCGATACCTCGAGGACGTAATGCCTCGGTTCGTTGACTCACGTCTGAGCCTCGGCGGGATGATCAGTGATGTGCTTGGGGAATCGTAGCTCGTCATGATGGCGGAGTTGTTGTCCTCTACTACGACCGGTGCGTCGGTGGCAAGGAACTCGCTTGAGCCAAGCTCGAAAGCACGCGGCCGTTTCTTGGGGTCTGGCTTGAAGAACCTCGTGACCAACTCCTGCAACGGCTTTGAGAGGTTCATGGAGTCTGACACCTCAGATGGCGAACGATACTTCTGAGGCACGTCAAGTCCGAATATCATCTGCAGGAAGACGACACCGAAGTCCCAAATGTCCGTCTTCGCAGTGTAATGAGGCTTTGATAAAGCAGCGGTCTCGGGCGGAAGCCAGTATGCAGACTTTGCGGAGCTGAGTCCAGGGGTTGCTTGTCCCTTGGACGAGATATTGTGCAGCTCTCTCTGATATACTGCATCTGCGAGTTTTGGAACCACTTCGCCCGTCTGCTCCCTGAAAAGTAGAATGTTTCCGGGATGTATGTCTTGATGGACTAGCGAGTTGTTGTGAAGGTAGGTCATGGCATCCAAAAGATCTCTCGTCCACGCACGAACCTTGCTAGTATCCAGTCGGTCAGCAAGATCTAGCAGCTCAGCAAGAGATCCCTTTTCAGCGCTAGGCGTGAGAATGCTGACAGTCGTCAGGCTTGACGAGGCTTTCTCGGCGCTACTCTTTCCCTGCTCTACCCTGAAATCCAGAATCTCAAGGACATTTCGGTGGCGAGCCTTCTTGAGTTCTTCAAGTTGGTTCTCGAGAAATTGAATCTGCTTCTTGAAAACGGCGACGTCCTTGGCAGTAGCTCGTAGGGCCGTCTCCTTCAGAGCCAGATTGGGGCAGTCCTGTCCGCTGGGGACCACAGGCCAAACGGAAAAGACGGTTGAAATGGGACCTTTTGCGACTTCAGACTTTCCAAAAACAGCCTGGAATGAAATGATATTTCCAGTCTTGTCTGTGGTGTGACAGGGGCGATCGAAGACGATGCACTCGGTGCCGCTCACTCCCCCCACGGTGGTGAGCTCGGTGGTTCGCTTTTGCTTGCGCGACTCCTTGGCCATTCTTCTTTTGCGCTCCACCTCAACCTGCAACAAGGCACCAAGAGCTCTCTCCTCTTCCTTGCTCTCTTCCGCCTTCTTCCTCTCCTCCTCTTCCTTTTGCTCCTGCTCCAACTTCACCAGCAAGGCTTCGTGAGCTGCTCGCTCCTCTTCAAGCGAGGGTAGCTCACGACCTTTCGCCTTGGCTTGAGCAGCGTCTTCCAGAATCTCTCTAAGTCCTTCCACGATACGATCCACCATCTCTTGCTCCTCAGCGGCGAAGACCTTTGGCTGGATCTCGATATACTTCTGGAGTTTGAACAGCACGACCTCACGGAGGTCGCCAGTATCTTTCAGAGTCAACAGAGGCGGACTCTTGGGATACGTAGCCGTCATGACGACGCCCAACGTGAGGGCGAAGTCTTCATCGGATGGGGCCCGGATACAAATGTCAAATCCAGGCTCCGATTTCTGCACGTTATCAGCACTGGTTTTGCGCCGATGAGGAGGATGACGTATTTACCTTCCAAGCACTCTGCGTCTCTGCATGCCTCACGAAATCCTCCCCATAAATGGCTTCCAGGGCGAAGACTTCGTTCTGCTGGAGCTCTTCATATTCAATTTTGGTGCCAGCCTCCGGGGTTCTGAGTCCCGGGAAGCTTGAGTCATCTTTGTTCTTAGTCGGTAGGTTGATGGGCTTTTTCCACACCCCGGATGCTTTCGACGCCATATCGATACGACGAGGAAGGGCTTGACAAATCACCACAGCATAAGCCGTGACGATAAGTTAAGAAGAAGCCATGCTGTTCTGCTAAATCGGGGATATCTGGTTCAAGGTAGGTGTTGGTGATGATCCAAAAAGTGAAAAAGACAAACGAATTTAAGCTGGCCAGAAGCGCACTAGGCCTCGACCGCTGTTCGCCTCCAGCTTCTAGCCTGATGCGCTGTCACAGTACAGCCCTTTCAGGCTTGGATCAAGTGGGGTTCCTGGGCGACAGGTGGCGCCCCTCACTGATGACGCCCATTGATTTAGGGGTTCTCTCAGTGGGCCTTGACGGCCAAACTTCTGGAGCGAGGGGCAAAGAACGCTAGATGGCCGTGAACAAACTGTGTGGACACTGTACGGGGCTGGTGGGCAACGGGACGCGCCCATTTGCGGTGACATCCTTGAAAGTAAACAAAAAAGTGAACTTTGACGTGGACATGGGAACCACATCTGTTCGCCGCGGTCAGATCGCCAACTACAAACCAATTGTTATCAGCCTGCCTGCATGCCAGCGCATATGCAGCAATCGCTTCAAGCGAACACTGCGCGACTTGATACACGCCGGACTTGCCCTTAAGTTCTTCCCCCCGGCGCATTCACGACTTTCCGCGGAAGACAAAATCCCCACGAAGCAAGGATGTTGGGCTGGGTTCTTAGACGAGGGTTGGAGGGCGCGTCAGGAGGAAATAGAGCGAACGCAGGCGCAGGTACGGAGAACCAACATCAATTTTCAAGACACACCGTTTCCCGGTTGACTAACGTCGCAATAGATGACACAACCCAAATCGAACAGCCAGATACGCCAGCCCCCGTCTTCGCTGCTCGGGCACTGAAGAGTGCAATCTTTGGCACACCTGCCCGACCCGACGACGAGCGCGACGACAGAGCTGCCAGAATGGCGCGTCAGAAGAACGTGGACGATTCCGACGCAGAGTCGCGTACACCGGTGAAGCAGCCTCAAGGCATCCTGCTCACCCCAGGGACCGGCACTTCTCGACGGAAACGCGTCTCGTTCGGAAACGATGTGCTAGAGAAAGCCGGCAATAAGAAGGGCAAGGGCAAAGATACGGAGGAGCGACCCGGAAAGTTTCCTAGCAGCTTCGAGAGCACAGGCGGCGATTCTGCGAGCAAGCGCACGAGATTGACCGAGGCGATGGAGAAGTCGCGCCGGGAGAAAGGAACCCCGGTTTCGCGGGAGACCCAACAGACGCGTCCTCAGCAATCCAAAGGCGAGGACGCTGAGGATGAATGGGAGGAAGCCGACGACGACCAATGCGCCCAGGACGCCACGATTGACCTTAACGAGCCTCATTCGCGGTCCGGAAAGTACTGGAAGTCAGAATTTGAGCAGTATCACCAGGACGCTAAAGCCGAGATGGAGAAACTGCTCAAGTACAAGCAGCTGGCTAAATCGTACGCCAAGATGAAGGACGCTGAGGCTATCGACCTGAACTCGAAGCTCAAGGAAGAACAGGACAAGGTTGCCGAGATGGAGAAGAGAATCGCCGACATGGCGGCGCAAATAGCTGCCAAGCGCGTCAGTGGCGAGGAACGAGACAATCCCCAGCTTATGAAGGACCTGGCGAAACAGACCGCGGTTGCTGTCGAATACAGGACTCAGGTCAAAGAGCTGGCGGCCCTGCTGGAAAACCGCGATGAGGAGGAAGGAGACGGACGTAGACGCCGGCGTCAAGCTGCTTCGCCCAGAACGCAAAAGACCCTGATGGAGACACAGCGCGAACTCAGAAAGGCCAGAGCTCAGGTCAAGGAGAACGGCGAACTAAAAGAAGAAATCGAAAAGCTCAAGTCCGACCTCCTTTTTGCGGAACAGCGAGCAAACAAGTTGGCTGAGGAGAACAAGCGACTGGCCGAAAAGCAGCCATTGCCGGACAAGGCGAGCTCGGCATCGACTGCGGAGTTGGAAGAGCTGAAAGCGCTCCGAGAAGCCTCTCGTCAGAAAGACGAGGAACTGCGGCAGCTAAAGGGAGACTTCGATGCTTACAGGGCGGAGGCCGAAGCCACGCAGGAGGAGACCAGGCGTATCCTCGAGAAGGCCACCGATAAGATTAACGATCTGAAGAAGGAAGTCAAGGCACTGAAGTCTGGAGCAGTCGACGGTCACAAACCTAAGTCATCTGTGAGCTCTCTGCCTGAACGGGAGACCGCCGAGAAGAAGGAGGACAGAAGACATCGAAACCAGGAGAGGCACCGGCCTGACGCTGCCGAAAAGGTCCGACCCTCGGCTGATACAAAACGACACAGCCTCGATCTTGTTGAGTCTCTCGGCAAGAAGCTCAACCAGTCGAAGTCACACAATCTCCGGGACAAGTACCAGCAGGATGGCGATTCATTTTCATCGGAAGAGGAAGATCTGGCCAAGGTACCCACGGGACGTCCCAAGTCCGAGATCATCTCAGGTCGAGTCGGCTTGGAGAAACCTAAGTGGCGCCCTTTCATCCCCAGATCACCTCGCAACAGGGCGTATCTCGGATCTGATCTGAACGACCGAATCGTCAGCGCGAGCGAGGTCCCATCCGGAACTACGCCAGCACCGCGACACAGATTCGCCAGCAAAGAAAACAACCCGCCCATCGACCTGTTGCAGGATCGATTTGCTCGACTCGGCATGCCCGAAGCCGATGCTAGCACCATCTTGGCGGCAAACATGTCGAAGAGCACCCTACCACCAGAGCGACGAGCCGCGGCCATTGCACGAATTGAACAGAGAAAGGCAGAGAAGAGGCGCGCATTGGCAGGCCTTAACAAGGAGAACATGCGACCCTGAAGAGAATGACGGATACCTGCACAAGGGCGGTAATGTCCTCGCCCATTTTTGTTATGGAGTTTTGGTTCTGGTATACGCATTGTACTAGTAGATTCCTGGTACTAGTAGATTTCTGGCACACAGGGTAGCATGGTGTTTGGGGGTATCATTCCAAGTCGGCGGAATACATCTAATAGATCCGACAACATATTTACCGCAATGCCCGTCCTTTTTACTTTTTACGTGTTTGTTTGGTTTGGTTTGGTGTATGTTCATGCGCTCAGAGTTCCCTTGGTGCTGGGAACCTCGCCCTCCTTACCCGCAACGCGGCTCGTCGCCATCTTGACGGCCACAGCCAGAGCCTTGAAGGCACTCTCGGCGCGGTGGTGGTCGTTCTCTCCTCTCAGGCAGTCGACGTGCAGAGTAACCCTCGCGCCCTGAGCGAAGCTCTGCAGGCAGTGGGGGATCATCTCGCAGCTGAGGTCGCCAATCTTCTCCCTCTTCAAGCCGAGGTCGACAACGCTGTAGGGACGGTTCGAGAGGTCGATGACGGCGCGGGAGAGGGCCTCGTCGAGGGGGGCATAGGCGTATCCGAAGCGGGCGAGGCCGGCCATGCTGCCCAGGGCATTGGCGAAGGCGTAGCCGAGGGCTATGCAGACGTCCTCGGCGGTGTGATGGTCGTCGACTGTCGCAGAAATCCATGTGTAAGCGGAAAGGGCAGTTCACGATAGTGCTGGAGAGAAGAGGAGGGCGACGGACTGTGCAGGTCGCCCTTGCAGTTCAGGGCCAGACTCCAGCCGGCGTGCTTGGAGAGGGCATGGAGCATGTGGTCGAGGAAGCCGATGCCGGTGTTGACGCTGATGGTCTGGGACTTGCTGGACTGCGAGGCGTGGCCGTCGCTGAGGGCCGCGGTGAGCCTCGAGTCGGTATCGGGTGGGAATGCCCCGCCATCCAGATTGAGGGCGAGCTGGATCTTGGTCTCGTTCGTGTCGCGGGCGATGGCGGCCCATCTGGGAGGGTGGGAGGTCGACGACATGGTGGATGGTTTCGGAGGAGTCGAAATATGCAAATGTGCAGTTAAAGTGTCTGTGATTTGCAAGATATCGCAAGTTGTATTCCGGTTTCCAAGAATTCGGGCACTTTTTCTTGAGTCACTTATCGATCAACGCCGTCCGTCGGAGCTCCAGCGCCGCGTGGTGGCGGACAACGTGGGGCATTGGCCAATCAGCGCCTCTCCACTGTCAGCGACGACAGCGCCAGTCGACACGCTCCAGCGCCCGCGTCCCCCACCATTCAGAGGGGATTTCACCGCTTATAGGCCCACCGAGCCCCAGCGGCAGAAAAAAAAAAGTATTCAAAAAGCCCGAGGCTGACGGGATTCTTTGTCCTTCCAGCTTAATAACGAAAAATCCCTCCAGAGGACACGGTTCAAAAACATGAACCAACACATCAGCGCTGCAGCCTGGTGTCTCTCATTGGTCCTCTTCTCCCACACCACCTGCAGATAAAAAGCATTGCCTTGCCATCTGCAAACTGCTAACCACATCACCACTTTCCTTCCTTATCCTGCTTATTTCCACCAGCCTTGATTTCTGGGGCGCCCTGAGACAAGAGAAGACAACATGTCGGAGATGCTTGATGTCTACTGGCAGGCGCCGCCCATCGCAAGGTAAGCTACTTCCTCAACCTTACTCGCCTCATCTCACCCAAGACCATCACGATGCTGACTCTCATCTCAGAACCCTTGCGACGGCCGCCTTCGTCACATCCATCTCGGTCCTCTTGGGCATCGTGAACCCGTACTGGTTCATCTTCATGCCGGATTTCTTATTCAGAATCCCGCCTCAGATCTGGCGCCTGGGCACCAACTTCCTGCTCACGGGTCCCCAGCTCGGCCTGCTGTTTGACACGTACTTCCTCTACCACTACCTCACCGCCCTCGAGATCGGCAATCCCCGCTTCCCGAGGCGCGAGGATGTCGTCTGGTATCTCATGTTTGTGTGCACCGTCATCACGGTAAGTCTATTGTCTCTGCTGCCCACGGCGGCCCTTTGCCCAACGTCTTCGCATGTTGTCGACGACAACCCTGGAAAGTTCCTGTGCCACCACACGTACCCAAAACAAAACCAAATCATCACTCTTGCACCAACAAAAATTTGCACCTCATATATCTGCCCGCACAGTGGAAACCCACGGCTGTGACGGTTCCTGGAAATGAGGAAGATTACCCCTGCGGGGCGGTATAGTCCACCTCAATTCGCTTTTAGGACTGTATCGTCGCGTGGGCATGGTGGGATGTCTTATGGATGGCTCGGGCGGCGTTTCAATGCTGCTCGAGTGGTTTTCTTAGCGCCCTACATTTTACCACCCAAACCCTGGGTTTCTTATTGTCCCGCTTGCCATCATTACCGCGTCGCTCCAGATCGGAGCTGTGTTGAATGTAATAAACAAAGCGCTAATGATCGCAAACAGGCGCTCTGCACCTACCTCATGGGCGGAGGAGCCTTCTTGCCCGCCTTGATCCTCGCTATGTGCCGTACCGTCACCCAGGACCAGCGCGGCATGAAGGCCAACTTCTACTTCGTCACCATCCCCGCCCAGCTGACGCCCTTCTGCATGATGCTCGTCTCCCTGCTTTTCCCCGGAGGTTACTACAATTTCATGCTCCAGCTCATGGGTTTCCTGGCCGCCCACATGTACGACTTCCTCACCCGCATCTGGCCCGAGTTCAGCGGAGGCCGCAACCTGATCCCCGCGCCCTCGTTTCTGTCGAGGCTCGTTCAGACACCGAGGTTCTACCGCCGCGAGTACGGCACCGCAGTGAACAACCGCGCTCAGGCTGGAGGCCAGACTGCCGGCGGCAGCAGCACCGGGGCCTCTCTGGGTAATGGACCCCTTCCCGACTCGTGGAGGACTAGAGGCCCTGGACGTCGGCTGGGCGATTAGAGGAACGGGATGCAGCGGAATGAAGAGTTGTACGATAAGCATCAGATACCACTGCGAGCATTGCAATGTATTTTGCATTACGAATAATATTGTATTCGTCCCTGAGTTTCATATCACTCGTTGACAGTTTAGTTACCTGACGCCATGAGTCCGCGCTACTAAATACAAAAGACCTCCGTTCCAAGACTCCCGAGCCGTTTCCTTCCGATTCCAGTGTCGTGACGTCTCATGTCGTCGTGACTAGGTCACTATCCGTAAAGTGTGCTCTTGCCACTACGGATGGGCATGTCACCCTCATACTCTTGAGGATCTTCTCTCGCCGGCGCCACGTGCGAAATGACCGCCGCTCGTCCGGCCAGCGGCCTGTCCGCGAACCTCTCCTGGTGGAAGGTCAGCGGTTGCGAGATCTGCATGTTCTCGGTCTCGCCCTGGTCCGCTATCGGGGTCGCGCCTTGCACCTTGATCTGTGGCGGGGAGTACTTCTTCGGCACGCGGATGCGAGGAACCGAAGGGAGCACCAGAGACGGTATCCTTGACGATGTCTTGCGCGTCGGCGGTCCCGGAGGAGGTGGAGGCGGCGGCACCGAGACCATCTTTGGTTGCACAGCTTGAGAGCCGCGTGATTCGTGCGAATGTGCCGGCGATGGCGTGCGCGATACTGCTGCTGCCGGCGGAGCTTTGATGCCTGTTACGCCTTCATCGTTGACGGCGTTTAGGTATGTCTGAAGAGCGTATGAGTCCGGGGTATTCGTCTTTCGCGAACTGGGAGGCTGGGGTTCGGGTACGCGGGTTGACTGGCGGCTCATGGCTCGAGGAATATATGCGGGGTGTGTTGGGAGAGCGCTGCCGAGGGCGTGATTGTTTGAGCGGGGGTCGAAGTTGTAGTGCGCCATCTCACGTCCCGCTTGGATGTCCTGCTCTATCTTGTCGTAGTAGTCGGCATTGTTCGAGAATGATTGCTTCTCTTGGAGCTCGTAGTTGTAGGAGTTGATGGATGATGACTTCTTGTGATCCCCTATCGGGACGTAGGGACTGTTGTTCATCGTGACGAACGAGTTGGAGTGACTCCTGGGTTGGTGAGGCAGGGTGTCCGAATCTCCTCCTTGCAGCAACTTTTGTTTTCTTTGCCTTCGGCAGTAAATGATGAAAAGACAGATGGCGCCAACGAATACAAGACCGCCACCGACGGCGATGCCCACAATGGTGCCAGTCGTCATCGTTGTCGAGGATGCTCCTCCGTCTCCCGGCAGCGTGGTGTTCGTGGTCGGCTCGGTAATATTGACCGCACTGTCAGAGAAAAGTTGGCCCGTCAAGCCGATCAGATGCCCGTTGGCAGGCTTCTGCTGGCAACCAGCTTTGAGAGCAATCAAGACTGTGGAACAGGCGTCAGCAAAGTTCCAGGATCGAGTTGTTTGCACGTCACCCACAATTTGAGAGGTAGCTTTGATCTTCACTAGACTGCAAGCATCTGACACATGACCACCAATTCGAGCTTGAAAACTTGTCCCCATCGGCTGTGCAGTAGTCGAACGACGTAGCAGCGTCTGGCGTGGTGAGGCCAGCCGTCAGAGCGTTCTTGAGCGGTCTGCAGGCGCTGTTGATGATGCACGGCGAGTTGATATGAGAGATCGCGTCCGGGAAATCAAACAGGCAAACATCGACGGCATATCGGATGTTGTCTATCATGTAAAGTCAGCATTGGTGCTCTTAATTTTGCCTCTTGGTGGCTCAAGAGCTTACACAAGAACCAAGCGGCATCGCTTGCGGCCCCCTTGGCCGCCTCACTCTTTTGCAAACAAGAAACACAGTTCTTGAACTTGATACCCTTTCCGGTCGTGTGATACTGGGCGTCTTCGCAAACGATGTCGGACGAGTTCGTGCCAGTAGTGGCGGTATCGACTGTCGTTTCGTTCGTTCCACCTAAACACAATGCCGCACAATCCGAGCCGGGTGTCACCTCGAGCGACAAAGCAATGGTGATGAGCCAGAATCCGGCCAGAAAATGCCATAGGCTTAGGGCGGTCATGGTGGAGTGGTTCAGGGTGGTGAGGTTCGTGGAGAGGACGAGGTTGGAGGAGAGGGCGGCTGGATGAGATATCCAGATAACCTCGTCAGCATGGTATAATACTCTCGACAAAAACTCGCGATGTCAAGACGAAACCCTATTCAGAAAGTGTTCTAATAGAACAGCTTTCTAAAACCAAGACAAATCTCGTCCTGACAAAATCCAACTGAGCCTTTGCGGGACTCATTGCACATATACTCCCAGATTGCAAAGGTAGCACTGCGGCACGGGCGATCCCCATGCAAGACAGGCAGGCGGCTCTGCAGTAACAGGCATTGCAACCGTAGAGAGGGATCTATTTTTGATGGCTTGTGGTGTAGTCGCGTTGGCTCTAGACTACGGGAAGATCAAATGCTAAGTCCAAAGACAGTAAAGCCCTTCAGACGTGGTTGTTCTCCAGATCGCCAGGCGGGCAGCTGAGAATAGCAGCCAAGAACGGGCGGGTATATGAGAGTCCAATAAGACCGCGCGTAAGTTGAACCCTTGGCCGTGTAATCGCGCCCAGGCTGGAACTTGACGAATTGAATCGAAGAGATCTGGATTCCTCAGCGCCAAACAAATGTATGTCTGGCCGGGATGTAAGGAAACGAGAGATGTAAGTGGTCAGAGATGGGTAGACACACGGGAAGTTGAAACGGGGAAGTTAGGCGTGAGTGGTGTTGCAGGCGCCGGCCGGCCATGCGGCCTCTTCCTACCCCTGTCTTCGAGAAGGACTCAACCAGCCATTTAGCGGCCGCCTTCCTGTTCATGGGCCCGCCTGCCCGCTTTCTTGACAGCTTGATTTAGTTAAAGGCAGACGGGGGGCGGGGAAATCAGACCACTTCTTTTCTACCTTAAGCTGTGGCCGAGATTGCCACGCGACTCAACTTCGAGCAGAATGCGGAATGTTGAGATTTCTCCGTCTACTCCGCTCTCTGTTTTGGATGCCCAGGCCTCGGTGGAGAGACCTGGCCAACATCTTAGAGCGGCGGGATGATCGCCAGGATGGACCGAACCCAAGCCCGGATATCCCAGGAAAACATGGCAATAGAAACAAATTGTGTCTTTTTTCCTATTGTAGATGTCAAACACTTGACCGAAGCAAACCGCGTCTACCAGCCAACTACAGGCCAAGCCAACACACAACGACGGCGTCCTTGCCGCGATGTTGACACTCTTGAGAAAACTTTGGTAGACCGCATCCATCCTGCATTATAGCGGACCAAAGTAACCATGGGAGGGCTGCCTGCCTTCCCACTCGTGGTGGTGCGCCGTTGTGCGCGTCTGGCTGTCACCTGCAGGCGAATTTCCCTGAATAGAAGTGAGTGTGATAGTGGCTGCATGAGCCAACCACCTCATCGCTCCAATGACTCCTGGAGGGGTAGCTTTCCGTCTGTCGTGCGCACGAACACCTCCATCTCGTTGACCCCGAACCAAGATGGTATTTTGGGATATTCCGACTTGGAGGTTTACATCCGACACCGTGAGCTCACACTGCTTCCTGCAAGATATATCACCCGACGAGTAAGAGACATCTTGTGGGTTCCTAGATGTTAACTCTTATAAAAGGGCAATGTCCGCGCTCTCCTTGGCTGTAGATTCTTGCGGTCACTTGAAACCCTGTGAAAGAGAGACGACATCTTTTCTTCGTGTTTCTTTGATCAAATTTCACCAACATGATACAAATATGTTGAGTAGCAGGGCCTCTCTTTCTTTTCTGTCAGGTATGATAGCGACGTTCTTTCCCATACCTCCGGTATTCAAGCTCTTCGGTCGCACTTCTTCGCGTGCTTGTTGCCGGCTCTGGGTAAGCAAGCTTACCGCCATTTATTTGCAACTTTTGCCCTGCCGGGTCGTTGCACGAAGTAAGAGGCCGACAACCAAACACAATGTTTGTTCTCTTGTTTCCATTATTAGTCATACAAGTTTATGCCATCGCCACTCCATTAGCTGCAGAGCGTACAAGTTCATCTACCTTCAGCTTCTTTTTCGTTGAACTTGAAGGAGTGAATGGACGGAATCCAACTGCTGTCAAGTATATGGACTTTGTCCGTAAGCCGCCAGTATCTAGCATGCAGGTATTCCGACACATCTCGTACTATGATACTATGGCTCAACTGTCACAAACTCAGCAGAAGGCTTGAACGAGAAACCGTTAAATTACGGATCAGAGTAGGTTACCTGTGGCGAACGCCTGGGCCAGCATCGACGCCCTTCCCGAGCGCCATCCCCGCCCACACGAGAATGTTCCGTCTAGCCACAAAGTCCCTGAGTCTCATGTAGATATCCAAACCAAGTTTGTGAAATGTGCTTCTCAATCTGGATCACGCAGCGTCGTTCTTGGAAATTGGAAAGCCTCGAACGGGCCCAAATCAGCTCTGAGCCACCGGACCGACGGTGCTGCTTCGGCCAGTCTTGGGTGTGTTACCGTTGGATAGGGGCGGTTTGGGTTGTACATCATCGCCCAACTATCACATCGAAGGTCTTACGCGTAACAAATGCTTCAAACCTCATGATCTTTTCGCGAATGATAGTGACACCACACGTGGTATCTGCTCTTTCCGCCGGGTCGCTCTGGGATGTCAGAAACCTATTTAAAGGGCAATGCCAGTCAGCCTAATGATGAATTGAATCGCCCAGAAGATATCAAGGCAGTAGTCAAGAATAACTCGCAGTCATGATTCTCAACACTCTCATTTTTGTCGCGGCACTTGCCTCGCAACCCTTGGCTTCACTGGCAGCCCCCGTCGAGCCGATCCGGGACTTTAATGCCGAAGATTGGAGCCTCATCAACTTCCGACGATCTTGCGCGGAGGACCAGAGCAGCTGTGACTACAGCTTTCTGATTACCGAATCCGCCGCAAACACCCCCAAGGAGTGTAGCTTCACGATCCAAGCCGTCGATCGCCCCGCCTACCAAACTAGCTTCTCACTGGCCAAGTGCCCCGGCGCAACTGAGTACAGCATCAACGGCGGCTGGAACGACCTTGGCTTCGTCACCCTGTCGGTCATCAACGACAAGAGGAGCCTCATCTCTTGGTTCTCGTACAAGGACGACACACTTGCGAGCGGCGCCGAGACTGGTGCTCAGAAGTCCAAAGTGTACTTCCACCCCATCTCTGTGAAGCGAGACATCTCGACGAAGGATCACCATGAAAGTCTGGCGGAGGCTTCTGACTGGAAACTAGTGAATGTTGTGAGATGTAAGCAATTGCTCTGTGCACCGAGAGCTTTCCTTCGATTGACTGACGAGCATCCAGACACAGTCAACCAGGGCACGCCTCAGGAGACAGTGGTGGTTTCCTTCTCAATCATGAGCGGCGAAGAAAACGAAAGCGAGAACGTGTCTGCGGAGTACTGTTTCCTTGAAGTACCAGTGGTTCAGGAAGACGGCGCATCGTCGAATAGCTTCTTCGGCCGTGAATGTCAACAAGGTGCCAAAGGCTGGCAGGTCTCTTGGGGCCACAACGAGGTGACCGACGAGGTGGTTATGACACTTGTCAAGTAAGTAACACTGCGGAACTACCGATGATCCAGTATTGACCTAAGACACAGCCAAGAAAAAGGCAAGCAGGCCTGGTTCGGGTTTAACAACGTCAGCACGCATGTCTTGCTAGGAACCAACGGACCCAACCCCACGAAAGAGCTGCCGGTATAGACATCACCACAGACGAGCCTGCGGTGTTGGGACTGTGCTGGCGGCTCTTTGACGAGCCGTGGTGGAGAACTGGCTGGCGGAAGAAGCGGTGATCCTGTTTATTGGCACCAATCGTTGTTGTTGCGGTTACTTAGCGCGCGTTATGTTGGTGGGCCGCCCTGTATCGTTATAGTCGGTGTAGAGAATCGAAACAAAGTTTCATCATTGTTCCCATGCTCCAGACTGCATGTTGGGCCATGGAGAATACAACGTTATCACGCAAACCTCTCTCACCCTGGATCGGTAAGGTAAAGAGGTCAGTCGGACCGGGGAAAGACAGAGAAGCCCGTCTGAATGGCGAATAATGTCTCCCGGAACAGAGCCGTAGATGTTTTTCTGCCCAATGACGCCTCGCAAGGCGGAAGCAAGGGTGCTCAATTGGGAGGATTACGCGCCGGTGGACTTGAACTAAGGGAGGTTGGCTTGAATTTTGATGCCACTCTACCTGGACTGAGCAAACTGGCCATTCGTGCGGCATTGGGCGAATAGGGGTCAGACTCTCCACCAAGCCCGAGGAATCGGAACGTCGTCAAGAGGCTCCTGTCCAACGGGTCGCGTTGCAGGTATTGATCGGCATGATAATGCCCCGGAAGGACTTGCGCCAGGACAAGAAGCCGGGTGAGATGAGGTGGTAAGCAGACAAAACCGCGCGAAGTGCGTGACCAAATTCCTGTGCAGTATACCCTGGCTGGCTCGTTGACCTGCAGCATAGCAGGTCATTCTCGTGCATTCGCAATCACCACCTGCAGGTTGTTCACACGCCGGCTGCTGCTCCGCGGGTGCCATCAATCCCCAAATTACGGTGAAGGTGATCGAGTCAAGTCTCTCCTGCCCGTTAACCTGGTCGTGTAACCGTTTGCCTCTGTTCCGACCGTCAGCGTGTATCCATGTCGTGGAAACACCGAGGGGCTGGTCAGGGCAGGCTGAGAATGCCGTGCTCCCTTTCCATCTTTGTCACCTCTCCCAGTCGCCATCGTGTAAACGCGATCGGTAGTGATCATGCTGGCCAGTCTGGCTCGTAGGAAAACGAGTTGCCGGATGCGCAGCTAGATCAGTTCTGAGTTGGGCAATGGATTGAGGACGCCCGACGCCCGCCCAAGATGACGGGACAGTGGCCTCGTTTCCATGCCAGCTAAGTAGACTGCTCCTGGGTACTGCATCCTTCTCATGCGGTTGGCTCTTAGTACAGTCGTTGACAGGGGTCGGTCAACATCCGAGAATATCCTCATTTGTCCGACGGCTGAAATGGTCACACCTGGCGACAGACTTGGCAATCTCCCTGTGGTGGTCATTGCAAGTATTCCGGGGCGATCGTCAAGGAGAGGTCGGATCTCTCCAAGTCCAACAAGACGGTGTTCAGAATTCCAACGGCTGAAGTTGATGGTGCTGGGATAGCCGACCCAAGAAAACCCTTGTGAAGACGCTAGTGGGGCACACCATGTGCGTATGGTCCGTGCATTTTGCGGGCGACGGGTCAAAAGTGACGAGTGGCTGCTAGCGACTGGCTCTTTCCAAACCATCCTGGCCATGCAAGCTGACAGCGGCAAACGTCGCAATCCTGTTGGTTATTCTCCATCACCACCAACACACAGTAACAACTGGCTGGCGACCATCAGGAGGCAGGCAGAGCAGACATTCCTGAACTTCTGCAGAGCCTTGAGTCCCAAAGTCCCCATGAGTCTCGGTGGCCCTACCCGGTGGTCAGGGTCATTGCAACTTTACCCTGTTCTCCTGCCCACTCCTTTTCCCCCGCTCTCCAAACAGCGACATCGCCCTCGAGATTTCCTAGATTAGCACGCGCTAGCCCTTCTCTCTTTGCCCAGTCTTCCAGTCCTACACCTCGTCCGGCATCGTGAAGTCGTCGCGTTCTTGAATGTATCGGTTATCGCGAGAACACCTTCAACTTTCCTTTGCGGCGAGACGTGCGACCGGTCGAGGGGTTATCGAAGACGGAGTCTTGAATCTGTTCGTCGCATCGTTATCGACCTCCGCTCAGCATGAGGATAGGCTGTCTCCAATTCGCCCCCCAGGTGGGCGATATCGACAATAACCTCAATCGAGCCGACTCGGTCTTGAGCAAGGCAAACACGGACGACCTTGATCTACTTGTATTGCCTGAGCTGGCTTTCTCAGGTAAGACTCGATATTTGTTTTTGTTTTATCGCGGTCGCACTGAACACATGGGCTTCGCGATCGATTTGTCTAGGGCTATGCTGATACCCGGAGCAGGATACAACTTCAAGTCTTTGCAACAGATCTCGCCCTTTCTTGAGCCATCAGGATCTGGAATCACTTCCTTGTGGGCGCGAACAACTGCTCTCAAGTACAACTGCAATGTTGTTGTTGGCTACCCGGAAAAGGTCGATGTCTCAAGCCAATGGCCGACCGGCCCTGAGTACTATAACTCTGCCATCGTAGTGAATGGAGATGGAGAGACGATCGCAAATTATCGGAAAAGCTTCCTCTACTATACGGATGAGACATGGGCACTCGAGGGCAACCAAGGATTCTACGAGGGTTGGATTCCTGGCCTTGGAAACACCTCCATTGGCATTTGTAAGTTTTGCTGCAGTATTTTGATATCGATACACGGCTAACATTGTACGCAGGCATGGACTTGAAGTAAGTTTAACAAACCTCTAATTTGGAGGTTTCCTGTGCTAACCGAACTTAGCCCCTACAAGTTTCAAGCACCGTGGCACGCCTTTGAGTTCGCTTTCCACGTTCTTGAGTATGAATCGAACCTGGTCATTGTATCTATGGCATGGATGACTCGTGAAGACGGCCGTATGTTCAGTCGGATGCCCAACGAACCAGACATGGACACTCTGACCTACTGGGTCACCCGTCTGGAACCCCTCATTCGATCAGAGAACGAAGATGAGATCATCGTGGTGTTCTGCAATCGGACCGGTACGGAGGATGAAGTGGTCTACGCTGGCACAAGCGCGGTCGTTGGGGTCCAGGATGGCGAGGTCAAGATCTACGGTCTGCTGGGTCGAGGCGAAAAGGAATTACTGGTCATCAACACCAGCAATCCTCCGTATGCAAAGCTGGTTTATCGCCCAGAGCCCGAGAGGCCTTCGGCTGTTCACTCCGAACTGTTGCAAACTGGCTCTTCTGCGTCTGCAACGAATGCGCCTGCATCGGGCTCTTCATCCCAAGGCGGTGGAACAAGACAAGGCTTCTCCTCGCACACCCCGACACAGCCGACATCGCCGCCTAACCAATCCTCTGCAGCTTCGGTCTCATCTCAGAGATCACAAAGGTCCCAAAGGTCTCAGAAATCTCAAAAGTCTGAGAAGACCCAAACATCGCCCAAGAAGTCATCCAGGCAGGCTAAACCACCGCCAAATATTCAAATCCCATCTCTGAATGCGTCACCCGGGTCTTTCTCCCGAAATACCACCGCTGATTCGCCAGGCTCAGAGAGCATCAACCTTCCAACTCCAACGGCTCCGAGTCCGACGCCGATGGCCATCCGACCCAAGTTAATCATTCCGCAATCACCACCACTCGCGCCGTGGCAGACTTCTAGCCCTGTTCCTCAAAGCAGTCATTCCATCCGGTCAATTCACTCTCAGCATTCGGTCCAGTCAGAGCAATCTGTGCGCTCCAACAGCACCGTCACGTCAAACCCTCGTCCGCCTGAGGATAGCACGCCTTACCCTCACAGTGGCGCCCCATTGAGCGGATATCCCACCAAAAACTCGGATAAAAGGATTTATGGAGGAAGTGTTTCCATCAGCCACATGCCGTTCACTCCCATCACGCCGTTTGACGATGGGTCACCCATAGAAGCGCGTTACTTCTGGCGACCTTCTGACAGTTTTCTGAAGACGCCCATGGACTCGAAACCTCGAAGCGCCGTGGCCGAGCCTGACGATACCAGAACTATGAGCTTTCATTTCCCACTGTTCCACGAAGCGGTACCCCGAACACAATCCTCGAACTCTAACCGCACGGTGGCTACGGCAATCACTGCAAGAAAGGACGATGAGCGACCCTCAAAGGACAGGAAGGGCACACCATCGCAAGGTGCGAAAGCTCGTGCTTCAAGCAAGTCGCGGTCCGGAGATGTTGTAACCGCGAGAGGAAAAACACCCTCCCAAGAGCCTTTTCCTGCCCGTCCTTCGTATCCCAAATCTCGGAATGCCAGCCGATCACGGACCCATGATCGTTCCGACTCTACACTGGGCCATCGCGAACACGCCAACATCGTCTCTCAACACTTGGAATACGTTTCTCAGAGGGCAGAATCGGTGAACAGAAATCGATCGTTTCCCGAGGCTGTCTCAACGCCTCAACCCGACAGACCGTCTTCGCCAAAGTCTCGCAATTGCAGTAGAAGTCGGCCAAACGAGCACCTGTCATCGATTCTGATAGGTGCTAGCCCGAGCATTCTTGCCGATGAACAATCTCGTCAATCCGTTCCGATAGCATCTGAGTTGCAGAGATCGCCACCCCAACGATCTATCTCCCGTATGAGTTTTCGTGCAAGGGCTGGTTCGGCTACGGACGTTCGTCCTGGTTCCAGGGCCTCTATTAACGCAGAGCACGTCGGACCCCGTCCAATGTCTCGCGCTGCCAGCCGAGGCCGCCAACCTGGGCCAGTCTTTTCACCACCGAAAATGTCGCCGCATGACCCGTCGCTCCCTGCGGAACAGGCCGGAGATGAGATTGTTCGAATTGAACGAGACAGAAAACGCTCAATTGGTTCGAAGCCTCCGGTCGACTCACCTGCTTCAGAGCCCACGTTTGAGCGGATTGAGTCCATTGTGTGTTCTTCATGTCCTGTCCATGGACGACATTCTACGGGATCAGCTCCGGCTCCTCATTCAACATCGCCAGGACCCAGGGCATCGCCGGACTTGCATTCCGGAAGATCAATGTCGTCGCCAGCAACAGCTAATACCTCTGAGAGCATCGATGCTGTAACAAGCAGCTACGTTGGAGGCGACCCTAAGTTTTCAATTGCCGACTCCAACAAGCTCAGCGACGTAAGCTCTCTTGCGGAGACAATAGAGACAATTTCAACCAACAGCCGGTCACCATCTACACCTTTCTTCGAGCCAACAACCCCGAAAGCAATGGTCATCATCCGTGACTCAGATGTCGACAGCAACGGAGGATCACTTGCCCCGGAATTGCCTTCTAATCTTCCAGACCTGACTTGTGTGGATAGAACCGCCGGCCCTACCCCTGACGGGCCTAGGGCCATCGCGACTTAGACGCATGCATTTTGGTTCTTACTTTCTTTCGTGATTTTTCTGTAATTTAGCGGGGAGTCTGGGCCTCAAGTGTGAGGATGGAAATGTGTCTTTTGTGAAAAACAGGATACCAAAGCACATAATGAATAACGGATCAGGGAATCATCGAGATATGATGCAATGGGCGGAATGGGCGGAACGGAATCAGTGGACTAAGGCTACAGGTTTTCTGGCGACAGTGGTGTTAATTCACCAGTACTTACAAACTACCTAGTTTATGTACGGCTCTTCGGCCGCTTTTTCATGAAGATTGTCATTCCTTTACCCGATCTGCGATACAGGATATTCGCCCACGCTGATGCCACACTTAGAAGTGATGTTTGTCCGGAGTGGAGCAAAACCGTGAACAACTTCAGAGAGTGAAATTAAGCGCATATCCTTGCCAAACTGTCCAGGCGCTCTTAGAATGCAACAGTACACAAACAAAAATCTGGCCGAGGGGGCCGACCGATTAACCGCGCCTGCGGCAAACTACGAATCGTACATCGGTGCCTACGTTGATTCTTGCGTTACTGGCCAAGTTAGCGGATCCCTCCGCATTCCGGTACGTTGGTGAGTCGATGATCAGGTCAAAGTGTCTCCAAGCGCTTGTTGGACCATGTTGTTTGCTTCCAACACACTCGGTCACGATAATCCTATCGCTCCTGTGTGGTTGAAGAAGGAGGCCATGTGCCAAGACGTTGGAGGGTGGGCTATTGAATTCGGATGGCATTCTGACCAGTGCGGGAAACCAGGAACGCCATGCCCTTTCTCCTCCTTTCACGGCGCTAGGCCGTCCAACGGGCCTTCACCCGGCAGGATACAAGCTCACGGAGCGTCCAATCACGGCGCGGAGACGGACGGCGGCGCCCCGGAGAGGGTTGCTGATGTGTGAACTCGGACAGGGATTCTTGCAGCTCTAGCTTCCCTCGTCTCCCGGGGTCGTGTGCAAGCTCAGTGGCTGGGGGCCGGCAACGTCGCTGCACGCCACCGTCCACCTCGGCGCTAGGAGAGCCAGCGACGAGAGCAGATCTCGCCCTCCAAGATGCTCACAGCGGTGTGTGTGGGATCGCAGGCCTTGCCTACGACCTACGAGGCCGTCCAGCCAGCTCACCTTTTTTGCCGGATTACCAGGCAGATAGGTAGCAATCATTGAGTTCACCTGGGCATTCGTATCTGTTGGTGCGGCCCGGGATTGTGGTCGTGTGGACCGACCTCCTCCTCTGCTCGCAGGTCGACTGGAGGAACGAGGAGAGAAATCTGCACCCTGGTTCGCCGTGCCACCCCAATTCTTCTGGACCCCAATCACACGCTCCGGAGAACCAACGAGGGTGATGGAAGATGCAGATGGGGTGCGTCCTCTCGTCACAATCACAAAATGCGCCCATCTTCCCTCTCGCAAACCACCGAAACACATATGAGGCGCCGTTTCGCATGTCGTGGGGTTTGTTTCGATCGCGAACGTCGTCACATCGTGATATCCTCCTGAAAGCGTCAATCTACCGTCCGTCTCGTCACCGCCGTACTTGAAAAAGCTTGCGCAACGATCCGGACTTCCCACATCTCACGCCCGCAGGCATGTAACACTGGCGATTTTGCCCCTCAGCGATCGACTGCAGACCGGTATTTCCTTGCGAGGAAGCCAGTACATAAACGCGACGATTCCCAACTGGCATTCGCCTCTGACTGCCAGGGAAGATTATTAGAGATTTTCCCAAATTGCGCTCAATATGAAGTCTGCGATTGGCGCCGCTTCGGCGCTCAGCCTCTGGCTCGGCCACGCGACGGCTATCCACGTGGCGAAGGGTTCACCTTGCGAGACACTCTGCGGCAACGTGCTGGATGCGACCACCAAGAACGACGTCGTCTGTAAAGAGACCGATTATTCGGGAAGTGCTGCCGGTTCGGTTTACCAGCAATGCGTCTCCTGCGAGTTGACGAGCGACTATGCAACCGAAACCCAGACCGACGTTCAATGGCTTCTATGTAGGCGGCATATGCTTCCCAGGCAGGATTTCGACTAACAAGAGTCAGACAACCTCCGCTATGCCATTTCTTACTGCATTTACGGCTTTCCAGAGAACCCCAACGTTGGGTCGAGCCCGTGTCTCACAAGGTATGTCAGCGTGTGATGGCGTCGTTGGTCCTACCTAGTAACCGTTGAGATAGAACTGCTTGCGAGCCTTTCCAAAACGCCATCAAATACGGCGACCTGGCGTCCAATGGCACAGAGTATGATTACTGCACCGAATGGGACCATAACCTGGTCGGCGGATGTACATCCTGTCTCCGTGCGGGCGACAACCATTACTTGACCAACTGTATGTGCCACAGGCTGCATGTCTGATCCTTTAACTTGACTGACAACCTCGCAGTTATAACAATCTTGGATGCCGGATGCCAGCAGAGACCCGACCCTGGGCAAACTATATCAGTAGAAGGCTCGCCATTCTCCAAGACCAGCGTCAACGTCACCGACCCGACGCCAACGAACACCTACGTCCCAAACTACGACAATGGGCCATTGTCCCTGGGCGCCAAGGTCGGCATCGCGATCGGAGGTGTTCTTCTCATCCTCGGTTTGACTGGTTTCTGCATCGTCTGGAACGGTAAGAGAAGGAGAAGAGCCTTTTTGAAGAGGCTCGAGATGAAGCAGAAGGGTCCCTCCGCCGGGTGGCCTTCGCCGCTGAACGTCGCCGGACTCAACGGCACCCCGCTCAGTCAACGCCCGCTTCGAAGCTGGGATGACACGCCCAACAGCTCCAGACCGACGCGCGGCTGGGACGAGTCCCCATTGAGTCCACAAGGGGAGAAGACGTTCCCGAGATACTTCTCGCCTTACTCTTCCCAGTACAACAGTCCAGTCAGCGGCACAGAGGCGCCGAATATGCAGTGGCCAGCCCAGGGCGCAAGCCACCAGAACCAGCAGCAGAGCCAGCAACAAGAAACCGGCCTTGCTCTCGGCGGCGACGATTCAGAGCAAGGCTGGGATGATTCCAATAAGGGAAAGGGCCGATCTGAGTCCTATGAGTTGAGAGAGGTTGATGGTCATTGGGACGCGCGCCAGAGGCACCCGAGCCCGCCCGTTCTCCAGCACCCGGCGCATCCGATGTATGCGGAGCACAACCCGGCTGCATACCATGGGATGACGGAGGATGATTTGAGAAGGGGGTACATATGAACATGGGCATGTCGTTTGATTGGAATTGAGGTGCTGTATATAGTGAGGCGTGAAGCCTTCGCTCCTTCACAAGTTTTGGATGTTAGCGGGAGTTTGGAGTTGGACGATACCGAATGAATCTCATGATCATCTGTCAATGCCTGAGAATTAGTCTCGCAATGAGGAATGAATTGAAGGTATCAATAATATTCGACACAATTGTAACTTGTGACCTGACATTCACGGCATTCGCCGGACCGTTCTTCGTTCCGCCACGCATGACGATGTTTTTCTTAAAGGTCGAGAAACCCATCCAGGGACGTTTCTTAGTGGGGACAAAACGGAGTCGCGTCTTGGGTCCTGTGGCTAACTGTGGTGGACCAGCCAATGGCGTCCGTTCAATGGCTTTTCGACGCCACATTGCGGAGCCAATGGATTTTTTGGCAGCTCCCCCCACAGCGACGAGAAAAAAAATTTGGATTGGGAAGCTTTCGAGTCCTCAACACCACGGAGACCTTCCTCTTGGACGTTCGCGAGTACCTGCCGCAAACGCCCAACACCCACCCCGACACCTTCCCTCCCAGTACAACGCGTTCCTGTCGTTCCGGGAAATACAGTCGGCAAGATGGCCATGGAGATTGTCAAGCACAGCGAGGAGGAGGAGTTCGCCATCAAGCCTCAGGCTTCTGTCCCCCAGCTGGACACTAGCAACTGGCCTCTGTTGCTCAAGAACTACGACAAGCGCAAGTTTCCTTCTCTTTTGGACGCGAAGCGTATGCCTCGTATAGATTGAACGCACGACTGACTGGTCTTGTAGTTCTCGTCCGGACGGGTCACTTCACCCCCATTCCGGCAGGATGCAGCCCTCTGAAGAGAGACATCAAGTCGTACATCTCCTCCGGTGTTATCAACCTCGACAAGCCCTCTAACGTACGTGCTGCTGTCAATGGCTATTCCTGATTGTTTCGTGCGCTAATTCGTGTGTAGCCCTCTTCTCACGAGGTTGTCGCTTGGGTCAAGCGTATGCTCCGGTATGCAGTTCCCCCATCACGCTTGCATCGCGGCGATGCTTTGCGGTTTATACGATGCGCTCCTCGAGATCGAAGACGAACCGACGGCAATGGCAATGGCAATGGCAATATTTTGGGCATATGGCGGCTACACGGGCAGTTTTTTCTTATCAAGTGCGCGCACGTGGTCGGCCGTTTTTTTGCGAAACAGACGAGGATCCCGGCACAGCCTGCGATTTCTCCGACGACGAAGGGCCTGCCGCAACAATCGGACAAATTCGTGAGGCTGTGACGATGAGGCAAGCCAGTATCGAGTTGAATACCGACTTGAGAAGTTTTCGCGGAAGGCTGTGCTGAAAAGCGACCGCCATGGATTGCCCTGGGACGCGTCGCCAAGAATCGCGGGAACTGCCATTGCCGTCAGCTTGTCAACAAGAACCATGATCGAACGATTTCGGGGAGCCTCATGCTTGGCTTTTGTTGGACTTGCCTTTGGGATGAATTTTTCGCTAACCGGTTTCCGCGCAGTGTTGAGAAGACTGGTCACAGCGGTACCCTTGATCCCAAGGTCACTGGTGAGTAACGTCTCGTCCCACATCGACGTCTCGAACGTGTTTTGCTAACTTTCTCAGGTTGTTTGATTGTTTGGTTAGTAGCAACCTTCCAGTTCCGACGAACCGCTCGTATCCTTGAGACATTGCGACTGACGGAATTTCCTCGTGCAGCGTCGACCGTGCTACCAGACTCGTCAAGTCCCAGCAGGGTGCTGGTAAGGAGTATGTTGCCGTCATTCGCCTTCACGACAAGCTGCCCGGTGGTCAGGCCCAGTTTGCCCGCGCTCTCGAGAGTGAGTTGAATCCAACCTCATCAACTGCCGGCATCATTCTGACTCGTTTTCTCTAGCCTTGACTGGTGCCCTCTTCCAGCGCCCGCCTTTGATCTCTGCCGTCAAGCGTCAGCTGCGTATCCGTACCATCTACGAGACCAAGCTCATCGAGTTCGACAATGTGAGTTGATCCACTCCTGTCTTGGAACTATTGCTGACCGCAACTCAAGGATCGCCACCTCGGTGTCTTCTGGGTTTCCTGCGAGGCCGGTACCTACATCCGTACCCTCTGCGTCCACCTCGTACGTAACATCAAAAGGCGATCATTCAGCCTTGTTCTGATTGCTTACATGAAATAGGGACTTTTGTTGGGTGTTGGTGGCCACATGCAGGAGCTCCGCAGAGTGCGCAGTGGAGCCATGGACGAGTCCAAGGGCATGGTCACTCTGCACGACGTGCTTGATGCTCAGTGGACGATGGACAACACCAGGGATGAGTCTTACCTGCGTAAGGTCATCTCTCCTCTGGAGACTCTTCTCACTGGCTACAAACGTATTGTGGTCAAGGACAGCGCTGTAAGTCATTCATTGCAACCCAACGGCCCCTCATCGGGCGATGCGACTTTGTGGGCTATGTCTTAGACCGATTGGCGCACGACATCTCTTGCATCTGATACTGACGTACGGCTAGGTCAACGCTGTCTGCTACGGTGCTAAGCTTATGCTTCCCGGTTTGTTGCGATACGGTGAGTTGAGCCTCGACGATGTCACCAGGATGGACTGACGTACTGACTCACTGCACAGAGTCCGCCATTGAGGTTCACGATGAGGTCGTTCTCATGACCACCAAGGGTGAGGCTATCGCCATTGGTATTGCCCAGATGTCCACCGTCGAGATGTCCACATGCGGTATGTCTGCCGTCGCCTCACATATAGACCGGCCACTAATTTATTGCAGATCACGGTGTCGTCGCCAAGGTCAAGAGATGCATCATGGAGCGTGACTTGTACCCCAGAAGATGGGGACTTGGTCCTCTTGCTTCCGAGAAGAAGAAGCTCAAGGCCGACGGCAAGCTCGACAAGTTCGGACGCCCGAACGAGGCCACCCCCGCCAAGTGGAAGTCTGAGTACAAGGACTTTGGCGCCCCTGCCGGCGACGCTGCTCCGGACGCGGCTGCTGCGGCTGCCCCGGCCACCCCTCAGAAGGTCGTCGAGACTGTCACCACCAGCACCGTGGTGACCCCTGCCAACAACGAGGACGAAAGCAAGAAGCGCAAGAAGCACGACGGCGAAACTCCCGACGAGCGTGCCGAGCGCAAGCGCAGAAAGGCCGAGAAGAAGGCAGCCAAGGCCGCGAAGAAGGCTGCCAAGTCAGGTGGAGCTGACGACGATGACGACAGCGAGTAAGCACTTTTGGGCTGCTTCTTGGGCTGCTTCTTTACTCGATTGGCTCGATACCAAGTGTTTTGTTGACAATAGTCGGCGGTTGGCTGTTGTACCATAAAAATGGCTTTGGCAAGTGGCGTTTGGTTCTTGATTTTTTCCCCGTTGAACATAGTACGGACTGGCTGGATAGGAGTAGATAGGTCCTATATGAAAAAAGTGGCAACTACAGTGCTACATCAGTTCAAAACAAACGTCGAGACCGTTCGAGATTGTCTCCTTCTCACATGGCAGCCAAAAAAAAATGTCACGAAGCGATGTTTTAGCAAGTCGAAACGGAAACACGGAAGCCCTTGGAAAAGGACTTACGTACTCCCGGCAGCATCCCGGTGGGTTTTCAGACAGCAGCACAGTCGGGTCCGAGCCAGCGTGGATCTCATCCGAACGATTTCTGTTTGGAATCTCAGTCATAAACAGCGACAATATACGTGTTCCGTCCATCGTCCGAAGACGCTTTCCCTGATAAGGCAGGGAAGCATTGTCACCCAGCATGTCTCAGGCCACACACGCTGGCCCAACCATGGAAACAAGGACAACTGCCACCCGCCCTCCTTGATGCCTCATGGAATTGGGATAATGCAACCAAGAAGGACGACAACCGGGTATAATTACTTTAGCGGATCCTCAATGCCCTTTCCCACCCCTGAGATGGCAGCACGTCACCCCGCCTTTTTCTGCTCCTTAATGGTCCATTCGGGACCTCCTTCACAGCCCCTCTCCAGGATCACGGATTAGAGACTATCGGTCGCGCCTCATTCCCTCGTGCCCTGCTTTGCCCTTTTCGCCCATGCCCGATCAGCGGGGCCGACACCGCCAGTCGACGATCCCCCGTCCACCCCGGTCATCCCCCGACATCCCGGGCTAGACCCCTTCGCGAAGCCCAGAGCCTCCATGACGACGAACAGGAGTCGGAGTTTTCTTGCCAATGCTTCCCAAAAACCCACAAACCAGGAGCCGGCATCCGGATGCATGTAATCCTTCCGAGGCCCTTTTTTTCTCCATTGGCCTTTTTTTCCCCTCTTCCGTGCCCTCTAGCTGCACATGGGTTATGGGCTGAAGCCTAAAGAGGATTGCTATCTGACCACACGTCTGACGTCCGCCCAGCCCTAGGAGAAAAGAATTAAGCAGCATAACCTGGCAAAATGCAAGTCAAGCAAGACAACTTTTTTTCGACCGAAGGTATCTTTTTTCCGTGAGCTGAGCACCAGCCAAGGAGCCAAGGAAGAATGGGCTCTAGCTCCTTTTCCCGACGGGATTCCGGTCGAGCAAGATGCTGCCACGCACTCACTCACTCACACACCGCACACCGCACACCTCTTCTCTACCTCACCCCCGGCCCACCTGTTTCAAGCATCTGCTTTGACGTGAATGGAACAAACCCACCAGGCCAGCTCAGTGACTGGGCAATGCGGAATGTGAGATTACCACTGCAAATGCGGGTGGAGTGTGAGTTACCTATGTCATGTTCGACGTAGTAGTGTGTGTGTATGTACTGTTGGAGGAAGGCAAGGTAGGTATGTATCTTCTCAACGCAATTCTCGTCTCGAAAGCTCTCTCTCTCTCGGAAACTACAAGTAGGACCTCGCTCGCACGCACCTCGATGTCTGTTTCCTTCTCGAAGAAGTTCGCTATGACATCCATGACGGCAGCACTTGCTACGAAGTAATGTGTACTCGGTTGCTCGACAAGATAATACCCTAGACCGTCCAATTCTTTGAGAAGAGAACAAGATCCTCACATACATACATACATCACCAGCATACAAGTCTTTTTCTTAGACTGCAAAACTTTGTTCAGATCGACCAGCGATCTCAGTCATATTTTGTTTTTGTTTGTTTTATGTCATTCGTCTGTTGGAGATACCTCATATAATTTGTATCTTTTGTTTTTTACTTATATATACCCCCAGACCGGAGAAATGTTTTCAACGTCGTCACTACTGGCCGCGGGCCTGCTCTGCCTCGCCAGCTTACAGCCCGTCCTGAGCAAACCAATCGACCCCCTCTTCGTCCTCGGCAGAGACGAGGGCAACAAGAACCTCACCGCAAAACTCAACCGCGACTTCCCGGACCCGGCGCTCGTCCAGGCCGGCGACGGGCTGTGGTACTCGTTCGCGACCAGCGGCAACGGCAAGAACATCCAGGTCGCCAAGGCGTCCGAGATCTCGGGCTCCTGGGAGTGGCTCGACATCGAGCCCCTCCCGGACGGCGGCTGGACGACCGGCAAGAACACCTGGGCCCCGGACGTCAGGCGCCTCGACAACGGGTCGTACATCATGTACTACTCGGGCGAGGTGGTCGACGGCGGCGGGCGGCACTGCATCGGCGTGGGCATCTCGGAGGCCGTAACGGGCCCTTACCGCCCGACCAAGGAGCCGTGGGTGTGCCCGTTCGACCAGGGCGGCGCCATCGACGCCGCCGGCTTCTACGACGAGTCCAGCAAGAAGCGGTACGTGCTGTACAAGGTGGACGGCAACAACGTGGGCAACGGGGGCGACTGCAACAACGGCGTGGAGCCGCTCGCGGGGACGCCCATCATGCTGCAGGAGGTCGAGGCCGACGGGTACAGCAAGGTCGGCGACCCGGTGCAGGTGCTGGACCGGACCAAGGCGGACGGCCCGCTGGTGGAGGCGCCGGACCTCGTGAGGACCGACGACGGGCTGTACATCCTCTTCTTCAGCAGCTTCTGCTTCAACTCGGACAACTACAACGTCAACTACGCGACCAGCCGCGACATCAAGGGCCCGTACGTGCGGCCGTCGAGGATGCTCCTCAAGACGGGCGACCTCAACCTCACCGCGCCGGGAGGCGCCACGAGCGTGGCCGGCGGCGGGCAGATGCTCTTCCACGGCAACTGTCCGCAGGGGAGGTGCCTCTACCAGACGCAGTACTCGGTGACCGGCAGAGATGTAATCATCAGCTGAGCGGGTGCGGATAGAAAGAGACGGGAAAGGCAAGGAAAACCATAATTTCTGTAATATTCTTTTATCATGTTGCATCCTTATACGGAAGAGGGATCTCAGCGAGCAACAGCGTTTTTGGACCAGGAACGAAAGATGCACAGCCGGAAGTCTAATCGGGCATTTTCTGTTTGGGGATTTGTTTGTTTGGGAAACACTCTTTGCGGGCGTTGGGAAAAAGAAGGACTACCATTGGCGATGGCAAACTCGAAAGCCCGTCGTTATCACCTATCACGAGACAAATGACAATGAAAGCATACTCTTACTCTTACTCGACTTTTCCTTCCTTCTTCCCTGTGAGATTCGGAACCAGCCGCCAGCGCGGCATGCCGTCAGCGACACCGTCGCAACGAGGCGATGGAATTGGACGAGGGACGTGTCGTAGAGTTTTCCGACGAAGCACGAATGGCGAACGCCTGCCATGGGACACGCCGCCGTTGATGATGCAAACCCGCACACCAGAGTTTGAAGTGTAAAATGTTCAGCTCAGTGACTAAGGCGACGCTGCTACTGGCTGTGTGTGTGTGGTCTTTCGCATCGAACTTTCGACAGGGAGCCGGGATGTCGCGAGTGCCAGCCCACCCCCTAATAGCCAAAGTCAAGTAAAAGGGTGAAGCAGCCAGGGATGGCACTTGCACGATCAATGGCATTGACAATTGAATTTTTTTCTTCCTGTTGAACGACAAGCGTGGAAGGAAAAGGAGGGGGGAAAAGAAGCATTGACTGAGTGATCGTCGACTGCGGACGATATGCCCCCACTTGGGTCCCGCAGTGGGACGTGGAACCGGCTGAACCGAGCTCGCGGCTTTAAGTGGAGAAAATCCAAGGAGACACTGGAGGGAAGAAAATGCCCGTTAATTAGGTGATCAGCGTTGGTGTTGGTGATCGGTAAGCGCCCGGGCTAGATCGAAAAGAGTTGACAGTCACTTCTTTCCGCTTGCTCACCTTAACCTCTTCGAACCAACCAACCAGCGCCATCTGCAAACGCTCGCCTGCGATTGGGCAATCCGGGGCTTGTCACCTCACCATCAATCGCATCGTCCGCACGCAGCCGCCGTGACGACCTGCGCGCAAAGGACGCTATCGAATTCCTGCGCTACCACCATTCCGCCCCAGGCACGGCGCACGCGAGCGGCCTGGTTGGCCGATATTGAGGTGGAAGGGAACGTTCGTTGGCCGTGCCTGAGGGGTTGCAGTCTGCTTCCTGCACGTGCCGCGTCGCTGGGCGCTTCTGTTGGCGATGTGCGCCGTTCGTCAGTCGACGAACGGACGGGCGAGCGGCGGCTGTCGTCCTGCTCGGGAGACTTGAGTCCAGGGTCCATCACGTCTGTTCAACTATCCGTACTCTGGGGGGATCGTTTGCGCTTCGCCCATTGGCTTGCCGCGCAAGACATCACCACACCCTCGCTCGACTGACTACCTTTCTCGCTACCAGGTCGAGAAGAGATGAGCGGCGGGTCTCCCTCGAGGCCAGTCCCGACTATCACTGCTGAGACGTGGCCCGCGGCTGTCGAGGCCTGCATCACTTTTCCCCGTACATTCGGAATCGTGCCTATAGGTCTGTCTGCTTCTCGCTGCGGGCGGGCTCGAGACCGTCACCTTACCATCCACATCGTTCCTGCAGCTCCAACCCCTGTCGAGAGTGCGTGATCAACATGGCCGAGAAACTATATCACCCCGCGGGGCCCAAAGCCTCACAACTCAACCGCCTCGATTGAAGTCTTCTCCCGTGAGCTTGTTTTTATTTTGATTTAACGGTGTTTGTGCGTGTTACTTACTTTACCACCTCGTCGGCGTACAAACTCGGTGGTGTTACCTAATGTCACGTTGTTGAGAAACCAACCACCCTCCGTCGCCTCGACCTTATTCATATTGTAATCACGGCAGGGCTCTGGAGTCTTGTAACCTCGCTTCCATTCACACAAACATTCGTTTCCTCTCTCATACACACACAATGGCCGTCCGAAAGGCTCTCTTCGTCCTGTCGACAGCCCTCGTCCCGAGCTACGTCGCGGGCCTGCAAGTCACGCCCGACTCGCCCTGCGCGTCCTTCTGCCTCGACTCCAACGACCTCGATTACTCAGACCCGAAGTCGTCCAACACCCGGAACAAGGACATCACCTGCGAGGACGGGGAGTACCAGACCGAGAACGCAGGGCGCAAGTTCCAGCAGTGCGTCAGCTGCTTGCAGGACAGCAGTTATGTCAAGGGGGCTGAGAACGACCAGTCCTGGTTTTTGTGTAAGTCTAATAAGCAATCTTGTATTTAGGATAGCTGGCTGACTATGAGATCTAGACAACCTGAGATATTCGTTTGACTATTGCGTCTTTGGATACCCAAACGCCACCGGCGTCGGCTCCGGACCATGCATGACGTCCACCGCCTGCGGTGGTCTCGAAGCCGCTCTCATAGACGGGGAGTTAGACCCGTCGTCTGAACAGTACGCATACTGCGATGCAGATGGTGGATCGATGCTCGGCTCCTCGTTCGATAAGTGCCTATCTTGCGTGAGAGCTGGCGGTGAACACTACTACCTAGCAAACTGTAAGTCCGGACCACCATCGCCTTCACAGTCTCCCATATCTAATACTCTTACAAGATCTGGTGGCTCTCGGCGCGGGCTGCCAACAAAGACCGGAACCGGGCAAAGTCCTCGGTCTCAATCAGACCGTCTTCACAAAAGGCGTCATCACCACCGTCGACCCGAAAGACCAGACCTCCGCCGAGAAGGACGAGGGCGCCAAAATTCCCATCACTACGATCGTGGGCATCGTGGTAGGCGTCGTAGTGGCGCTCCTGCTCGCGGCGGGGTGCGTCTTCATCCAGTGCCGCAAACGCAGGGCGAGGGCCGGCAAAGGCGTCAACCCGGAGCTGTCGCGCAGGGCAAAGGGCCACCGGCCAGTGTCATCGCTGTCGTTCCGGTGCCAGACGCATCTGACGCCCAAGACGCCCAACTTCTTCTCCATCGAGGAGGAGCAAGACATGCAGAATGAGAAAGGTCGTGCACAGCAGCAGCAGCAGCGGCAACAAGAACAATACAGTTCCCACCACCAACCCCAAGATCCTCTATACCCAGAAACCCCAGACGACTGGGCCGCCCACCACGCGGGATACCCCTTCCGCTCCACGAGCCCAACAAACCTCACCGACAAAAAGACCCACGTGCCCCTGACCAACATCACCACAAGCCTCCCCATGATGCCCGTGAAATCCCACTCCCCACGCCACAACGCCTCGCCCGAGGACTACACCCCGTCATCCACGACCTCGGCAGCGCCCCTCATCTCCTTCAGACCCTACGTGCCCTCGGAACACGGCATGTCCACACCGTCAATGGGCCAACAACAGTACGCGGCGGGCTTCAGCCCGCAATCGACCTACTCGCCCCCGACGTCCGGACACACCGTCAGCCCGCTCCTGAGCCAGGCCGGCTGGCCCGCACCCGTGCGGAACACGGCGACCATCGACTCCCTCCCCGCCACGGAGCCCGCGAGGACGATCCCCGTCATCATGAGGGACATGGCGCGGCCGTTGCCGAAGAGGGTCACGTCGCTCGGGGGCGGGAGTCCCGTCGAGAGCCAGAAGATCCAGACGTCTTTCCCGCCGCCCCCGGGGACGAAGAAGAGGTGATTTATATTGTTTTGAAGCATTTCTGGTGTTTAGTTGGGAAGCAAAGCGTGGAGTAGGCGTTGGGATTGGTAGCACCGCTGAGACTTACTTGACTTTGGTAACTCACTGGCTGTTTATAATGAGAACAAATAATCGCACATTATACAAGCTTCACACAGCGTGTACCCCCAGCTCTAATGTTGCACACTTGATAAATGAAGGACGATCCAAACCCGTCTCTTCTATGGGTATTCGATGCCCGTGTTTTTTTACTAAAAAGAAAAGGAAACGTGACTATAGAAACCCAACCGATCAACGTACACATACCCCCCCACGCCCGAACACGGGAGAAGACAAGTCCCCAAACGCCCTTGCTGATGCATCTGCTCGTTCTCAGTTCCGTCCTTTTCCCCACGGCGAGCTCGCCCTGCTCATCTCCTCCGCCTGCATCATCTCGTTCTGTTCCCTGAACCACTCCGCCCCCTCGTCCAGGTCCACCCTTGAACTCCTCAGCGATTCCAAGTTCTCTCTCGCCTCTCGCAGTATCCTCTCGACATCAGCATTGCTCGACGGGCGCTTCTTGACGCGGGCGGCCTCATCTGCCGTTGTGGCTTCCTTGTCGTCGTCACGGGACCGTTTCCTCTTGCTAAGCGGAGAGATCCCGTTGGCGGCCTGTGTACTGGTAGTGCCGTTCAACGACTGGGAGAAACGCTGGCGGGCCTCGGCCGCATGGTTGAGGTCGGCAGACACGCTACGACTGCGTCGCTCTGTACCGTCCAGCCCGAAGGAACCCAGACCGCTGTAGCGCTTTCCGTTATAAAGCATCTCGTTGGCGATGGATTCCGGCAGCGCGGACCCGTCCGGCATCGTCACGAGACCCATGGCCTTCAGTCGCCAACGGTCAGACACTTTACTAACGCGCTTCTGTGGCGATTCGGACGGCGTGAATCGTGATGACGACGAATGCGCCGACATGGGAGGCAAAGACCTGCGGAAGCTCCGACTGCTGCTGCTGAATTCTTCTCGCAGAGCCCGCGTTTTCGCACCGCACGGCTTGGCTGACACAGACTGCGAAAGACTGTTCGTTGACCTCGACGGTGGCGGCGGCGTAGCGAAAGAGGGTGCTTGAATGACGTTCGCGATCGCCGCTCGCTCGTTTGTCACGCCTGACAAGATGCCGGTTGCGAACAGGGCTTCGGCCTCGGCTTGCAGGTCTTCCTGTGGCTCGTCGCCCTTCTTAAGTTGCAAAATCTCTCGCAACTCCTCGACCGGGTCGACACCGTGCTCCTCAAGGGCTCTCCGTCGCGCTTCGGCAACCCGTGCTGCCTTTTTCTTTCGTTTGATTTCCTCCTCCCGCATCTCCGCCTGTGCGATCCTAAACTCTTCTCGTTGCTGTCGACGGATCTTGCTCAAACGGAGATTTCTGGCAATTGTCCTCCACCGATAGAAATATTTCAGAGAGAGGTTGTGAACTTGGAACGCTCGGGCTTCTGCAAGAGCCTTCTCCTCCTCTTCCTTTCGTTTCCTTTCTTCTTCTTCCCGGTGGTATTGTTCAAATGCGTCGGAAACGATCTGTTCGACGATGTATTTCTCGAACTCGTGAATCAATCCGTTGTCGCCAGTCACAAACCACTTCGCGAAGTCGCCCATCACATCTTGTGGTGGGCGCCTCTCGGCGACAGGAGGCTTTGGAGGCGGAGCGGGAGTGAAGCCCAACCCCGTTGCTGGAGTTGTGGTAGTGGCAGGTGCCGGGAAAGGTTGAGTTGAGGGTGCCGGGTTCGTTGGTGGCACATTGTTTGCTTGGAAGTTGAATGATGGCAACGGAGATTGGGTCGACGGCAGACCAGAACTAGGAGGTTTGACAGGCGGTTGTGTTGGTGCGGTTGCAAGGCCGTTGAAAGGGGTTTGTGCAGGAGTTGACTTAGGTTGCTCGGCATTGGACAACGTTGCCGCGCTGGAGTTTTGGGCTACAGGTGATGCTGTAACTGCTGGCTTCGCAGGAGATGCAGACGATAGACCAGAGAATGGCGATGCTGACGGTGCCGAAGGTGGTGTGCTTGCTGTTGGCCCAGCCGCAGATGGACTTGGTGGTTTTGAAACGCTACCTGGGCCGGGCAAAGCGAATTGCGGTGTTGGTGGCGTGACACTTATCGCAGGCGAAGCAGCGCTTGTAGATGTTGCCGTAGGTTTTGGTTGCGTAGACTGGTCAGCTTCTTGAGTCTTTTGCTGTGCGCTTGGCCCGGAGCCAGCAGGCGCAAAGGGAGAAGCACTTGATCCCGGCGGTTTAGTCGTTCCATTGGGTTGGATTGGTGGTGCAAAAGGGCTCCCGCCAAAAGGAGATTTCCCGGGTGTTGGTTCTGGTTGGCTGAAAGGACTTGGTTTCGCAGAAAATGGGTTTGTAGACGCTCCTGTCGACGACGGAGGGGCTTGGTTTGCCGCGAAAGATGCTTCTGTGCCGAATGAAGGTTTTTGAGCTGAGAAGGGGTTGCCAAACGGGCTTGACGATGCGGCTGTCGTCGGAGTGCCGTCAGATGCTGTGATTTCTGAAATTAGCCTGCGTTCGTTTCGTTGGTCCATTCTCCCCGGTTGACCCAGACGCGATCAACATTTCGAGTGGTCTGCCAGCTCGGTACTCAGTTGACTTAAGGGTCAAGAATACTCGCACACTGTGGTAGCCTGGTGACCTGGGGCTGACTGAAGCACCGGGTCTTTTCCACGCTTTTCGCGTAGATCCCGTCCATGTCTACAACAAGCCGGTACTTGCAAGAAAGCCGTAGCGAAGCCGAAAGGCGAAATGGGAAGCGGGGATCATGTCGAAAAGGAGTTTGAATATCATGTGGTAGAAGTCATTCGAACGGTGATAGGAAGATTCTTTACCTTTCCCGAATATTGGTGTCCCTGATGGGTTTGTTGGTGTGGCAGCCTGGGCGGCTCCGAAAGGAGATTGAAAGGGCGCGTTGTTGTTGTTGTTAGACAAAGAATCTGCCCCAAACTGAGATTGTGTCTGAGAGGTTTTCGATGAAGCATCGTTGGGAAATAAACCGCCGTTGCTCGATGCAAAAGCTGCTGGCTCGACATTTGAAGATTCGTCGTGAATAGTGCTGTGTATGATTTCTGGAAGACTGCGTGTTCCTCGTTTGCGTTCCACCAGCTTCTGAGAAAAGCTGTGATGGATTCTCGGCCACGTAATGCGGTTGGAGGTGTCCAGATATTGGATCAGCTCTCCGGATGGGGACTCTGTGTCGACAAAACTCAAACCGTGTTTTTCAGCGAATTCGACAGCCTGAGCTTCCGTATCGAAGTGAAGGAATCGATTGAGTATTGATGGTGTAATGTCTTTCGCCGTATTTCGTGGTCTCGTGTATGCTTTCTTCAAGGAACGAAGTGCCGAGCGGCGCAACTGGCCCAGATGAATTTCCGCAAAGCATGCCATTGTATAGGAAACTTGACGGCTTTCCACGATTTTGAAGTAAGTTCGGTGCGCGCCCGAGATTGCCATGGATGGTGCGGAACCTAACGGGCCATGGAAGTCATCAGTATTCTGTAAGCTCTCCACGAGGGACACCGCCGTCCTGATCTCGTCTGATTCGGTCCAGAACCGGGAATCCCCCCACTCCTTCTGTACATCGTCAAGAATGTTGGGCTTGTTGGCACTGAAAAGCAGGTGGTAAGCTCGGAACTCGGCCTCGTTTTCGCAGATGACGCCGTGGGGCTTGCAGTCGTCGTAGGCGAACATCAACGACAGCAGCGACTTGCCCAGTTGCTCGATCTCCTGTTGTTCAGAAAAGTCCTCTGGGGTGAGACCTTCCTGCGAGAGCAAGTGAAGGGAAATGACGTGGAATCTGGCGATTGTTTCGAGGCAGTAGACCTGATCCTTCATTTCTTCGGGGGCCATCGTCGAGTGGAAGATGAAGTCGCGTCGAATCGCACGCGTTCTGTCCCAGAGAAAGCCGTGCATCGTGGGAAGATTTTCGTCGGTTTGTAGCAGCTCGTCAATCAGGTAGTCGAGTGTTTTTCTGAGTGCCGCTGTAGATCTGACATCCATCGGTAGGGGGGCTTCCTGTCCAGCTGCAGAGCGAGCGAGCTTCTTCACCATCTTCGACGTGATGGCGAACGTCCGGGAATCTTTTTCGGCTGATTGTACATCGAACTCGGTAATACGCGTGATTTTCTCGAAGTCGGGGCACATGCCATCGCAGATGCCTTTGAAGTCAATCGCGTCTTCCAGTCTCTTTGGCTTGTCGGGATCGTCGATCAGACCAGCGCGCATCAATGACGTCCTGGCACGATCGCGGTAGGTTTTGTAATCTTCCCTGAATTTGGCCATCGCGGCCTTTTGCTTCGTGTTTCCCGGATCGGAAGGCCATTTTGGCGGCGCGATTCCTTCTTTCCTCAGCTGAGCAAGTATTTTATCGGAGTAAGGCGTCCCGTCGCCAGCCGCGTCGCCGTTCGCATCGTCTGTTTCGTATTCGGGAGATTCTGTTCCTTGATGATTATCAGTGTTTTGAGAGCCAAAACCACGGCGCGACTGTGATGTACCGAAGCCTTTCGCGCCTCTTTTCGCGCCATTCGACCGCGCGACTGAAGTCTGCGCGCCCTTCTTCTTCCAGTCGCCCTGGCCATTTGATTTCGTATTTTTTCGTCGGCGATTGTCGTCTGAGCTCGCGCCGTCAAAGGGATTGGTGCCCTTCCGCTTGGTCGAGAGGGTCGTCATTTCGAGAGGTTGAGTCTTCAGGATGCGCTTCGACCGCTTCCCACCGCCACCAGCTCCATCGAGACCGAGACCGTTATAAACCTCGTCGGAGTGACCTCCAAAGCCGCCGGACGACGATCCTCCGAATGGTGATTTGGTGCTGCCGGGTCTGCTTGGAGGATAAGAGACCGACGTCATGTCGAAGTCGCGACAGGACTCCAAACTGCAACTGCCCAAGCAAGCACACGATGGGGAGTGGAGAACTAGGATGGAGCTGGATGGCGTTTGTCGCGTTTGTTAGCGCCAAACCGAATTTAAGCGCGGCTCAGCCCCGCATATTTTTATAAGTGGAGATGTGCAGATTTTACTGCTATTACCACACCTGCCCCAGGTGAAGTAACGCAGGCACCTTGAGAGATCTCACTCAAGCAGGAAGCGGATTTTGCGGCGCTGTTGGCCGTACCTTGAGGGTCTCGCCATAAAAACTCAACTGCGTAGACTTTTCTTGCCTGGTGTTTAGACATCTTCTTCGTATGATTCTGTCTGTATGCGTTAAGAGGCGCTTAGGCATAACGGGTAAGCAATGAATATAGGCAAAGGGGTTTTCACTACATACAGCGACTCAAGCAGGAAGGACCAGCCAGACGTCACACTTTGCTCAATATAAGGTATATCGATTATGTAGCACGTTGGGAGCTGAGGTGAATGAGTAGGTCAAAGTAAAATCATTGAAATGTTAAGGAATCTATTCAGGGTCGTTGCTCATTACAGAATTCATCTAATGACATAAGATGAAGGGTATTACCTCAAATATCTGGACTCTGAACCGTCTTACTCAGACACGTCCCTTCGACCTAATACGAGCTGGGCCAAGTCCTTTTCTGATCTCGTCCAACTGCTCCAGGCCAGTCTGCGCCTTGTTCTTCTTATTCGTCCTCTTTCCTGGTTTGGTGTAGCTGCCCAAGAAGTCATCCATGATGCTGTCAAAGTCACCTCTGGTTGGGCCGGTCACGCTCGATGCCGTTGACACCTCCGACATGGAGGCCATATCATCGCCCATTTCGCTTGTGTACTCCTCTTCAATCCTGTCGAATCTGGCGTCCAGGAGAGTGAGCTGTTCTGTCCTAACCATAGACGACGAGGTCATGGAGTATGTCGAAGGGTTGGTGAGAGCGCCCTTCCTCTTCTTCTTGCGGCCTCCCATTGTTGTTGTGGTCCAGATGGATGATTGCAGCTCCGAGGGCGCTGCCTTTGCTTGGGGGGCTCCACCCTTCTGGTCCTTCTTGAACTGCTTGAAGTCCTCAAGCCAGTCTTCGTTCTGGTGCTCTGGCAGCGCTTCTCCGTCAACCGGCGCAACAGGGACGAGTTGAGGCGCGCCGCCGCTTTTGTACTCCTTACTCGGCTTGGCCGTAGCGTCCGATTCCCATCCATCATCTTCGTCCTCGAATTGGTCGTATTGTTCTTCGAACTCGTACTCGTCGATCTCGCGAGAGTCCTTGGACAGTTGCTGGAAAATGTCGTCATCCTCGTCGTCGACGTAAGCCTCGTCCTCCAACGCCTCCAAAACCTCGCGCAAACGGGGATCCATGTCTGGTTGGAATCCAGCAATTGCATCGGGGATGTCTTGCTGAGTCTGGTAGTTCGAGCGCTGCAGGTTCTTGGACGGCAGCACGGACGCATCCAAGATGGCTTCGCTCTGGTGTTCCAGGTCCATTTGGCGCAAGGCATCTTCGAGGGATTGCTGCTGCTTTCCCTTGCCCTTGTTCGCAGCGGCCGAAGCCTCAACCCAGACGGCCTCGCCGCCGCCCTGGTTGAGGTCGCGCATATGCTGCATGTAGTCATACTCGGTGTCGTCGTAGTAGATGCCGTACTCTGCGGCTTCGCCTTCGTTGTCTCGGATGCTGGCGGCGTCGGAGCCCAGGTCGGAGGCAAGATCGCTCAGGTGCTTTCCCTTGTCTCCTGCGCGCTGAGGAACCGGGTTGAGCACCATCGATGGCGCATTTTCATCGTGGATGAGCGGGTCATTTTGCGGACGATGGACGAGGGTGAAATGCTGCGCATTCTTCTTGTCGCTATACAAAATTAGCTGGGTTCTGATTATTGATGCATGAGTATCTCACATCCACTTTCCCTTCGCCATGGTGTCTGGTTCTGATCTTCGCAGGCAAAGGACTTGGTGTTGATGTCTGATTTCAGTTCTGGAGGTGTGTGGGACAAACGGTGCCCCTCGGTCGCATGCGCACCCAGTGGCGGTCGGTTTCAATCAAAAAAAGAGAATGGGGGGTAATTTTTTTCTCCCTTATCAAATCTTATCGATAAGACTCAAGCAGGGTTTTTTCACTGGCGGGGGACTGTATTTTGCCCCGCGGCAACCATTAATCAGCGGGGCACAGCCATTCTCTTCAGCTGGTTGCGACCGGCTCCCACTTCTACTATTACTCATTCTACATCTTTGCTCTCTGGAGCATTTTTATTTTGTCCCTCAAGACTCTCATTTTCAAGGCTGTAACGAACTACACAACCGCGAAAATGGTGCACGCAAAGTCCAAGAACACCGTCGGTCTGGGCAATGCCCTGATGAACGACCGTTTCGGCAAGGGTCGTGGCTCGGACAGAAAGAAGACGTCAATCACGAGAGTGAACCACGCCACCGGTGAAGAGGTAAGCTACCACGCAAATCAACTCACATTTCGAGTGATGCTAATACACTATAGTACCTTACGAACGAAAGACAAGAGGCAGCATGGGTTAAGATGCGATCGGTGACGGAGCAGGGTGCTCTCGACGAATTCCTTGCGACAGCAGAACTGGCCGGAACGGACTTCACCGCCGAGAAGATGAACAACATCAAGATCATTCACACCGACCAGAAGAACCCATACCTGTTATCCGGAGCGGAGGAGAGGGCTGTGCTTGGAAAACAGAAGGCTCACAAGGGACGGCTGACGGTACCGAGGAGGCCGAAGTGGGATGCCTCCACCACCAGGGAAGAGTTGGACAGAAGGGAGAGAGAGAGTTTCTTGGACTGGCGCCGAGGCCTTGCCGAGCTCCAGGAGAACAACGATCTGCTCATGACACCGTTCGAGCGCAACCTCGAGGTTTGGAGGCAACTCTGGCGTGTCATTGAGAGGTCGGATCTGGTGGTTCAGATTGTCGATGCACGAAACCCCCTGCTCTTCAGATCCGACGACTTGGAGTTATACGTCAAGGATCTCGACCAGAAGAAGGAGAACCTGTTGCTCATCAACAAGGCCGATATGTTGACGCTTACCCAGCGGAAGATGTGGGCCAAGCACTTGAAGGAGAATGGTATCGCCTACAAGTTCTTCTCGGCATTTTTGGCGAAGGAGCTTCAGGAGTCCATGGAAAGCGAGGAGGAATCCGCTGAGGAAGAGCCGGTAGCCGGCAGCAGCTCTCAAGCCCAGCCGGCCGTGGAGGAGGCGGAAACCGAGGAGACAAAGCCTGAGAGTGAGGGTGCTGAGGAAGGTGGCGTCGATGCCGCGCAGCCCGAGATTGAGGTTGATGACGAGGACACGAGGATATTGACGGTGGAGGAGCTGGAAGACATCTTCCTTAGCCATGCACCCGAAAATGCCGGTATGTCAGAATCTCCTCGAGGATTAAGTATGTTGCTAATGACACAACCGCAGAGCCTGGTCACAAACTGCAGATCGGTCTTGTTGGATACCCCAACGTAGGAAAGTCATCGACCATCAACGCCTTGATTGGTGCCAAGAAAGTGTCCGTCTCGTCAACACCAGGAAAGACGAAGCACTTCCAGACTATTCATCTGAGCGAGAATGTCGTCTTGTGCGATTGCCCCGGTCTCGTCTTCCCCAACTTCGCCAACACTAAGGCCGACCTCGTTTGCAACGGTGTCTTGCCAATCGACCAATTGCGAGAGTTCACTGGCCCTGCAGCACTCGTCGCTCGCAGAATTCCCAAGCAGTTCCTAGAAGCTGCCTACGGAATCAATATTAAGACTCGCGCGATGGAAGAGGGCGGAACCGGTATTCCCTCGGCGCAGGAATTGCTCGCCGCGTATGCCAAGGCAAGAGGTTTCCAGACCCAAGGTTTGGGACAGCCCGACGAGTCGAGAGCTGCCCGCTACATCCTCAAGGATTACGTCAACGGCAAGCTGTTGTACTGCGAGCCGCCCCCGAACACCGTTGACGGACCGGAATTCAACCATGAGCTTTACGACGCAGCCCACCTCCCAGAGAAGAGGCGCGCGGCACTTGCGACGTCTCTGGATACCATGTCCCTGATGGGTGATGATATCTCAATAGCCCCGTCGGATCTCGCAGTGCTCCCAGCTGGCCCCAAGTCGAAGCAGATCGATAAGGGTTTCTTTGCAGCTGGAGGCAGTGGTGCCGGCCACATCAAGATGCCGTTCAGCCATAAGTACACCGAGCAAGGACAGAAGCACTTGAGCGGAAGGAAAGCCCGGGCGATGATCGCATTGGAGGCTGGTGTTGATCCTAAGGATGTCAAGCTTTCGTCTGGCAAGAAGCACTTCAAGGGTGGTGCCAAGAAGAAGGGCAAGCGTCGCGCTGGTGATGATGATGATTAGATACCAAATAAGATGCTGCTATGATTTTGCGTCAAAACATGAAGCCCCTAAATTGGCTTCTTTGGATTGTGGTATGAACTGTTGGCATTTGAGGCATGTAAAATCATGCGGTGATCAGCCATAGAATTATGGCGGCAACCCACAGATCTTCTGATTGACTTGTTTTTGTTTCGTGACATCCATTTGACGGCGAGAGTGCGCTTTTTAGCGTCGCAGCAGTGACACCTGATTCTTACTTGATCTATTAACTGCGATATTGTGGCTGAAGAGCTCATTCGCAGTATTCCCTGTTTATCTTCATACACTAAAAGGCGTAGTACTCGCTTGCCGTCAAAAGGGATGAGGAGTCGCAACCTCGTTGAACTTAACCCAGCTTTCAGCACCGAGGAAATGAAAATGAAAGACATTGGGCATGAAATGACATAAGGTACGTGTGCGACCGGGGGGACCCGTCGAGATCAGGGCCGGTGTACCGGCGTACCGGCCCCGGTCGGTGGTCCGGTCAAGGTACCGAATTTAAGAAAATGAAAATAAAAAAATTGAACATTCTTTTCTCTGCAGACATCCAACTTAACTCACTCTTTGGTTTTCACTCTCAGTAATCCCGGAGAACACTGAATTTGCCCGCAGTACTCCGTACTTCAAGTGTTGCCAACTCATCAACGCTTCTTCAAACAACACAACTGTCTGACACTCAAGTACCGGACGGCTCCAGGTAAGACGAGACCAACAGCCGAAATCCTGCTGCCGATTTGAGTTTAGTCTCACGGCCAACCTTGGCATAAGCCGACTATTCCCGCCATCCTTTATAAACCAGATTCTCATATCATTATGCAACTTGCGATGATGGTGTAAGGGTAACATTGGAGCTTCCCATGCTCCGGCTTCGAGTTCGAGTCTCGGTCATCGCACTCTTTCGCTTTCTTTTGAAAGCTTCTCATTTTGTTTTGATTGTTGAGGCTTTTGATGAGTTCTTCAACTCATCGTGAGATCGCGGTGTTGAGACCGGACAACCCCGCACACTTGAACCAGAGGCGATCAACTGTGGGCAGCTGAGATCAGCCAGACCCGCCTATGAGCAGCTACCTAGGTAAGGTAAGGTACCGAGTTACCTACCTACCTTGGGTATTCTGCGCTCACCTTGAAAAGAACTGCTGTCTTCACACAACAATCTCATTCTCGCCTTTTTATTTGCATCGCAATGTAAGGCATCATATTCCATAACCGAAGTAATTTCTGCTGCATCCAGTAGGTTGAGAGCACAGTCAATGGGCGCACTTGATGTAAGTCAAGGAATCATGATTCTAGGGAAGACCTAGCCTTATATGTTTATGTCCCTTTTTGTACGGCGCTTTCTTTTCCAGTCTGAGAGAGAAATTGGCCCTACACGAATTTTGATGATCATCAATGAGGCGAAGGAGCAACGGAACTCTAGGACTACTCGCCTGAGGCTCCAGATGGCAGTGTCACCTAGGAAGCTAGGAGTCTCGTGGTTGTCACTACCATCACGCATGTGATCCTAGCTACGCCAATTCATTGCGTGTAGCTGTGAGCGATGCGGCAGGGAACTTGCAACGATTCAGGGTCATTCAGCCCTGCAGGTCTTTCACAGGTCTACATCTATGTCGCAGCTGTCTGTAAGTTGACGAGGCCCACATCTGTCTTCCTCATTGTGTTCTGATAGTACTATGTAGTAAAGCAATTCAAGACAAACTCGTGACAACTCGAAACATGGGCCACTTTGCGCTGACTGCAATTCGCACGATGGCGCAACCGCTCGCCCCGGACTCTTACACATACGGAGGACCGATACCATATGATTGTTTTTCACTTGTTCAAAGAAGGTGTAAAGTTTGGTACACATCATCACTTCGATCCAAGAGAACTCGCATCTCGAAACCACACTGCCGCCATCGAACTCCGGACCTCCGATGTCCCCCGCGCCATAGAAGCGGTGGTTTGAATTCCCCGTACGCCGTCTCTGGCGATTTTGGCTTTCTTTACTTATCACCGCTGTGCTTGTCTCGTCTCGCAACTCAATCCCGCCACGGCAAACCATTGGACATCACCAACCCGGCAGACCCGGATGCTTTTCGTCCCATCTCCAGCCAAGCAGTGCCTTGTTCAAAGTCAACCGCACGGCCAGTCGGTTCTCGACGGCTGCTGACGTACATCATGACAGTCACAGGAAACCTACACTTCAACTCAAAACACATCAGCCAGGCTACTGAGCCGTCTTCATACCATAGTAAGACCAATATGTACTTGCTTGCCGAGCGTTTTCATTGGACTCGCTTATAAGCCCCTCAGGTGCATCTGTCAACACGATAGCCGGAAACTTAGCAGGCAAGTTGGTGAAAGTCGACAAAGCTTGGATATACCGTACTCGGTCACCATGTCGCGAGATCTACTACCGCACGGGGAGAACAACGTCGAGCACCGAAGGCGCATTGGAACACGTGTTGCGTGTGCGTTAACCTCATGCCACCGGGCTAGAGCTTAGCTTGCCAGGAAGGAAGCTCCAGGCCTTCTAGAGCTCTTCCATGGACTGTTATCATGAGATCTTCAGACGAGCCTGGAACGAAGCTGTGTCACAGCGGGTTATGGTTCGAGTCTGCCTCAGCTCGCGGTTGGAATGCATAAGAAGGACCTCTTCCACACTCTAGAAGGCTGAGAATCATTATCTTTTGGCACATATTGCTACCCCAGAATAACACAAAACTAACAAAATGGCACCTCAAATCAAGAACGTTGCGGTCGCTGGCGTAGGTAATCCCTTGACACCAAAACGTCCACAAACTAACATACCCAGGCCGGCGGAAACGTAGGCACGCCCGTCGTCAAAGCCCTCATGGACACCAACAAATTCAACATCACGATCCTCACCCGTAAGGCCGAAGGCCACAACTTCCCCTCCGGCGCCACCGTCAAAGAAGTCGACTACGACTCCCTCGACTCCCTGACCTCGGCCCTGCAGGGGCAAGACGCCCTCGTCAACGCCACGAGCTCCTTCGACCCCAAAGCCGCCACCCGCGTCGTCGACGCCTGCATCGCCGCCGGCGTCTACCGCTACATCCCGCCCGACTTCGGCATCGACCCCGTCAAGGCCCACGTCCCGGAGCTCCCCGTCTTCGGCATCAAGGGCATGACGCACAAGTACATGCAGGCCAAGACGCAGGAGACGGGCGACAAGTTCACGTGGAGCATCATCGCCAACGGGCCGTTCCTCGACTGGGGCATCCGGTCGACCTTCATGGGCTTCGACGCCAAGAGGAAGAGGATCACGTACCACAACGACGGGGAGAACGTCGTGCCGTACACCAACCTCGGCGACGTCGGACGCGCCGTCGTCGGGACGTTGCTTCACCCCGACGAGACCGCGAACAGAATTGTTTACGTTCATACCGTCAACAAGTCGCAGAAGCAGCTGGCGGCGCTCGCGAAGGAGGCGATTGGTGGGGAGTGGGAGGAGACTACGATGGATGTGGACGTCATTTATGCCAGCTGCATGGAGTCGATCAAGAAGGGTATCCTGACGCCCGATGTCATGATTCCGCAGATCTTGTACGCGTGTACGAAGAAGCAGTATGCGGCCCCGTGGGAGAAGAGTGACAACGCTCTCCTTGGCGTCAAGGAATGGAGTGACGAGGATGTCAAGCAATTGTTCAAGACGGTTAACTCAGAGTAAGCCATCGAGAGATTTTATGTAAAGGGATAACATTGTCTAAGGCAGACAAGCAAAATTACAGAGGCGACCCATCTGTAAAAGTGAAAGTGTCGTTTCTGGGATAGAGTGCCTGTGACTGATACGCTCCTTCCTTCCGTCCAAACAACCGTCCCTCACTTCACCCCACCACACTCGTTTCCTTTGTTCTACATCACACCAGACACTTTATAAGCAACCTCGACGCTCAACTTTCCAATCAATCCCAGAGGCCTTCAGTAAAGGGATCCCGCTTAGCCAAGCGGTAGTAGGCGTAAACCACCACATGGTTTGATAGGGTGACAAGAACCGAGCCTGCAGGTTCGATCCCGAACTTTTGCACTTTTTTGCACTTTTTTGGCCTTTGATTTATTTTTGTTCTTTCTCTTATGACACTGACAATCCAGCTGATTTGCTGTTTCTGAAATCTGCGTAACAATCACAAGTTGATGGTTGGGATAGATGCTGTGCGCGGGTAATAAGCCAGTAGTAAGTTGGCAGAACCTTCAATCGAAAGATCACCTTTGCAGCGCCGCTTTCCTCACATGGGCAAGCGGTTTCACAGCCACAGTCAAACCGAAAGTGAGCTATGAGATGTCCTTGAGATATGTAGTGACTCCATGTCTTGAATGCTTGCTTGATTGTTCTCTGTCTAATTCTTCCCGTTGACCCTTGAAGTTGTTGTACCGATTCCACATGCAATCTTTGTGACTAGACCGTGCCACCGCAAATTTATGCTGATACGCCAAAGTCGGCTTCCTCTTTCCCACATTGGCCCGGTCAGATCACGCGTAAGTAGCTTCCCTTTTTACAACAGGGCCTGTATCAGCATTTGAATTCTATCTCCTTCATACAAAGTACATGTGAGAGCTGTTCATCATGAGGGCCATTCATGATGCTCGAACTCAGGTAGATGCTCTCGTCTGGGGTAGCCACCAGCCACTCCACATCGGGTATGCCGTTCCAGACCTCCCAAAAAATGCATCCAAGCCAGCCAATACACCACCACGCTAGCCCTTTCTTTGCTCGTCCTGAGCGTAATATACACAGGTCCTCAGGGGCAGAGGACAGGAATCGCGGATCAACGAACAAAGGTGTGACGGATGGACTGGACTTGTGAGATTCAGGGGTTCATGAGATGCTCGGCTTCGTCAGGTCCGTGCTGTCAGGCGTGAAGTCGTGTACTAAGACAGCAGTATAAGAAAATGAACTTGCAAAGAGGAGTCGGGTTCGTTGATGTCGTTTCCTGTCCTCACCGGAGGACAAACAATTATTGAGTTCGATTAGGAGCGGAGCTTCGGTTCAGACTCGGCGAGTGCCAAGTCAGCCTCGGGTCGAGTTTAGAAGGGGATGTTGGGGGTGCCCTGAGCACCAAGAGTCTCCTGCTGCTCCTGGAGCTCCTCGCCACCAGCCTCGATGGAAATGCCGACACCAATCTTCGCTTGTTGCTGTTAAGGAGTTAGTGGGAGCCGCACAAGAGTCAAGGGCTGTAACATACCGCAAAGTGGTCGACATCGGCAGCCAGGGTCATCATGACGGGGGCAGCGATGCGCTTCTCCAACAAGCAGGCCAGCTTGCCCTTAGAGTCGACCTGGGCGCGGAAGGTGGACATTCTGAAGTCGTACTTTGCGCCAATGGTTGTGACACCCTCCTTCTGGAAACCACCCATAACGCCTCCAGCACCAGGAACCAGAGACAAAGACAGGTCAACACCAGCCTGAACCTTGTCGGAAAGACGTCTCCAGTAAGAGGTGTTCAGAGCACCCTGTGCCTGAAGCTGAGCAGTGGCGATCCAGTCGGCGGACTTGTAGCGAGCGCAGTAGGAGGTGGCGGTTTCGGGACCTTGGGTCATGGCCTGGCGCTGCCAAACGGTCTCGAGACCGAGGGCGAGCTTGGGGGTAACGGACTGGAGGTAGCTTCCGATGAAGATACCGGTGACACCGCCGTCGAGGCAAGAGGGGTTCAGCATCTTAAGGGATGCGGTGAAATCGTCGCCAGTGTACTCGTTCTCGAACTGGAGCATCTCCTGGCCAGCGCCGGGAGCAGCCTGGAATTGCGTCCTAGACACCAGCTTATCGGACCAGCGGTAGTTGAATCGGGTGGAGAGCTGTCCATCGTTGTCCATGTTTCCTTGAAGGAACACCTATTACTATTGCGTCAATAGACAATCTTGGCGGAGCTGGTGATGGGGCCGCGAACCTTGCTTGTTCCGTACAGCGCAGCGAAGGTGTAAGGGTTCAGACGATCACCCATTGCGAACTGGTGAGACACCTGGAACAACGGCGACATGCTGAAGGCCTTGGTGAGGTCGGCGCGGAGACCGGTGAACATGTAGTTGCTGAGAAGGACATCGCGTTGAACCTCCTTGGTCAGGTTCTCGGTGGTACCAGGGTTGGACAGGCCGAGCTTCGCTCTCCGTTCCGAGAATGCGTTGATGGCATCTGACAGGGTGTGGGCGACGGGGTTGTTCAGGAGAACATTTTGAATCTGCTCCAAGCTTGACGCCATTGTTGCGATGGTCGGCGCCGGCCTGCGTCAAACGAAACCGAGTATTTTAAAGGACGAGACAACGTTGGAGCAAAGAGGACGACAAGACCACAGAGCCTTTGTACGAAAGAAAATAATACAGCTGCGACTACCCTGGGGACCGATTGGAGCTCGCGCAATGGGCAGGCAGGGTCGTTTGGAGGGGGGGAGGTCGTCGAAGTCGGAATCGGGAATGATGGATTAGCAGGTCCAGAGAATAAATTTCTTCCACGGTGATTACATTACGCAGTTGGAGGTCCTGGTTGAGTGCACGAGCCACGGTGCCACGCTGGATTCAACGGGATTAGCTGCACGCCACGACTGGCCAAACGGGGTGGGGAACTGCCTGAAAAATGACAGCACCATCACGTGACTGGGTCAGCGTCAGTTGTTGCCCGGTCCGAAGCTTAACCGGGCCCAGACATCGGGACAGCCGCCGAGAAGACCCTTGCCCGCATCCGGTACGTTCCCTTGGCCCTCATTCATCGCTCAGCCCAACAAGCCTCCTTCTCTGCGGGCAGTATTAGTCCCCGGACGCCCTACAACTTACCTAACCTTCCGCATCTACCTTACCTTCCGAAGAGATAGTTTACTTCTACAACATCTCCAGATATCTGCAACTCAGTTGTCAACCAGTTCATGACTATTCCTCCTTGGAAGTTCATCCGGCGCTGTTACCTTGCACATCACAGTTGAGCGCCCGCCAGCACAGACCACAGAATTTCGGCGAAGGAGGGTCCTCGGCGCTCCAAAGGGCTGGCGGCTTAATTCGGAACGGGGCAGCTCAGACATCAGCGTCACTTCCACCGTGACCGCTATCACAAACCTCGAAACACCTCCTTCTGCGCGATTTTCTCCTTCGGAAGCCTATCCTCGACTCCGTGTCGTTCGAGAATTGCTTCTGCTTTGATTCGGTTTCGTGAGGACTAGCAATCGCCAGCACCGTTTCACGCGTTAAGTCGGCACTGCGTCATTGCATCGTCCCCGCTATTCCCCTCCGTAGCGGCCCCTCCATCCGGCGCAGAGGCCGTGGATGCCTCGAAACCAACCCGATCCCACTTCTGATCCCTCGGCATAATCCTTGATTCGCTTACCCGGCTCTCAACTCGCCAATTCTACTTTTCGGATATCTTACCCGTCACCATGGATACACTATTGTGAGTTGATATTTTCCTTCTGTGATGGCTCATAAATCATACAAAGTCACCTCAGCAAGTGCTCTGGGTTTACTCGACTGCCTCTTCCGCTCCGCCAGACTTTGTGAACATGTCGGACTTCAAGCCAAAGATGAGAATGAATTGTGTCTCAGGACCCGAGGACAATGGTGCTGGCGAATGCACCTCGAATAGGTCATCGCCTTTAAAGAGAGAAACCATAAAGGCTTAGACTTCCTCGACTTCTTTCAGCAAGTCAAGTGGGATATGTGAGAGTGAAAGCATAAAGAACGTCTCCGCATCGCAAATACCTGGTCAAGCGGCCAGTGGAATAACAAGAAACAATATTGATCAGCAACAAAAGGGGGCATTGGTCAATGAGTGTGACGCCAAATAGCCCCCAGCAAGTGCAAGCTTCCCTGTGGAACATAAGTCTCTATAGAGAACCGGCACAATGAAGCTATAGGTCAAGAGCTTTCCTTTCACAGTCAGTCATCGGGGCGGTGGTCTGCAACTTCCAAGGACGACGACTAAGCCCATGTATACTTGGGTTTCTATACGCGAGTACATCAACTTCCCACGCTTTTCGTCTGGGGATTGGATCTTTCACTGTTCAACTCCTCTATATATGTATTCACCATCATCTCTCACCCATGTCATCATATTGTACCCTCTTGCACTGTTTACTTCACCCTCTTCGCCAATACCTTCAATAATGAATATGCCAAATATCATGGAGACGATCTCTAGCATTCTCAAAACCCTCAGGCTGGACCAGAGAGTTTTGCGACCCAGACCAGAGCTCGCGGATTCGACCATTACTGACATTATATCTCCCATCAGAACCGCCGAGATCGCGGCCAACGCGCCCAGATACCGCCGCAAGAGCTCGACGTTCATCGACGGCATTCATGATGTCCCCGAGGATCAGGACATGGCCCCGGCCCAACTCTACAGCACCATGTCTGGCCGGTTGTTCCACTCAGGCCGCATAGCCATCGTCATGGTCGGCCTCCCTGCTCGCGGAAAGACGTAAGTTGCAATCAACACTGTCGCAAACTCAGACTAACCGTCTCGCAGTCACATCTGTGTGTCTATGGCACGCTACCTCGGCTGGTGAGAACATCCCCAAGAAAGCAGAGAAGTCGACTGCTAACAGAGGCCGTAGGTTGGGTGTCAAGACACGTATATTCCATCTCGGTGATTACCGTCGCGCGACAGTCGGCAAGGGTGGCATTGTCCCCGAGGATTACTTCTTCCCGGACGCTTCTCCTCAGTCAGTGATCCTGAGACAGAAAATCTTGAAGAAGTGCCGCGAGGACATCTACGCCTGGTTGAACCACGAGAATGGCCAAGTCGCCATCTACGACGCCGTCAACCCCACTGCCGCAGGTCGTCGCGCGCTGGCAAAAGAACTTGCCAAACACGACGTCCAGGTTAGAATTCTCCCTTTCAGTTGCCTGGTAGCTCCCACTAACCCCAGTAGACTCTCTTCATCGAGTCCTTTGTCGACGACGAGTCTATCTTGCGCGAGAATGCTCGCAATGTCAAGATCTCGTCCCCCGATGTAAGTGCAACACCTGAATCCCGTTCACCACCCTCCCTAACACCACCAGTTCGCCGGCATGGACCCCGACGAGGCCGCCAAGCTCTACCTCCGCCGCATCGACATGAAGATCCCCGTCTTCGAGACGATGAACGAGAAGGAGCTCAACTACATCAAGATGATCAACGCCGGCAGGAAGTTCTTCTACAACAACGTCTCCTTTAACTACCTCTCCCACCGCATCGTCTTCTACCTCACCAACCTGCACATCAAGTCGCGCACCACGTACTTCGTCCGCGCCGGCGTTACCACCGAGGAGGACTCCTACAAGGCCGACGCCCCCCTCTCCGAGCAGGGCATGGCCTACGCCGCCCGCATGTCCGAGGTCCTCCTCAAGCACCGCGAGCAGGAGCGCACCGCCCTCATCGAGAAGGGCGGCCCCTCCGTGCCCCTCCGCCCCCTCTCGGTCTGGACCTCCACCCGCCGCCGCACCGTGCAGACCGCCGACTACCTCAAGAACAAGGGCTTCAAGGTCCGCCAGCGCTCCCAGATGAGCCAGATCAACCCCGGCGTTTGCGAGAAGATGTCGGAGCGCGCCATCCGCCACATCTACCCCGAGGAGGTCGAGAAGCACGAACTCGACCCTTACCACCACAGATACCCCCGCGCAGAGGTAAAACCCGCCCTTTTCCACGCCCCTCCCTCTCCCACCAAACTAACCATACCCCCCTCTCTAGTCCTACCACGACCTCGCCGTCCGCCTGGAGCCAATCATCCTCGAGCTCGAGCGCGAGCAGAGCGACCTCCTCATCATCGCCCACGAGTCCGTCCTCCGCGTCCTCTACGCCTACCTCATGCACTGCGCCACCATGGACATCCCGACCCTCAAGTTCCCCCGCGACGAGATCATCGAGATCATCCCCGCCGCCTACCAGAACGAGGCCAAGCGCATCCACATCCCCGGCATCGACCCCAAGATCACCCCCGGCTCCCCCGAGGACATCCGCATCCCCGTCCCCGGGGGCAGCGGCCCCGCCAGCGGCAACATGTCGCCCATCCCCGGCCTCTCGACCCCCGCCGAGCCCGCGGAGCGGCCCCCCGAGAAGGTCATCAACAAGGCTGTGGAGATGGTGGCTGATCGCCAGAACGATGAGGATTAAGTGTGTAGAGGTGGAACAGGTTGAGAGAGTGTGTGTCGAATCAGGTTGCTCGAGGCAAAGTCTCCACGTTCGGAGTCGTCAAATTCAGAGAAGGGGTGATGGAGAAGGAATGAACATCTTGCTATAGCCCGAAAAGGACGTCTCTTTGGTCCAGCACAGGACACTATAGTAAATGGGAAAATGGAAATGGTACCAAGCATGAAGTCGATTGCATGTCACAGTTGTGCAGTGGTCAGGTAGATGGAGCTCGACGAATGACGATCAAGTCACCACATTATTATTATCCTAGTCCGTCCCTCATCCTGGCGGGGGCTCAAAACCACCCATCCCTTTCGTCCGTGGTATCCCTGTTTTTGAGAACTCATTCAACGCCACCCTCCCATAACGGCGCACGCGTTTCCCGTCATAAAACGCTGCGAATGGGCTTCATCCATGTCGGCTGTCTTCCAAATCTAGCCCGCCAAACTCCTCGCTAACCTAGAGCCGAGAAAAGCTCTGCATCAATCCAATTCCCAAAAAAATGGACGTCCTTAAACCAGTAGGCGATTCCGTCGACCCGTAATCAAGTGGTCTCTGTCGTATCGTATGTCGTATCGCGCGCCTTTACATGACTGCACATTCCCGCTCAGGCTCGCCGTCCTTGTTCTTCTTTCTTTCTTTTGACTTCCCCCGTTTGTGGTTGTGATGCTTGTGGTGGTGCTCTCCGGATTTCCTTTCCTTGAACTCCTTCGAATCCCTCGAGTTCTTTGAGTCTTTCGAGTCTTTCGAGTCCTTCGAATCTTGTCTGTCGCCCTCGGCCACCGGGGTGGGCTCCGCCGCGATGTCTTCGACAAACTGCTCTTCGGGCACATGATCCGGTAGGGGAGCGCTGACAGATGCGGCCAGCGCATTTCCGTTGACCGGTTCTCGCAGGGGCTCTTTGCTTGGCCGCATAAGTCCGCCGAGCCGCGTCATAGTGAGACTGATTCGTCCCTCACCGGCCTGGCTCGTAGGTCTGCTCTTGTTCTTGGCAGTGAAACGTGCGGCTGCCCGTGAGAGTCTCTGAGCCGTTGTCTCCTCATTTGGAGTGATTGCCGGGGACACAGCCTCTGGGGTGATTGCCGGTGTGCCCAGAGTAGAGTCCGTGAAGGTGACGCTGCCTCGGCGGGAGTCTTTGAAGCCCAAGCCGTATGGCTCATCGTCCAAGCTCAGGCGGGTTGGCCTCTCGAGGTCGGATGAGAATCGGATGCTTGGAGCCTTGGGTGGTGATATTGAGGTGTTTTCGAAGTAATCGCTCTTGGAAGATGGGACACCGGAGTTGATGCCCTCCTGCGGGTTGGGCGTAAGTGGTAGGTTGATGCTGACCTTGGACTCGTTGTATGAAGGCGGCTCGGTCTCCGTCTCTTCAGTTGAGGCAACCTCCACCATTGGCACAATCTGGTAAAATAGCAGATATGGCATCTCGTCCTTCAGTGCTTGCTTGATGTCATCCACATACGTCACCCTGCTTTCGATGTTGAGGTCATCGAATTTAACCCACTGCGCTTCTTCGTAGTCGGGTGGGGGGTCCAAGTCGTGTCGTCGATTGTCCGTGAGAAGTTTGGGCGCAACCCGTGCGAATGAGATATAGTGACCACTGTAGAGCGAATCACCGCGATGGCAAACCACCGATTGAAGAACCAGCTTGTACTCCATGCTGAAGCCGTTCGGGTCCTCCTCAAGTTGCGCCTCGCCAGCAAGCATGAAATGAGGCAGTCTCAGACTGTCTGGGATATCGATGAATGTGTTGTGGCGTTGCGGTACACCAGAGTTCGTCATCATGTACCGCTTTAGGCAGATTCCGACAACAGGTCTCTGGTTGAAGTTCATGGCCACCTCCATGTCGTTCTTGGGCTCCTTGTTACCAGCCGCATGCCACGGAATCAACCTAAAAAACTGCCAGGCAGGGATCGTAACGGCCTTGACCACTGTTGACCGCGCCTTTTCAAGCATGCTGGGCGTCTCGGACTCTGTCGGTTCCTTCTTCTCTTCCAAAACGACCCGCTGGATGACGCTAGTTGAGCGGTGCCGGGGAGCAGGACGCGTTGAGCTGCTTGGTGATTCGGGCGTACCATTCGGCGCTTGAGAAGCCGTCCATCGTCGTTCAAGAGCTGGTGAAAGCTGCAGAGGAGACGCACTCAGGATGTCCGATGCTTCAAAGTCGGTACTACCCTCTGGCGTCACCAGACGAATGGTGTTCTTGCCCGGGGCGGTCTGCGCTGCCAACTCCTTCTTCTCCTCGTGGCTGTCCCTCAACACGTCCACCTGTGTATTGAAGTATTCTTCCAAGCAGTCCTCCAATCGAATGCCCTTTCCGTCGGGGTCAGGGGGCACGGCCAAGTTCAGTAATCGTTCGTAAACCAGCTTGTGATCGTCTTTGTCATTCTTTCCTTGGTGGAATAGGTCGACCTGTAATTGCAATAGGGGAAGCTGGAGGGTCTCGGTGACAAACGCGAAGGCTTCGGAGGTATCTTGTTGCTCAAGTAATTTGGCGTCGCTCCAGCCACATTCGGCGAGGGCATCCTGGATGAGTTTCGTCTGACTTGGTCAGCAATGGGGACGCAGGAGATCACGGGGTACTACTCACCATATCTGTGTGAATCATCTTCCCGCTTCGCAGCATGTTTACCCATAGGCGCAGCAGCGTGACGAGTTTGCGTCTAGGCTCGTCCGTAAAGTCGTTCTTCAGCATGCATTCGAAGGCATCCAGCTTGGCGAACATGGCGAAAAGGAGAGAGTCGATGTAACAAGTAACGTTGCCTCTGTTCTCCGCACCAACCATCTCGATCTGGGGATTGTAATGCGTGATCTTGCCGGCCATGGCCTTGCATTGCATCTTGATGAATTCGACGGTTTTTTCGACATCGCCTTCGGCAAACTTGCTGTTAAGCGAGTCGCGAATGTGTTCTTCGGAAACGTCTGTGATGTTGGAGTCGGCGAGCTGTTGGGTGATCTCCTCGATCTGTCGCACGGTTAGAGAGACGGCTTTTCGTGGTATTACAGGCTCAAGTACCTTGGCCGATTCCTTCTCCTTAAGTTCCTCGTCATTTTGTTCTCGTCGCGCGGCGTCTCCTTTGAAAAGCGATCTGAAAGCTTCGGAAGATAGTGGTCGGCTCTGTGTCGTAGGAACGAGCAGTTAGCTTCCACTCCGCTCAGACATAACAGCATGTGAAGGCACGAAAACGCCAGGGGTCGCAAACTCACCTTATGCCCTGGTTCAGAGGATTTGCTCCTGCGATGGGCGCCGTTCCTGTCCCGCAGGCTGAGAAACTTCTTGCCCTTCATGTTGGCAATTCGGGTTCGTTGTGTAAGAAAAGGGGTGATGGGTGAAGCCGGAGAGGCTACTTGACAAAAGCAGTCGTCTCAGCGGTCAGGAACCATGGTCAGGTCGAAATCGCAACCCCATCAGCCAGCAATAGGGGAGTGGGGAGCAATGTCGAGAGAGAAGAATGTATCCGTATGCAAGGTATGGAGGGGCTCTGGCGCGTCTCGGCGGGGCAGATTTTCGCAGTCGCAAAGGACGAGGGGCTGGATGATCAGGCCTGGACCTGTCGATAGGAGCTGCAAAACGACGGGATGGTGCTGTTGTCGGCGAATGAGCGTTGCAAAGCAAACAAGGCGTAAGTCGGTGTCAATGTAAGTACTGGAGGAGTGTTGCTTTTGAAATGTGCAGGTCGGGACTTAAAGGTTCGTAAAAAAGGACAAGAAGTCTCGTCTAGATACGAGGGGGACAGCTGAAGCAATTAAGGTAGCGAGCCTTCCTCCAACAGGCGCAGCGGTGTTGACCAGCCAAAAAGACGAGCCGGGGTCAGATGCTGGTTCGTGGTTTTGGCTCAAAAAAATTCGGGGTCCAGAATGAGGGCCTTTTTCTTGGGCAGGGTTGCACGGTGGATCCAGGTACCGACGTGGCAAGGCTTGGGTGCGACGGTACTTTCGGCCGCTAAAATCTGTTCTTCTGGGCACCTGGTGCCCCCTGCAGAGAGGTGGTCCGTCAGTTGACTTGGGAGTCTCGCCAGGAGTGCCTTGTCGATGCAGTTTGCTCCGTGGCGGCGACGGCGAGGCGGACTTTTCGACTTGTGAACGAGACTTTCCTCGTCCGTCTAGAAATGATCGTAACCCCGAGGAGCTTACCAACAGTAACACGTGTAGCTTTCGTCAGAAGGATAGCTAGGTTGCCAAAATACGACTTGGCAGAGGATGTACTGCTATGTGGATGTAACAGGCAGACGAGAAACCAGAATGTTCTGTCTGTCTCTCCGGGCCGCCGCGTTTCTTACATATGATATCCGGCCAACTATGAGTAAAAGTTGCCTGCCCCAACATCCTATATCCACGCGAGGTGACATACGTAAGGCCTGACCTGTCTGTCGTGGGAACACCATCCGAAAAGGACGATGACTCCCGACTTCCTTTGATGAAAGTGGCAAGTCACCCATCACATCAATTGAAGGTCATTCGATCCCCTGTCCCAACTCTGAACAACGATTGGGACCCTTGCTTTGGCGCGGCAAAAAAAGCACCTTCGGCTGGGCCAGTCTCGCTCTTGTTTCGTGAAGCCTTGTAAATAGCGGCAATGATACCCTATGGCACACGTCTTGGCGCGTCCCTTACTTGCGCAGATCCGACCTCATGGTTCTATGGCCCATGCTTCAAGTTTCAACAACCCCAGTCCGTGTTCATATTTCATACCTAGTAAGAACAGACAAGAGGATTACATACAGCCAACCCGAAAGAACAGACGAAGGGCCAAAATAGAAGAGCACTTATTTCGCGCCTCTCACTCAGCCTCCACCAGCCTCCAGTGATTCAACTTAAAGGCTAGCACATGCCACGATGCTAACGACGGTTGCCTCTAGACTTTGTACCGCGATTATTAGCTGCCCGCAGCCTTAAAGCTCTGTGGCGTAATCTGTCACTGACAACCCCCTCGTGGGCCGTCGGTTGGACGTTGATGTGACACTAGTAGGCTTCGAATCCGACGAGGTGCGCTCCGCGTAAACCGCATACGTTCGCTTTCGTGTCCATCTCCGGCACAATCAGGCAACCCGCATGACGGGCGCTTCGCCGCCCATCATCGAGATGCACAACGCCCATCTTTCCCATCCCTCCGTCCCATCTTTGCCCTAGCTGATCTCGCGTGTCCGAGTGTTGCTTTGCGTCGTCCCCCCACCTTGTCAGCTCTGAGTCTGCGCAGCGGAAGACAAACCTCCTTCCCACCCATCGCTTGCAACGCGTTGCTGACCCGGCCCGTGGGACTGGTGACTGTGTCCGGTCCCCTCTTCAGCTGAGGCCGAATGATCGCTGCTACGTAATCGAACGGCGTGCGCGAGAATATCCGCTCCTGCAGAAAGGATCTTCGGCGCCTAGCTAGAATCCGATGTTCATCAATCTCTTAGCGAAATGGGTGACTGGCAAACGGGCGACGGCGTGATTGCCAATGACGACAGTACACCATCTCCCACGAGGTCGAAGGTCCGAATGTCCGCCGCGCCCGGAAACCCACTAGACTCGGGTGCCGCTGAGCCATTCGCTCCCGTCCGGTGATGTGACGAAGCTTTCGGCGTTAGTGAGGTATTAATGCCTAACTTTCCAGGATTGAAAAAGCGGGATGATCAAGCCACATCTTGTTGGCCGGGGTCACGAATTGACCCATAATAATCCTCCAGCCACACGTGGCACGGACAATCTTGAACATTTCGAGATTGAAATTTCCAGTATCGCGACATAGCCTTGCCGACGTCGTGAGGGTGCGCGACAGAAGAGACGACGATACCATGACCACACTACGGGAAAGCTCCCGCTTAGCTCGGGCTATCTGTAGGCAGCGCTCGCCATGGCAATTGACGCCTCTCGTCGCCCAGCGATGCGCTTCCACCAACGCAGCCGCCGCTCCTGAGCTGGCCGACCTCGAGCCCGGCTCATCCCTCGGCGCCCCGGGCCCCGATGAAGCCACCGTGAAGGCCTACAACACGGCGAAACGTGTCTCTGAAAGGCCACAGGAGCTTCCCGGAAAGAGGTATGCCTCAACTGTCCATCTCGTCCGAAGCACAGCAAATCGACTAACAACCCACCAAATAGATATCAGTTTCACCCCCCCAAGTTCGACCGCGGCCCGCTGCACCCGATTCAGTCACCGCTCTCCACCGATCCCACGGCACGAGACTTCGTTCCCGGCCCCTTCAACCTCCCCCGACTGCGCCAGACCTACGACGCCACCGTCGCCGCCGACCTCTTGACCATGACCTACCTCCACAAGCCCCCCGGCACCCCAGACAAACCGGTGCGCGAGCGGTTACGCGAGTGGGACGACTCGTCGCCGTACAACATCAACCGTCCCCGCCGTGGGCCCAGGGGCGGCAGCAAGCTCGACCTGCTCGAGAGGAACATCGACTGGCGCAACGTGCCCAAGATCAAGGCCGTCTCGCTGCACTCGTACATGCCGATGAACAGCAAGACGCCGGGGACCCTCAACGTCGCGCGCTCCGTGATCCAGTCCATCAGCGGCGCCTGCCCCGAGATCACGGAGACCAAGAGCAACGTCATCCAGTGGAAGATCCGCAAGGGCGAGAAGGCCGGTGTCAAGACCACAATCTACGGCAACCAGGCCCTCGAGTTCCTCGACAAGCTCATCAACCTCGTCCTGCCCAAGATCAAGGACTGGCCCGGCGTCAACGCGTCCACCGGCGACGCCAACGGCAACCTGGCCATCGGTCTCAAGCCCGACGACCTCGCCTGGTTCCCCGAGCTCCAGATCAACTACGACATGTACCCCGCCAGGGTGAGCAGAACCAGCTGCCTGCGAAGTGTGACACTCTTGCTGACGAAGTCCTCTAGCTCCTTCCAGGCTGCCATATTTACATCCAGACGACCGCCACATCGAACCGCCAAGCTAGGCTGCTGCTCCAGGCTCTCGGCCTCCCTTTCTACGGAGAGTTTAGGGATTAAGCAGCGGCAGCGGTGGTGCGGGAAGCGGGTGACTGAAAATGTACAATACCAACTTATCAAAAAGCTTGTAAATGCAATGTACCAACAGAACGGTCACTCTCACAGCACACCACAAAACAGCATGAAACTCGTGAAAGAAACCTGTGATTCATTGACACAGTATTGATCATCTAATCCCGTAATCCCGTTTTTGGTCTTTCCGTACGTCGAATGTTCTCATGTCGTACCGCCCACCCAAACGCCGTCCATGCAAGTCATTACCAACCCAATGCCTTGTCCTCTAAATTCAAGCCTAGATCTTCGCCCTGAGGTCGTCCATAACCTTGTCGATCTCCTCCATGTTCACAGCATCAACCTTGCCAGAGCGAATGCCCTTCTTGGCCAGCTCGTCGGTGAAGGCGTCCATGCCGGGCTGGTAATTCCTCACGGCGGAGCTGAGGGCGTAGAGGGCCTTCCTCCGCACGGCCTCCTTCTCGTCCTCCTTGATGGCCATCGCCACGAGGGCGGGGATGCCGGCGTCGCCCATGGCGAGGAGGCGCTCCTGGCTGGGCTCGTTGTTCTGGACGGCGGTGCCGACGCACCAGGCGGCCATGCGGCGGATGTCGTGCTCGTCGTGGGCGAGGCAGCTGAGCAGCGGGGTCCAGAGGGACAGGTTGGCCATGTTATTGGCGTTGTCGAGGCCCTCGATGAGCTGCTCGAAGTTGTCGAAGGCGGTGACCTTGCTCTCGAGCGTCACCTCGGGGTCCGTCGATGTGATGACCTCCATCGCCGCCTTCATGAGCTCGGCGTCGCTGGGGCCGCCGCCGAAGAGAGCGGCGATGGCTTCAGGGCTGAGGGTACTGGCCGGGGCGGCGGCAGGGGCCACGCCAGTGGCAGCGCCGGTCTCGCCATTTTGTCCGGTTTCTTGGTTCTCAATACTCCATTTGAGGAGCTCGTTGAGGTTCTTGTCCATGATGTAGGTGTGGTGGGTTGTTATGAATTTATTTTAGTTTCGTTGTAAGAGGAATATTTGTGTAAAGAGTCTACTGTATCTCTACAGCAATGTACGTGTTGTGAATCAGAATTGACGTTTGCAGGGGTATATGAATTGATGTCGTTGAATGATATCAAGTTTCAAGAACCTTCACTCACTCTCACTGAGAATCTCATCAACACCTCAAAAAGTTCTCCATACACAGGCCAATCTCTACTGTGACTGGCTGCGATGATTTGTTGCCCTTTTCTGGAACCTTCAAGAAGCATTCTTGTCCAAAAGGAGCTTAGCGCAAATCTCACGTGAGAGCCCTGATCAGGGCCAGCTCAGTGCACGTTTATGCATTGAAACTTGGGCAGAACACGTTGACCGCCGTGTTCCAACCATTGCCAACGGTCGCAGCCCAAGATCGGGTCATCAAGCATGCTTTGTTGTCAATTACTATCTGCCAGTCACGATTGAGGGTGTACAGAAACTCTGGAGTTCCTATTTCCGTGCTGTCGGTGGACGAGTGTCAATTGCTGATTCTGTCCAGTGGTTGGTGAAGAACCAAAAAAAGTTCCAAATGCCCCACCATCGGATTGAGTGCCCCTCATTGCCGCTTTAAGTCAGAGGGAGCTTCCCTGAGCTAAGGTAGCCCGACTGCAGAGCTGAGCAACGCAGTGCGAGCGATGAAGTCACCCAAGGCTTGCGGTGAGCAGCAACTTTGTTGGTTAGGTTACATCCAATTGTTTTCTCGAGATCAGGCTTTTGTTTCTCCAGCCTTGTGTCTTTCTTGGCCACATTCGTTTCCCTGCTTACCATGTTTCTGCGTGTTCTGCTTAATCAGATGCAGCAAAAAGGCACGGCGGCACCTCGAGCAGACCGAAGATGACAGATGTCCGATCTGTACTAACAACCCGATCAACGGAGACACCGGCCAGCAAACCGGAGCTCAGCCACGCTGGAAACGTAGTAGGTTCCCTACTCGCTCTCGTCGGTGATGCCTCATGCCAGTCGAAACATTTCGACATAGGCACATCACATGTGCGTTGAAGGCGACATTGAGTTCGACATTGAACAGAATGCAATACGGGGCACGAGGCCGGTTGCCATGCCAGTGGCTTGCTGGCTTGCAGACTGGCATCTCGGACTGGACCCTAGGCATCGTTCCCGCAAAACTTGTCCATACGCGGGTCTTCAATTTGGACCGTCAGAGCCGCGCGACCCCCTTGAGAGTACGGCCCTTGCAGATGATGGCAGGCCTGTCGGGGTCGGAGCCGGCGTCGTTGCAGGCACCTAGATTGCGATGTGCCTCTACCATATTGGCGTTGTGCTTCCCCAGAGTCGACGCAATGTTCAGCAAAGTTGAGAAGGCAGACGGTCAAGAGGACCAAAATAGAAGATGCCTGCTTGGCACTTCCGCTCAACTCGGAGGGTGCTGACGGGGGAGATGACGTACGACTCGGATACGGAAAGACGGGAAGATGCTTTTCGTTCGCATGTGGTATCCATGCTGGCGCACATCCGCCTGCCGCCATCGTCGAGCATGAACCAAGCGGCGGCAGCGGGAATCTTGTTGAGTCTCACGTGGGCGTCGAGGAGCGGCCCCCGTACCACAGTCCATGAGCAGATGAGATGGAAGCGCGATACTGTGCCGCTACTTCTGCTCCCCTGGCAGGTCGCTCGCTGGCGAGATGGTCTTGGCCGAGCTCCCATGTTCTGGCCTGGGTAAACCTTGCATTTTTATCAGGCGGTAGCGTGCGAGCAGATGGTCGGTGTGGGGATGCCCTTGAAGATATTGGACACGCCACAGTTGACTGGGAGCAGCGACACTGTGATTTGGCAGTGGCTTTGGCGGTCTCGATTGGTCCGTGGTCGTGGTTGTGGCCTTGGAGGTGAGAAATGCTCACCGTCGGTTTCAAGCTGCCTGAACGACCAGCACGGTACTGACGGCGAGGGTGACGAATGCTCCTTGCCGCCAGCGGCATAAATGCGCTGCCTGATTATCTGAGTCGGTAGATAAGACGAAGTGGCTGTGATGGCTTTTTTTCTAGTAAGACAGTTTTTAGAGAATAAACAAGTGAGAAAACCCGCAGAGAAAACCTCAGAGAAGATACTTAGCTGGAAAAGCAAGCGGCACAGCAAATTCCTGGCCAACAAACCTCGAAATTGCAACATCGTCAACTCTCTCTCTCTCTCGCTCGCGGCTCGCCTTCCTGCTTCCTTCCCCAGCCACCAGCGATCCAATTCCAATCCCTCCGACGGCGACGACGGCCCAGCCCGGGAAGAAAGAACACGTCGTCGATACCTCGAGTATTGCGGGTGCTCTCACCAAATTGAAAGGTACCATCGCAACTTTACTGTCTCCATCCGGCGGCGAAGTGCCCTGCTCCTGCCACCGCTTGCCTTTCCTCCCGTACCCCACCACACTACTTGCCCAGTTCAAGCACTGAGCAGCAAGAGCAGCCAGCACGGGCCTCATACCTCAAAAGCACCTGCACCGGGGACGGGACCTTCACATTAAAGCGGCAACTCAATCCCCCCCGGGACTGGACATTCTGCCACTTTGTGCCAGCTGTACAGTGCTCCCTTCACCTCCAAGCCATCCATTTGCTCCCGTCATCCACAAGTCGGGTTAGGTCTCCTTCTGACATCCACGCCAGCGCAGCACAGCCAGCCAACGAGACCTCAGAAGCACCGCTCCCCCAAGGCACTTACGCTCACCGCACACGCTCACACTGTGCCTGCCATTCCCACTCTTCTCCTTCTTCCCCCTCCTCCACCCAAAATCGACTACCTCTCATCTTCCCGTAACCTTTTCCACTTTCGACCTCACCACCCATCGACGTGCTCTCCCAAGTTCTCTGCCATCCGCTCAGGACTTTGCCAGTTCCATCTCGCCCGCACGATTCCGGAATCGAGTGAGCTTTTTCTCGTTATCAACTTCTACTCTATTTCCCCCGTCTTAACGACCAAATAATTCACAATGGAAGGTATGTGACGCCATCCCGTCTGCCATTTCGACCACCCCCTACCCGACACGACACGAATCGATGCCTTCGCCGCCGAACCTCGTCGCGATGCTCGCCATCCTTCGTCCCTCGCTCGCTTTTGGTCCTGATCGCTGACATCTGTCCGCAACACAGAGGAGGTTGCTGCCCTCGTTATCGACAATGGGTAAGCTTTCCCCGCCGTCTCACCGACCATTCCGCCTCCTGGGCATCGTCAGGATCTGGCCGCCAGTCAGCCCTCTCGATAACCCATTGGGCCCCCGTCCATCGATTCAATATCCATCAATATGATTATGGTCCTAACTAGAGTCTAGTTCGGGTATGTGCAAGGCCGGTTTCGCCGGTGACGATGCGCCCAGAGCTGTTTTCCGTAAGTTCTTCCATTTCCAGACCGCAATCCGACCCCTTTAGGAGGTGATCGAGATCTGTGGTCGTCGGCCTTCAGAACGGACATGTCGATTCTAACAACACCTTAGCCTCCATTGTCGGTCGCCCTCGCCACCATGGGTATGTTTTTCTCCTCGCCCTCACTGCGGCATATTCCCCTATCCGCGCCGCGGCCGTCGCCTAACATGTGAATAGTATCATGATTGGTATGGGCCAGAAGGACTCGTACGTCGGTGATGAGGCACAGTCGAAGCGTGGTATCCTGACGCTCCGCTACCCCATCGAGCACGGTGTCGTCACCAACTGGGACGACATGGAGAAGATTTGGCACCACACCTTCTACAACGAGCTCCGTGTCGCCCCCGAGGAGCACCCCGTTCTGTTGACTGAGGCCCCCATCAACCCCAAGTCCAACAGAGAGAAGATGACCCAGATCGTCTTCGAGACCTTCAACGCCCCCGCCTTCTACGTCTCTATCCAGGCCGTCCTGTCTCTGTACGCCTCCGGTCGTACCACTGGTATCGTTCTCGACTCCGGTGACGGTGTCACCCACGTTGTTCCCATCTACGAGGGTTTCGCTCTTCCCCAGGCCATTGCCCGTGTCGACATGGCTGGTCGTGACTTGACCGACTACCTCATGAAGATCCTTGCCGAGCGCGGTTACAGCTTCTCCACCACCGCCGAGCGTGAAATCGTTCGTGACATCAAGGAGAAGCTCTGCTACGTCGCCCTCGACTTCGAGCAGGAGCTCCAGACCGCTTCCCAGAGCTCCAGCTTGGAGAAGTCCTACGAGCTTCCTGACGGTCAGGTCATCACCATCGGCAACGAGCGTTTCCGTGCCCCCGAGGCTCTCTTCGCTCCTTCCGTCCTTGGTCTTGAGTCTGGTGGTATCCACGTCACCGTCTTCAACTCCATCATGAAGTCCGATGTCGACGTCCGTAAGGACCTGTACGGCAACATTGTCATGGTATGTGCTTTGAATCTTGTGTTCGCCGAGTCCGCGGGCTAACAAACGTCAGTCTGGTGGTACCACCATGTACCCCGGTCTCTCCGACCGTATGCAGAAGGAGATCACTTCTCTTGCTCCTTCTTCCATGAAGGTCAAGATCATCGCTCCCCCCGAGCGCAAGTACTCCGTCTGGATCGGTGGTTCCATTCTGGCTTCCCTGTCTACCTTCCAGCAGATGTGGATCTCCAAGCAGGAGTACGACGAGAGCGGTCCCTCCATTGTCCACCGCAAGTGCTTCTAAGGTATGCGCGAAAGTCCCAAGTAATGACCGATCGAATACTGATCATGCCACAGCGAATTGCTTCCCGAATCACAATCTCACACCTCCGAAAGCACTTCGATCCCAAAGAGGTCACGAGCAGTGCAAGGTCTCCCCGGCGTTGCATGTATCGCAGTACGGTCTCATATTGGCGAAAAGTTGGTGACATGGTCAAGAAGTTTGGGTCGACCCTTCTTCCGAAAGATTTGGTCCTTGTTTTGTTGCAGGGTGCGCGTGGGCGCGTATAGGGGCGGACACGTCTACACCTGAGGTCGATCATACAATACACTTTGCTTACAGTTCCCGCACTTTGCCCACGGGTTCTCTGTGATTTCGTGGCTGTTCAATCATTGAGTAGTGCCACATAGACGAAGATTAAGTACTAATACAGAGTCTATGTAATCTCGAAGAGTGAAGCGGTGTTGTACACGCATGCAGGCAAAGATTCCCCGTCTGTGCCTACCGTTTGGTATCGGCGGTCGGGGCGTCCGCCCGCTCTTCCACAGGTTGTTCTGTGGCATCTGCGTCCGTTGCAGAAGCCTCAGCGTCGGCAACTCCGATATCGCTGCTCGCCAACTCGGCCTTTTCTTCCTCCAACTTGCGATATTTCCTCTTGCTCTTCTTGGACGCACTAGCCGCCTTCTTACGTTTCACTTCACCCACAATGGCCGAACGGCTCTGGTCTCCGTTGCGCATGTCATCGAGCTTTTGAGCCAGGATCTCGCGTGCAATCTTGCGATTTTGGTCTCGTGAACGGGTAGCTTGGGATTTGACGACGACGCCGGTGGGTATATGTTTGAGTTGCACAGCCGAGCTTGTCTTGTTCTACACACAAGGATGTGTTAGTTGCATGTTGAATGAGCGTGCCGCATGGATTTTGGGAAGGAGACGGGCAATCGGTGCACACGGGACGGGGGGATGTGAGGGGAAGATATTCTTACAATCTTTTGACCACCCGGCCCGCTGCCCTTGAGGTACGACTCTTCCAGCTCGGAGTCCGGAGGCGGCTTGGGCCGGGGTGGCATCTCGTGCTTCTTCAGCGCGGTGGACGGCGATGCGCTGAAGCGTGCGACGAGGGCGGCGGGGACTGCTGCTGCCGCCGCGCTCCTGCCGCCGCGCATGAGGCCGCCGGCGCTCGCATGGCGGGCTGCAGAGAGGAGGTGGGTTAGAGGTGGAGGGAGAGGCATCGCGTGCGCCGGGCCATTGTCCGTCCGTGGGTTTGGGGATTCGTGGGTTTCGTAGATGGTTCAAGGCGAGGCGGACGTCGATGATGGGATCGGCCGGCTGCTGCCGGCTGACGGAGGTTTTACGCTGGAGGACCAATGAGGAGGTGTGGTTGGTCGGCTTTTTTTTTTCTGTATCCGCTTTTTGCTTTGCTGGCGGTGTGGGTGGGGGGACACTGGACGGTGCCAGTGAGGCTGCGGATCGTTCGGGTGTGGTCGCTCAGGAGCGTGGGCGGGTACCCCCCCCCCGGTGCCAATTTCACTGATAAGATTTGGCACCCCGTCCCGTCGCGCGACAACGCCGAGTCAAAAGTCGTTTGTTCATCCTCTCCTCTTACCGAGCCTCCGCTTTCCACATTGAACTGTCCTTGGGTTCACGGCGTCAAGACGGATCAATAGAGTTTTCCGTTCTCCTTTTTCTTGTGGATTGGATTCCTGACGTAACCGCAAACGCATTCCCGTCAGTCGAGACCTCGAGCCACGCGCAGACAGACACACGAGACATCGAAACCTGCGAGAACAGACAGACGTCATGTCGGCCATCCAGGCGTTCAGCAAGTGGCTGCACTTGAAGCAGTACCAGATCGAGGTCACCTTCAGCGTGTACATCTTCACGCCCTTGGAGAAGTTCATCTTCTGTACGTTTCGCTCTACCGATTTTGATGGTTGGCCCCCTTCGCCCCTTTTCCCACGTATCGTGGGACCGGAGGGGAGGGAAGACATGCTGAATGATGCAACATGCTAACGAACTGCGCACCCTTTTTTCTATAGACACCTTCCTCTTCCTCCTCAGCAGCCTGACCATCATCGCGACCGTCCTGTACCTCCCCCAGCACATCGCCTTCATCGCGAACCGCGCCTGGTTTTACATGCACGGCGACCCGATCGACGCCGTCGTCGCGGCCGTCGAGGTCACTAAGGCCGCGGTCGAGAGCCTCATGTCGGAGACGACGACGACGGCTGCGGCGGCCTTTGCGAAGGAGACGGCCGAGATCGTCAAGGAGCTGTAATGCGTCCAGGTCTCGACTCGCCATGACTGTCCACGATGAAAAAGGAAAACGAAGTGATGGACGAGGAAAGAAGGGGGGTGGGGAGATGGAAAGCTGTAATAGCGGCGCTTGGCTGGACGTCTGATGAAGAGCTCGAACGGCGTGTTGGCGGGTTGTCGTGTCTTCTTCTTGTGCGGGCGTTTTGGTTGTATTGTGTTTTTTACTTGGTGTGTGTGTATTTCGGCTGGCGGACAGGCACCCTTTATATATAAATCGTGCATGCGGCGACGCATGTCTAATCATACCCTCATACTAGACCTCAATGGAAATCGTCTCCCCCTTGCGCAGGGGAGATTGTGGATTTCATTCGCTTGCTGGTTTGGGCGTGCTCAAGTTGGTGAAGCTGTATATTCTCAGGGAGCTGTCCTCACCGGCGATTGCCAGTTCATCTCCTGCGTCGGAGTCATTTGATGGGCGCCATGATAGTTGCGCGACTGGCTTGGGGAGGCAAAGGCTAGAGAAAGGTCAACGACTACTGCTGTGTTAGATACGACGTTCATGCATGGGACTTACTGCGGTGCCAGCTGAAGTGTTCCAGCTGATTGGAAAGTCTCAGGGGCCAATGTGCAAAGGGAAATCTTTCCAGACTCGGTGCCAGCCGCAAGGACGAGCTCGCCTCCTGCGCCGGGTCTGCCGAGGAAGTCAACGGCAGTCACGGGCCCGTCGAAGACAATGCTCGAAGCCAGAGTGAACTCGGTCTTGCTGCCGTCTTGAGCTTTGGCGATCCAGACGTTGGCTTTCTTGTCACGTCCCGCGGTGACGAACACCTTTGCATCCGTGGAAGGAGCCCAAGCCGCGTCCAGGATCATACGGGTGTGGCCCTTGGGGTTGGCCTGGAGGAGCTGGTATCGGGAGCGCTCCTGCTCATCCCGCTCAAAGACCGCCCACTGCCTGTCACGTCCGACGCTCAGGAGGAATCGGTCGTCGGGGGAGAACCGCAGTCTCGTGGCGGTCAGGGTGTGCGCTGTCAGCGGCGGCTTGACCTCCGTCCACCGCTCCGTCTCAAAGATGCGGATCACGGCGTGGTTGAGCGAGCTCGCCTTGCAAGCGCTCGCGATGAGTTTGCCATCGTGGCTCGCGGCGAGGCACGAGATCTCGTAGCCGTGGCCGTACAGCTTTTCCGTCTCGGGCCAGAGCGTGTGGCGGGAAAGCGACTCCTCGAATGGCGGGTGGTCGATTTCCAGCATGGACTTGCGGACGATCGTGGCTGGGTCGATGGCATCGCGGTCGTAATGGCTGTCGGCCTCGACTTCGACGTTGTCGCCCACGGCATCGATCGCCTTGTTGGAGAGGCCGAGCACAGGCATGTTGGCGCCGTCCGGCATCAGCCCCGTCTCTGCCTTGATGCCGCCCAGGGTCTGCAGCATCTTGGCCACCGCGCGAGGCTCGCTGAAGACGCGCATGAGCTTCTCGTCGGCTCCCGAGACAAACTGCGAGCTGCCGAGGGTGTCGATGCAGTTGAGGTCGTAGCCGTGGATTTGCGGTCGCGACATCTCGTGCCAGGATCGACTGGCCGCGGTGTCTCGCTTCCAGCGTGCGTGAAGACGTGTGGTCTGATCTAAGCTGGTGGACATGAGGTAGTCACCGTTCCCAGACCATGCGATGCCGGTGACGGTTCTTGTGTGTCCCGTGATGGCGATGGCGGGCTGCCACTCATCGCGGTCTTCGTTGTAAGTCCATCGACGCCAGCTTCCCGTGCGTCCGAGGCAGACGACGGATTTGCCATCGGGGGCCCAGAGACCTGTCCAGAAACCACCGATGCTGCCCGTCGCAGTGGTCGCGCCCTTTTCTCTGCTGATCTCGCCTAGACGAACCATGCTGACCCAGATGCCGGAAGTAGCGTCTGCTTCCCACATGGCGAGAGAGTTGTCTGCAGAGACGGAGAGAAGTTGGAGTTTGCCGCCTCGAGTGAACCATCTTGCGCTGTAGATCCAGTCCTCATGGCCCAGCAGGAGAGCCTCAAAGGTGATGGAGAAGTCCTTGCCTGCGGACTGGAGTCTGTAGGCTTTGTTTGACGGAGATCTTCCGGGGAGATATGCGCCGCTGGAGGGGTCTGAGCCCTCGGCTGCGAGTGATGGTAGTTCCGTTCCCTGGTGAAGACGCCAGATCCTGATGTACTTATCCTGACTTGCTGAGGCCAGGAGAAGATCACTGTTTGGCTCAGAACTCTCCCAGGTGAAGTCCAGAGATCGCATCCAGCCCTCGTGGCCAGAAAGGGTTGCCTGGAGTTTGAAATCCAGCGTTTCTTCACCGGCAGCGGCGACAAATACCTGAACGAATGTCTTGGTCCCTGCCGCTGCGAGAACAAGCACGTCCTCGGACTCGTCCAGTGCGGTCAAAGCAAGACATAATGGGAAATATCTCGGGGCCGTCTTGATGGTCTGGCGCAGTTGCAGTTGGCCCGAGGTGAATTCCCAAATCTTGATCGTTGCGTCGGCAGCCCCTGAAGCCAAAATAATCTTCTTAGGGGCAGCTCGAGAATTCAAGATTGCTATGCAGTTCACGGGAGCCGTGTGATCCTGAATGGTCTGGACGCATTCTCCTTGGTTGCTCTTTGGGTCAAAAGCCCAGATCTTGAGCGTTTGGTCATCGGAACCAGTGATGAGCAGCTGGCGGCCTTCCGCGTCCACTTGGGGAAGAAACTTGACCGCCTTAACAATCTCTTTGTGGCCGCTCAGAAGAGCCGTGATACCTTCTGCATTCTCAGACTATGGTCCGATGATCAGCCAGGGGTCTTCAGCAAGGGTAGCGACGGGCTTACAGATGGAGCCCACACAGCAATATTGGAGTCGGCACCAAATGCGAGGATACCAGACGAACTCCAATCAGCAGCGGCGGTCTGTCTGTTTGCACCGGTAGAAAGGTACTCGACGGACGGTTGAAGGCCAGCCATTGTGTATTTCGCCGTGGTGCTGGCGTAGGGCTGGCGAGTGACTCTAAGGGTTGACCAAATACGGCGATGTGATTGGTTCACCAGCGAGAGTCGAGAGGTGAAGTTGAAATTTTCATGGTGGGGTCCCACGGGTGCCCGTGCCCGGCCCTGGCTCCTGGCTTACAGCGAGCTACAGCGGCTTGGAGTTGACAGCCGAGTGGTCGTGCCGCCGCACCGTTGCTCCACAGCGGCCGAGCAGAGGGTGCGCCCGCCTGCTGAGGTACCCGACCGCGGGGCCTCAAAGTGGAATGTCATTTCTCAGGGCCATTCCTCGTCTAAAATCCCTACCTCACCTGCACCACACACCTCAAGCATCAAGGGCACCAGTTCCTTCTCAGTCAGGCACATCGTCCGTGCTCGAAAGCAAACAAACTCTATTGTGATTACATCTCATATTTTACCATCTATTCTCCGACGTCAAGTTGCTGCCGGTACTCTCCCGTCAGATATTACCAAAGTCCGAGAAGAAGAAATGGCGACGACCAGCGCTGCAGATGCGGGGGAGAAGGTTAACCTTGTCGTCGAGTTCTCGTGAGTCGCCTCCTCTTCTCATAACGCTGTCCTCTTCTAGAAACCGTTTCCCGGCCGTGTCCGAGACCGAAACTCAGGCATGAGCTGAGACCTTGCCACGAGGATGACTCGGATAAGGACCTCATCTATGACCATCGTGCATGCTGCTCAGGTACGAATGCATCGCTGACAAGCTCCCTGCAGCGGCGGCCTCGAGATGCTCTTCTCTGACCAGCGGCGCCACGCCCTCTCGATCCCGGCGGTGAACAAGGACGGCAAGCCCGCAAACATTGCCTTTCTGATCGACTATCTATGCGAGAACACCATGAAGGATTCCAGGAAGGAGCTTTTCGTCCTCGATGGTCATCTGTACGTCTCAGCGTCACATCACATATCCGCGTCTCCATCCTTCAGCATCTCTCGTTCTCGCATCATCTTGATTCTCATCACTGTCTTGTTCATACTCACACCCCGACGCTGGGGATGGCTATGCAAGATGCGACGACGTATCGCCACTCCTTCCCGCATATCACCAGAATCCTCATTTACCATTACCACGCTTCGTGCAGAGTCGTCGTGTCGGGTGCAACGCTAACGCGGGCCTTTTCTAGTCGACCGGGCATCCTGGCCCTCATCAATGACGCAGATTGGGAGCTCGAGGGAGAGGAGGCGTATGAAGTCCAGAGCGGTGACAATATCCTGTTCGTCTCGACACTTCACGGAGGTTAAAGAGGAGGGGGCGTGGGCGACTCACGAGCCAATCAAGCCCTGCGATGCCGGACGTGAGGGGCCCTGCAATCGTAACGGCCGTACGTCTGGGTCCCTGAGGGCTGGGAGGCACTGGGAACTAGCAAGATGCATCCCCGGCCGCACTGCACGGCACGGACGATAGAACGACGTTGAAACCCAGACGCCCTCCCCCCGGTCCCTCTCCCTTCTTGCAGCCGCATTGCCTTCGATGGGCCTGCTCGTGCTGCTCTAGTCTGCGGCCGTAGCCGCCAGCCCGGCGCGCCCCTCCTCCCCCGGTTGCCCCGGCCGCCCCCCGGCAAACTTGGCAACGGGGAGACGCAAACTGTGCTTCCGCCGTTGGTTTCGCTTCTCCGCTACGATTACAACACATCCCACTCCTCGTCTTCCGTGTCGCCGCCGTCGACGCGATGAAACGCCCCGGGAGTTTATTCCCCTGGTCCCCGCGGCCATGCAAGTGCAAGTGTGCAACTGCAAGTACAAACTGCAACTGCAACGCCTTGCTTGCCGCCATGCCCTGCTGTCTCGTGGCCGCGTCGTGGCGGCAGCTCTTCACCCCTCGTGTTCCCCTTGCTTCCTTCCCCTCGTCGACCCGGGTCGCCACCCGGTCTTCCCTGATCGCTATCACAAGTTATAACTTTTTTCAACTACGACCATGCATCGGATTGCGATGCGCGGCACGGCACGGGATGGTAATCCGGGAAAGCCTGTCAAAGTCGCATACCCTGCCCTCGTCGGAACTCCCCTTGTGAGAGCGCCAGCGCGCGATGCTAGCATTCGGACCCCTTTGGTGAACCAAGGTTTGGTCGACAGCAGTTCGCAGCCAATGGCTCGCCTTGCGGCCGAGAGAGATGGAGAATCCGGATCTGCGCTTGAACACGTCTGTTTGTACATATGCGGCCGGAATCGACGTAGTGTAGCTGCGCCGTATCAGGAAATGAATGCAATCCTGCACGCTTCCCAGAAAAAAAGGCAGCCGTCATCGACCCAAGCCTTTTCTGCGTATTCGTTGAGCTCAGCCCCCTCCCTTCCGTCCCCTAGATCTCCCGGCAGACGAGGCGGTGAAGAAGACGAGGTAGAGGAAGGGTCGTAACCGTGACGGTGGTGGTGGTGATCGATGGTGCTTGCATGTCGACGAAGAACGATTCGCTGGTTCCCATCATTTCTCACCAGATTGCAATGCTGCGCTGTTCGCTGCACCGCGCATCTTCCGCTCTTCCGCCGGGCCTGCAGGTCAAGAAAAAAGCAAAATACGGCCTCCAAGCAGCAGCAGCAGCAGCAGCAGCGTCCACAACACACACACCCCTTTCCCCACCCCCGTGAAGCCAGAGACTGCAGAAAAGCAGAAAAGCAGAAAAGGAGCTCCAGATGTTCTAGAAGAACCGAACGCGGGAAAATACGCACGTAGCTGCTTGACCCCCACACACATGGTGCAGCGACAGCGACAGCGCCAAATCTCGTAAACATTGCTCGATATGGGCAATTTGTCGAGGTCGCATTCTGCTTCTGCATGGAAGACGTCAGGCATTTCGTTTTGCACCGTTTCCTTTCTTTTTTTTCCTTTCTCTGTCTCTGCTGTACCACTTTTTCCTGCGGGTTGGTTGAAGAGAGGGGTCTGAGACGGACATTTCTGAGTGTGTGTGTGTGTCTGGCACTCGGTCGTCAAAATAAATGGCCGCTTTTTGGGGGTGGCCACTTAGAAAACCGGCCATTCATTTTGACGACCGAGTGTCTGGCAATCTGTACCTGGGAAAATGGACGGAATTAGAAACGTCCAACTGAGACCAGCTGCTTCATGTTTTTGGGCCGTTGCAGGGGCGGGGGGGTCTCGGTCTGTTCGGTCTGGTAACCGTCACCGGCGCTTCTCGGTGGTTCTTTCGTGCAGTGTACGTAGAGCGCGGGGTACCTTTATTTAATTCTTATTTTTGTTTTATTTTAATTTCGTGTCTTCGTGTTACACGAACCGGTGCGTGTGTCTGTGTTTGTCTGAGACGGGTCGAAAATGTGAGCAATCAGGAAATATTCGCATCAGGTGACTCTGACTCCTCTGCCAGAAGGGGCTTTGTGGCGAATGAGTGTTGGAGTAATTATCTTGGCCCCCTTTTGGGATGGAAATGGTCTGGTGACTTGCCCGATGCAGCGTTGGCATGGAGCTCATAATAGGTGAAGATTCGGAGGAGTGCGTTGAGACATACGAGAACGTTTCACTTGCTATGCATGAGATATGTCTGTGCTGGATAGGGCTTCCTGGATACTGTGTTTGTACAGTGGTTCTCATGAGTATGCGTGCGCCTGAAGACCTTGGCCAGTTCGAGCTTGCCTATACGAGTTATACTATTGTTTGTATCTATTTGTTTCTTTGAGATATAGCACGGGCTAAAGTGCTTGGAGTGTATCAAGGAGCCGTGGAATACGCGTTGGTAAACCGTCGTAAAGCTCATTCAGAGCCCCAGTTCCAAAACATGTATGTTCAATGATGTGATGGGTTGCCTGGATGCGAGAATACGGGCTGGTGAATGACTAACTGAACGTGTATCTATGATTTGCTTAACATCACGTAAAAGGACTCGTCGACATCTGAAAAGCTATGTCCGTTTCGAAGATATCAAAGTGATGGGGATATGCCACGGAGTTGTACCTTTTCGTCCCAAACGCCGCTCTGATAGAATCGAACAGACACATCGCATTACGAAAAGCGTTGATGTGTGGCCTATGACACTAAGATTCACTACGGTGTTTCCTCAAGAATTGACATGGCTGTAGTCGTTATTCGGTGCGGTTTTCTGTTTGACTTACACGACTACACAGCACACAGCTTAACGGGGACACGACTGCAGAGACTAGTTCAGGGGTCTTGGTTGAGAACGAAGGGTGGTTTTCTCCTGACTTGTAAAGGCTTCGTGAATTGGCACCTCACATCTGTGATACATTTCATACTGGCCTCGCAGATGTCCCGTTCAATTAGAATATCATGGTTTTCCTGATGCAAAACGCCTTTTGGGGATTTTAGCAATAGTCAGATACATTATCTTTTAATATTATCCCAGAGCAGAACATGCTTGCTATCGACAAATCGGAACGCCATAGATGCATATTAATCATTCCCGCACTCGAATCCAATCACCTCGCTTGAACGCCCAAGCCATGAAATACGTAACCAGGTCATGATCATCATTTCGGCCCTCCCTGCTTCGCCGCAGCCATGGCAGCCATCCTGGCCTTCCGCGCCGCCCTCCAGCCGGGAGACTTGATTCGTAGCACTGCAGCAAACATTAACACTCCGAAACTCACTGTGCGAGGTGCGCATGAGGACTTACCGATGACCGCGGAGCCGACGAGGACGAGATCCAAGAGCGCCAGCCCGGTGAAACACCAGCCGCTTCCCATCTTGGAGACGAGGGACGGGATCACGAGGGCCGCGATGGCCGCGCCGGGGTTCCGGAGCATGTTCCCGAGGGCGAAGGCGCCGGCGGCCTGCTGAGCGACGCACTCGGTCAGGAACGCCGTCGTGGCCACAAACACCCAGTTCATGCCGAAACCAGCTGCCGTCGCACAATGTCAGCCTCGTGATCGAAGCAGCAAACTTCGGCGGTATTCGAGGGGGGGTCGGGTTTACTTACTCAGGAACGTAGCGAGGAGAACGACGGCCGGGTGCACCGATTTGTCCACCACCCAGCCGTACATCAGACATCCGCCGGCGCAGATCAGGACGCCCCAGATCTGGTCGGACAGCCTGTTCTCGGGGTCCACGGTGTTGTCGGGAGAGGCCTTGAGGGCGCGCGCGCGTCTCCAGTCGGATGCGCGACCGCCGATGAGAGAGCCGACGATCATGGCGATGCCGACGGCCAGGAAACCCGCGCCGATGCCGGCTGTGGACCAGTTGTAGCGGTCGGCGAGCTCGGTGGGGAGTTGGACGGCGATGGCGAAGTAGGTCGAGTAGAGCATGGCGGTGTTGAATGTCACGATTCCGATGGGAGGGTAGGAGAAGAGGCGCCAGTATCCGAGGAGAGTCGGTTTAGGGGGTGCGGGGCCTCTTTCGGACTCAGGGGCAAGAGGAGAGGACCAGGTTGGGGGAAGGAGGATGAAGCCAGACTCGGAGTAGAGTTTGCCGTTTCCTACTCTTGCGCGGAGGGTTTCTGGGAGCGAAAAGACGATGATGATCCACAGGACGAATCCAGAGATGGCTTTACGGTTGATGTCAGTTGAGGCCCGTGTAAGTTGGTCTTGTTGGAAACTCACCCAGGAAGCCAAATATCCAACGCCAGGAGGCTACCGTGAGAGCTCCTCCGAGCACGGGTCCTAATACAGGTCCCAGCTGGGGGCCGATTAGGAAGATGGACATGGCTGTCGCACGCTTCTTCGGCTCAGTGACCTGCGTATTCAGTCAGAATGGAATTGTGACACTTGGAGAAAGGATACTGACATCTGCAACAGTCCCGGCACCCATGGACACGACAGCAGCAGACCCAAAGGCCTGGACGATTCTTAAGAAAACAAGGGCGCCATAGTTCGCGGGGACCGCAGCCAGAAGGATGTTGGCACCAATGTAGATGGCGATGGAAATGATGTAAAGCGGCCTGCGGCCCTTCCAGTCGGCAAAACTTGACCAGAAAAGAGGCTGACTGGTTAGCAATTTGAAGGGAGACAAGATGTGACAGCACTTACACCGACGGCAAAGGTCAACATGAAGACGGACACGGAAACGTTGATGGCGGTTGCGCTAGCGTTGAACTCGTTTTCCAACACAGGCAGCGCAGGGAGGTAGATGTTGCCGGCCAGTGGCCCGAAGCAACCGGCGACGGTCACAACAGTCAGTATGAAGCGTTTGCGCCATGGCGAGAACGCTGTGTAAGCTGGAGGGGAACCGGCTTTTTTCTCAGGATCTGCGGCTGGTTGTGATGGTTGTGGTAGAGGAGTAGGAGCAGGGAATTCTGGAGAAATTGGTGAAGGTTTGATTGGTGTTGCTGTGCCAGAGCTCGCTGGACTGGGGTCTGCTGGGTTTTGCATGGCGGCCCAGGAAGCTGTAGAAGATGCCCCTGATAAGATAAACCGAGAAATTGAGTTTCTCGAGTTGAATGATGAGAGATGGTGCAAAAGATAATGCTGGTTGTTGTCAGTGTTCCCCGTCGTCTGTAATCGCAGCGGTCAAACAGCTTTAATATGGACGATAAGCACCTCACCCTGAGGGCATCGGCCCAAGTGGTTGTAATGGGCGTAGCTGGTGCAGATCGTCAGATCTGACCCCGGCCTGTACCCCCGGTCGAATCCGTCCCGTCCCAATCAGCAGCGGAGGGACTGCGGCAGTGCTGGGAGAGGCTCCGCCCAAAGTACCGGTACTTTCAGCGTTGCGCGACCACACACACGTCCATAGTCCATCCCATCTGCAAGGACAGCGCCAGCGCACGTTCTACTTTGCAGTAGTTCTTCACAATTTCACCCAACCAACCACCTTTTTAGGCAAGTCCATGGAAGCCTCACTTCAATGTCCGTTGATCGTCCCGGCCCTTGCAGTTGCTGTTGCTGTTGCTGTTGCTGCTGCTGCTGCTGCTGCTGCTGCTGCTGTTGCTCTTGCTTCCGTAGCGCAACATGCCAAGATGGCCTCCTATCTGTCGCCTGCCTTTTCTCCTGCCTGGTCGCACCGCACCCGCGCACCGCCGCAGAGAAGACCGTAGCACAGCCCTGGGACCCCGATCAGCAGGAGCAGGGCTTCCATTCTGACTTACACGACGTCTTTGCCGTGCGACTGCGCTCAAAAGCACGCCAAAACACCAGCCAGCTCTCCTGCGGCCTATTTCGAGCACCCAGCAAAGCCACTCGTCCAGGTGACTATTTCTGAACTTTGTCGTTTTTCAGCCAGTCGTCAGACCTAAGCGCGGGCTCCGGATCTGGAGGTGAAGTTGGTCGGTAGGGCTGAGAAGAAGAAAAGACAACTCATCTGTTGTCAGGTTCATCCCGTTCCCTTGTAAGTTTTGGTGTTTGTATTCTTTCTTTTGATCTCCAGAGACTCCGCTTGGGCCCAACTTATAAACGTCGCTTCTCGGACCGCTCTTCCGATTGACTGACTTCAGACTTCAGACGTCAATCCAGACACGATGTTGTTTTTTCTTGCCGAATTACTGCTCCTAGGAGTCTTGCTACTCGGCTTACTTTACTGCTTTTTTCTTCTACCTCCCAAGTATCCTCAAAACATTCCAGCCATCCCGTTTTGGGTTGCTCTCATACCATTTTTCAAAGATGTCGACCAGACAGACATATTCCGGAAATACATCGACAAGCCATTGCGGACTCATGGCGCCGTCAAGCTTTTTTTCGGCGCCCAATGGAACATCTTGGTCCATCGGCCGTCGTACCTGACTGAGATTTTCAAGAACGAGGATCTCTACCAGAAGAGTGGCAACCAGAAGAAGATTCCTCACAGCGTGCTCGCCGAGTTCTTGGGTAGGCATCGATATTCCGCGTCTCGGGCAACCGTGCTAACAAAAGTCCAGGCGACAACATCATCTCAGCTCATGGAGATACATGGATGAACTACAAGACTGTCATCAAGCCTGGGCTGCAACGGAATTTCGAGGCATCCATCATCGCCAAGAATGCAGTCAGCCTGTGCCATCTCCTTCGCGATGCCCAAAAGCGGGCCGGTCGTGGGGGCGTCGCCGTGCAGGACCTTCTTCAGCGGTACTCCGTCGCGAACTGCTCTGAGGCCATCTTACAAACCAATCTCGGTGTGAGTTTGATTGGAACTAGCGGTTACAGTGAGATTGCTGACGTATCCATCTGACTAGGCCCTCGATGCACCAGATGCCCCTATCAACATCCTCCAGACGGCGGTGAAGAGAGAAATCTTCAAGCCGGTTTTCATGAACTTCCCGGTCCTAGACCACCCGAACTTGCGCTGGCTGTTCCCCAGCCGAGCCAGGGCTCGTCAGGTCGTCGCTCAATTTAAAAACGAGCTCAAAAGCTCTCTGGCCCACCAGAAGCCGACAGGGGACGGTCTTGGCAGCCGAATGCTACGCGCATGGGAGTCGGGAGTTTGGGACGAGAAACAGCTTCTCGATAATCTTACAGTCACGTTCGTGGCCGGGCAGGAGAACCCGCAACTGTTGATGACCTCCACGCTTTACGTGCTGGCAAAACACCCTGTAAGTGGCAACCTAGGGAATTGGACGAGGCGGCCCCCAAAGTCCCACACGCAGGCGATCTGACTGAGAATTGGCATTTACAGGAGGCGCAAGAAGCCTTGTTGCACGAAATCCTTTCCAAGGATTCCACTGCATCCTCAGATCTTGGCCAAGATGACACGCCGTACCTCACGTCGGTCATTTATGAGTGCCTGCGGCTGTTCCCACCAATCGGCCAACTGATCAACCGCAGAGCGGCAGCTGCGTGTCTGCTCGGAGGAGAGTTGGCGATTCCCGAGGGTACGCATCTTGAGTCTCGAATGAGTTGAAGATGAGCTGACGTGAAGAACAGGAACCTATCTAGGCTACCACTGCAGGTCGACGAACTGCGATCCGGTCGCTTGGGGGCCGGACTGTGAGCAGTTCAACCCCGGTCGGTGGGGATCGACATCGGAAGAGATACAGCAACACTACCGCCGTCGGCGGGCTAGAGGCGAGTTCATATCATTTCACGGTGGGAAGCGGGCATGTCTTGGCGAGAAATTTGCCATGCTCGAGATGCGGACGACTCTTGTACAGCTGATCCGCGAGTTTCGCTGGTCTCTGGACCCGACGTGGGTTGAGAGAATGACACCCGTAAGTCTATATCCATGTTCCCTGACGGCTCGATCCTGCGGTCCAACTCCACCTGGTGTTGATGATTTGGGTCCGCTTATCTATGCGGGATGAGCAAGTTTCCTGACATTGCTGACAATGAATCCAGGCAGGGCCATTATTCCCCAGAGCATTGAGGCTTGCGTTTACAGAAAGGGCGATAGATGAAAAGTCGAGATTGTAAACAACATTAGACAGTGTGTAATAATTAGTTTCAGCATAATTTGGTTAGAATCAGCATAAAATTAAGGTTTTGGTCTCGCAAAGACAGCTTCCTTTCTCGAAGAAACACGCCGCTGCTAGCTTGCTCCAGAGTCGAGGTACTTGGACTTAGTGTTGACGCCCGTCCGATCTCCACAAAAGACGGGGACTAGGATTAAGCTTCTATATTAATCGACAAGCATCATGATATGTCGGCAAGGATCATATTAAGCGGGCATTGACCAATCAGAAGGCCCTAGATGTACAGATACGACAACTCGTACAACGGCGCGGCGCGGCGCAGCGCAGGCCATTAGGGATGTAACCTGCGAGGTGCAGTTGAAGACCAACAGGTAACTTAAGCTAATGGCGGCATGCGGGCTCGTGCTGAATCTCGTAAAAAGAAGAAAGAAGAAAGCCTTGCCCTTCTGCGCGCTCGAGCGAAAAAGTCGGTTCAAAAAAGTCTGTATCGACATCATTGACGGAGCACCGGCGGGGAATCTGTCGGCTGTCTGTCAGATTGGAAGAGCCAGAGTCGGAGCACGGTTGGCTGGGTGAGGCAGCTGCTTATGGACACATTTAGCGCAACTGTTGGACCCTTGCGTTTAAGGTTGGCCTTTAATGGCGCAATCGTGAACGGGCAGGATCTGACGCGCTTGAGGCTTGAGTGGCAGGACTCCCGTCTGGATCTATTCGTGGGTGCCCTGTGCCAAGCAAGCATGGACTGGTCCTGTTGGATCGGTCGCCTGTCGACTGTCGACCTCACGCCTCAGCCGGTCCAACTTCGACTTCACCGACCTGAAAGCTGCACCAGCTGGCCAATCGCAGACCTTCCACCTCAGGCTCCAATACGTTTGCACCGACCTCCGACTAAGGCAGCAGTTCGTACCTGTACCTGTGCCTGTACCTCTACCTCCTCCTGTAACCTGCTTTCCATCTCTTGTCATACCCGACCCTGGTGCTGCATCTACCGCCTCAATCTCTGCCATGTCCGACGAGGGGCCGCTTACCTTACCTTACCTACAATCAACTCCTGCTTCCACCTGCTCGGCGGTCATTCCTGCAAGCATCATGTCGCCCGCGCCTTCTAAGCCCCAGCCCTGCTGTTGGGGAGTACACAACTTGCCTACCTACTGGCGGCATGCGTCCTGTCCTGCGTCCTGCGTCCTCGCGCTTCCTCCCAAGATCGGCAAAGCCTCGATCCAGAACGCTCGGTGATTCCATCTTTCCCTGATCGTCGACTGATTACGGGCCTTTGGACTGAACTTTTCTGCTGAACACGCTTACGCTGCGGACCGTCATCGACTCCTCTTCAGCTCTTCCATCCGAAAAGATATTTTTGATATCAGACGACTGAACTGGCATTAGCCTGCGGCACGACCACTCCAACGCCTGCTTGTTCACAGCCCGCCTCGGTCTTCGTCGAGCTTGGGAAGTACTGTCGCCGTGCTACTCGGGCCGCATTCCGACCTATCGTTGCGCGCAAACACGGAAAGAAGACAGACATCACGCTCGTCTTAACAGAAAGACCTCGACTTTATAACACCAGCACATTACCGGGCATCCATCGTCTCATCTCCAATCTACTTCACACACATCTCCCACTTCTACAAACGCTAATCCCTAATTCTTCATCCCATTACATCTTGAGACAGTAATTTCTTCTTCTCTCTACCATGGAGTTCTCAAACGACGGCAACTCGGTCTTCCACCGGTTCCAGGCCGCCTTCGTCCACGACGGTCAAGGACAACTGCTGTACTGCAGCGGGCCGCAAAAGACCAGGGTTCAAGAGCACTGGGACTCGATCAAACACAGCCTGCCCAGCCGCACGGTAACAGACGAGACACACTTTGGGTCTGCAAACTTGGGCGGCTCCTTTGAGGGTCTGAGGCTGTATGAGATGCGGAACCTCAAATTCAACAACACTTCGGGATTCATTATCGACAGCACCGCTTCACAGACCACTCTCAGCACACAGTTCGAGGAGTTCTTTGCCGAGCTGCTCCTCGACCAAGCCGACTTTGCAATCCGCGACTCAGAGCTTATGAAGTCACCCGCGAGTGATTCGCTTCAGGTCACAGATCAAATCGTCAATCTCTTTGACAGCTTCCTGAGGTATCAGGGCAAAGACGACCAGTGGGAGGCCAGCGGACGCAGCTATTTCACGGATCGCGTCAAGCATTTTACCTCACAACATGCCACCATCGAGCTCTGCTTACCGGCTTTCCCCTGCAAGTCGTCCAACACCAACAAAGTTCTCGGAAAGGCTCCCGACCGTGGCGAGCAGCTCGCATTGGAGCGTCTTCACAGCTTCGTCGAGCAGATTGAGAAGATCTACCAACCCGGCGCCAAGATGTGGGTCATCAGTGACGGCCATGTCTTCAGCGATTGCAGTGAGTCAACCAGTATTGACAATCTCAACGAGATTAACTAATTCTTTTCAGTTGGTGTCGATGACGCCGATGTTGACACATACGGTGAACAACTGAAGGTGATGAACCACGCCATAGGTCTCCGACGCGGACATCCCGAACGCGTTGGTTTCAAGTCGCTTGTTGATCTCTTCGAGTTGAACGAGACAAAGACTCAGCACAAGCTTTCCGAGTTGGCAACCAAACTCGACATTCCTTCAATCGCTCATCACGTTCAGACTGGCCACACCGTCGAGGCAGAATTGTCGAGACAGATTCTGATGGCTGGCTGCCAACCTCAAGAGTCTGCAGTCAGAGCTAAGATCAAGTCCCAGAATGCAGCCATTCTTGCACTGTATCGCGGTTTCTCCCGCTTCATGCTGGAAGATCTCGAGCTGCATCCCTTTACGCAAAAGATGACCCGGACGCAACAAAAGAAGCTTTCTACCAAGGTGGCTTTTGAGATGATCATGGTAAGTTAATACACACCAATCAGGCAACGTCGCGTTGTCGAATGGAGACATGAGCTTACACCCACACTAGCGCAACCAAGCATACTCTAACCTCGTGGAGCTCCTCTTCCCCAACTATGTTCGCCTTTCCATTCACGCGTGAGTCTTGGTTTCCTCTTTCAATTAAGAGCATTCACCTAACACAAGTCTTCAGTCATAACAACGCCGGCCCCAAATTTGGCATTCAACTATTCGATCCTGCTGTCGTTCGCGTGGTGGAGGGTCTCTCCCCAGACGGCGTCCCGATGACATCCAGGGATCTGCTGCACATCCCCACACCTTGGCACAACTGCGTCGTCGAGATCGAAGGCAGCCCCTACCTTCTCGTCACGAAAGCCAACATCCCGCGCAAGGCCATGGAACTAGGCGGGATGACTGGTGGTGTTTCAACGGTCGGCGGTGCCTCGTTCGTCTTGCGCCCGACCAAGAACGATGCCTCAACCGAACAGGACGAAAAGAAGGAGACGGTCGTCATCGCTCCAGAGAGGCCCATTGCCAGGGCCAGGGCCATGTCTTTCAAGCCCGTCCGCGGCCAGGCGAGGTTCGACTGGACCCGTAGGCTCGCGGCTCTTCCCTTCCTCGGTTGGCTGGGCACGGTGTTTTACCACCGCTTCGTAGAGACGTTTGCTTAAAGTGCTTACACATGTTTCTGGCTGCATCATTCGGCATAGCGTGGATTTCGTGGCGTTCTGGGTGTTTTAGACGTGTAAAGATATTAATGTCCAATTAGCTTCTCACACCATAATATCACTTGCTTAGCTATCACTTCGGTCGGTTCATCTGACTTGCGCATGTCACTATACTTTTGCCTAAAATCCTGGGATCGCGGTTGAGCAAGTTCCACTTCCCGATTAGGAAATGGTGCTCCCGGGACGGGGGAAACTTGCTCATATCGCCGCGCCAAGGTTCGGGACTCAGCATGCGCGCCGGTATCGTCTACTTTGGTATCGATTCGTTTTCCGGTTGAATCGCCAATCGGATGTGAAGATTGTTGCGCGCGGCGCCGGACTGGGGGGTTCGAAGGATCCGAGGTGTTTGCTTGCGCATGTAAGGGATGTTTGGCAGCTTTGGTCCCGCGTCACACCGCGTGAGCAACGGAGGTTTGCGTGGTGGGATAAGAAGCGGTTGGTTTCCCTCGAAAACGGCCTGCATCGTCGTCGGTTCACAACTCTTTTCTCACCGTCGCTCACCTCTCCAACATGCGGTTCCGTATCCAGACTCTCGGCCTTGCGCTGTTGATGTGCTCGACAGCGATCGCGCAGGAAGAGAAGGATCCTCAAGCATGTAAGTCACCATGCACTCTTCTTCCGACAAGAAATCTAAACACGAGAATCAAAGGTATTCCCCGCCCGACGACGACAACAACATCCACGACACCATCGTCGAGTCCGACGGCCCTGCCAAAGAACTTCGGCATGCTCGTCTACCGCGCCTTCGAGATGCTCGACGTCTTCGGGCCCCTCGACGTCCTCGGCATGCTCGCGCGGCTGCACCCGATGAATTTGTATTTGATCGGAGAGACGATGGATCCGGTGACGGTCGAGCCGGTTGCTGCGGCGATGAATCCTAAGAATTCGAGTTTCGTGAGTTTTGTTTCTCGCCTTTTTTTCCCCCGGCGTCTCCGGTCTACCTCGGACCCACAACCTCCGAGGAAAAACCGCCAAGATGCAAACGTGACGCGATGCTGACTTCCCGAAAAAAGTTCCCCGTCATCCTCCCAACACACACCTACGCCACGGCCCCGCGCGACATCGAAGTGCTCCTGATCCCGGGCGGCCTCTGGACGCGCTCCCCCCACCTGAACGCCACGATATCCTACGTCCGAACGACGTACCCGCGCCTCCGCTACCTGATCAGCATCTGCACGGGGGCCTCGGTGGCGGCGCGGGCGGGGGTGCTGGACGGGCGGCGGGCGACGACGAACAAGGCGAGCTGGGCGGCGACGGTGGCGCTCGGCGGTCCGGGGGTGGAGTGGGTGCCGCGGGCGCGGTGGGTCGCGGACGGGAATGTGTGGACGTCGTCCGGGGTGAGCGCGGGCATTGACGCGACGCTGGCGTGGGTTGCGGAGGTGTTTGGGGAGGCGGAGGCGGGGGATATTACGGACTTGATGGAGTATGAACGGCATACGGATTCGGAGTGGGATCCGTACGCGGAGAGGTTTAATGTTACGGGGGGTCAGGAATGAATATTATGCATTGAGAATACCTTGGAACTTTGTGTGTTTATCGTACCGAATATAGGGACATAGATTTGAAGAAAGATGGCTGTGGAATTGAGGTCGGATCTACCTTAGAAGTTACCGGACGCTAGCGAAACTCAAAAAACACCGGACGGTACGGTAACGTCAACCCTAACCCTCTCGCTGATGATACGTCGATCTCGACGGGCGCTCCCGCTTGCGACCACGTCGATGGAACCTCGTCCGAAACTTGGGACGATAATTTCTCTTCGGACTAACGTTCCGTGACTTTGGAACACGCCATCCCATCCCGTCTCTGATTCCCCGAACAATGTCCACCCAACGGAAGAAAGCTTCACGATAACGACGTTAGTCGCGCTTACGGTCGGCACTAGATTCGTTTTTAGCTCAGCTTTCAATCCACGCGACAACGTCAATGAGGATTACTCACGCAAGAAACGAACTACACGAGGCAGAAAGAATAAATTAGCAAAGCGGTTCAGACTCGTCAAGAAGCTCAAGAAGCAACGCTGTCGCCGTAACTTACGCTGCCATCACCGCACGTGCCGCCGGTGCGGACGCAGTCGCCTCGGAAGATGGTGTTTTCGCGGTCGCCGGGTCCGTCGCACTGGAGGGTGAGTTTGTAAGTTTTCATAGTGTTCCCGTACGTCGCCAGCTAGCATGAGTAGGTATATTGGGCTCGACTCACGCAGAATTGGTTCCTGCCGGTTGCCTAAGGGAAGAAGAAGGGGAAGTCAGTTTACTGCCAATTTGAGTCCGGGGCTTTGAACCGCTTACGCATCTGGCACCGGTGGAGATGCCGTAGGGCGTGCACCACGCTCCGTGGACCGCGGGGGCCAGGATTAGGAGGCCGGAGACGAGACCGAAGAACTTCATGGTGAGTGCGAGGTGTAGTGTTGTATGAGCTTGGGCTTGAGCTTGGAGGTTGAGATCGATTTGGTAGCTTGCGAGGAGAACATGTTCGTCTTATATACCCTTTGACACAGTTGAATTCCGATGATTGGACCCCTGGACCTCGAGACTCTGATACCACGGTTTTGGCATGTCAGATTAAGCACTATATTCGACATTGTCCAGTTGATAGTTGCGAGTCTAAAAAGTGGACTTGGGGTTCTCGGGCGACTGTACCGAAACCAGGCGCGTTACATCCTATCTGTAGAATTGGTTATCTTACTGAGTGAAAGTTGAACGCCCACGATGCGAGGTACAGTGAGCAAGAGCGAAACCGCACCTTTGATATTCACCATCATGAAGGAAATACTAATAGTCACGCAGCACTTGACGCGTCCAAAGTCCATCAAGAACACGCTCGACCCGCTTCGCCTTTCAAAGCGCGCCCTCGGACGCTGGCGCACCGCACTCAACAACTAGTCAGGCACTCTTGGCTCCCCGCCCACCCCTGGCGACTTCTCCCAGGCCTTTGGAAATACCGTGAGCATATTCTGGGGTTAAGGTTTAGCTGGCCCGGGCAGTGTAACATTTGCAATTCGGGACGGTGTCCACTTCTGCGGCTCGGGCGGCGCCGGCGCCGCTTCCGCCCCTCGGCCGGCGGGCTTGCACGCGCTCAGGTCTTCTCGAACGATGAAGCCTCGTAAAACTCCATCCATATATATATCCTCAAACGATCCATAACGAAGTCTCGCATTCCCTCAAGCTTGGTGCGGCGCTGTCGGCTTTCGTGCTCTCACGCGCAGTCGGCCGGCCTGTCGGGTGGAGCGGCGGCGCGGGCGGCCTGGGAGCCGCTGTCGTGTTATCTGATTGGCTGGTTGAAGTGGATACTCACCGAACATCGTCGCGGCGACACGGGATCCAAGTTGATTATGTTGCACGCGGGCGACGCAAAGAAGCTAACATACCGTTACCCACGTGGTCCTGGAGGACGAAGTGTGTGATAACGGAGCCATGGTTCCCTACACCAACACGTGCATTGACATGGCGACATTCCGACTTCGTATCTACGAAACCTCATCGTCCGAACCAGTTCCAGGCACCGGCGCACTAGACCTGCACCCTTTTCCTTCAAACTCTCATCTGGAAAAGTCTGTCGTGGTTGGAAAAGGTCGGTTTCACCGAGACGACAAAGTACAGGGAAAAAAAGCCACCTCCAGCCAAAAGTCCCACGTCCCAACGCGGAGGAGATCAGCTGAGTGATGAATCAGCGTGCTGCTTCGACAAAAAGACCATCTTGACCCTGTACCGTACCTGCGTGCGCGAACTCCCATCTCCCGCAGTCGTGATCTTCACACCGAGACGCGAGGGAACCCAATGACAACGTCCCAGTCGCGTCGGGGCCCCCCCCCCCCGGGGGGGGGGGGGGGGTGGGCGGGGGGCCCGCGGGGGGGTGGGTCGGGGGG